CCTGTGCTAACAGCGCACCTCGATGCGTCGCACGGACGTCCGGGTCGCTGGCTGTAGCTGCGGCGGGTCCTCTGGCGCTGGAGAGAAGAGAGCAATTTCCCCTTTGCGCTCCATATTTATCCTCCCTACCTCAAAGGGATCCGGCTCTGAACAATGGGCTCGCGCACCTCGAGCACGCGCACGGCGGTTCCGGGCGCTGTTGATATGCTAATCAGTGTGCGGCGTGCGCGGCGTAAATCCTAATTAATCCCTTACCCTCCCTAACAATGGGGCCTGCGCGCTCAAGCGTAATTGTCCCAACCCTCCATGACTATGCGCAACAGCCCCTGCGGTCCCGCTATTCATGCTGTCCCGTCCCTCCCCTGCTTGCCCCGTCGACCCGTGGGGGTGTGTGTGGGGGGAAATGCGCCTCAACCGCGGTGGCCGAATGCCCCACGCCGCGACCACACCATATTAAGGCCGGTCGCAGCGCCGCGGCGCAACGTAGCACGGGGGAGGTCATCCAATTTCCTGATCGCCGGAAACCGTGAGAGTTAATCCCGATAAGGGTTTCTCGGATAAAAACCGGTCGGCCAGGTGACCTCCCCTCGGAGCTCTATGGGGGGGGGGGAAATGCGTGCGGGTGTGTTCTTGTGAGGTGAGGTGAGGGGGACAAGGGGTTGGCTCCGTTGCTTGGTGGTGGCGAGGTCGGGGATGGGGCGCCTGCCGAACGGCTTCGTGGCGGCGGCATCACACATGTGACCCTTGAAGTCACGACAGCTGCCATTAAAAAGACCATAATCGATTATTGAATTTCATCACGAACCTGAACTGCATAAATTGGTTGCTGGATAGACACCAGCTCATCAATTGCCAGTGAGTAATCCATTACTCCCCTAATACCCATACCCCTTCCCTCACCCTTTCTATGCACGTAACTTATCTGCTTGTATGTGTAGTGACTGTGATTGTCAGTGTGTGGTGCAGGGCTTACGAAGCCAAGGTGGATAATGTGTTGGCATTACATGTCGCCCGCTTACTGGGCGTAGTACCAGCCCTAGCGGGGCTTGGGTGAGCGCTGGTCAGCACGGAGGCACCACGTACAGTGTACGGTGTGGGCTCCCGGTGAGGGAGCGAGAGGGAGTGTCAGCTAGGGTTACTTTGGGGCATGATACGCTGGTTGACCTGCTGACACGTGACCGGATGATATTGGAGGGGGGCCACCGGTGGACGGGGGTCGCTAGGCGGTCACGTGGTCTAAAGGAGCTCTCGGGGAGTCTTCGGGAAGCCTTCGGGAAAGAGCTCGAGAGATCTAGAAGGTGGACGGGGCGAGGGGCGGAGCCAGCCCCAGCCCAGGCCGATATGGGTGCCCCGTGAGAGGCTCAGGGTTCTTCATGTTACTGGTGATGAAGATCCACGTAAGGTAAAAGAAGCCTCTAGCCACGCGGTCCGGGACCCAGCTTGTGGTCCGGGCCGGGATAGCATGCTCTGGACGTGAAGGACCCGACGACCCGGCCTACTGCTCTTCGTGCGGACTTCCGCACCTTCTTGACATGGTTGAGCACTTAAATCGCATGACCTTCGGAATGTTATGCCACTTGAAGATACCGACTGGGATTTGCACATCCCTAGGATTCTGATGGCATATCGTTCTGCGCCGCATGCATCCACGGGGTACTCGCCGTTCTCAGCTGAACCCCGTTCTACCACTAGCAGGCGTTTGGCCGGCCTCATTTCGCCACTCGCTGGAATATTTGCGCAAGGCTGGAGAGGCGGCCTCAGTGGCGTCCTCGGCAGCGCAGGCGACGAACGAACGTCTGCGGGCTAAGGTAGCGACAGTAGTCCCGTTTGCAGTGGGTGACCTGGCCTGGCTGCACTCCTCACAGGTGCCAATACGCACCTCCACGAAGTTGCATCGGCCGTGGCAGGGCCCAGTCACAATAGTACAAGTGCTTCGACCCCAGTGTGTCCGCATTCAGTTAGGTAAACGTCGGTGGTACGTCCACCCCTCTAGACTGAAGTGCTACATTGTGCAGGAGCCACCCCCTCATGCACTCTCATGTTCCCCTCCTTCATCATCTCTCCGGCTGGGTGATAAAAGCTCGATGCACTCGCGAATGGAGGATCGGTTGACGCATGCACTGGCTCCTGCTCCTACAGGGATACGAGTGACCGGTGCGCATGCTCGGGCTTCGGCAGCGGAAGCAATCGGGGACACGACTACAACCCCGAACGGTCACCCGTCCAAGGCTGGGGATCCGTGCACCCACTCTCAGTCACGCAGTCTTGCCGCAGTATCGGCCCAAGACATTCCTGGGACTCGCTTGTGTTGGGTCTCGGTCATGGATCCTGGACATTATCGCCGACAGAGGCGGCTCCCGGCCTGACAAGGGGGATCGCGAAAGTTGTTGTTATTGTCCCTCCCCCCTGTGCGTTTTTTGCTGGAATTTTTTTTTCATCCTCTCGATTGCACCGCGGAAGTTATTGTTACGCGTGCGTTCGGGTACTACGCCAGGTTGTGTGTTGTTCACTTGATCAGGGAATTATCCAAGCCGAGAACGGCTCCTTCTTAACAGAATGGGGGGGGTGGGGGGGTGATGTAGAGGATGTTCGGGACATCCTCACACAAACACCAAACAACCACGGGTTAAGGGTCACGGGAGCGTTAAGGGTCACGGGGGCGCAGCCGTGTGCGCCACCCAATCCGATTATTGAGTGGAGGACACTCTGATCTGATTGGGCCCCAGGAGGATTAGCAGTAGAGCGGTCAGCCCGAGAAGGGAATTAATGTTAAATAAACTCCTTAAAAAAAGTTTTTTTTAAACAACGGTTTAATTAACAACTTCGTTTAACTCATGGTCAAGAAGTACGTCAATGATGCGGCGCCTGCTCCCAGATGAACGCTTACTTAAATTAATAGATTACTTCCGTAACTCGTTCACACGGCTGGGCGAAGCGATTCGAGAGTTTAGGGACCACGGCGTTTTTTACCTACACAAATGTATATAAATAATAAGGCGTCCATACAAAATGTAAATTGCTTTAAAGTAGCGAATTAATGTATTAATTTATGCCGATTTTTATTACAAGATTTGACCACTACACAGGAATCAAGTTAAGTAAAACCGTTGAATAAACCCCTTCTAAAAGGGCGGGAGACGGGCTATATAAGAGAGACGATTTGGAGGGTTCGAGGTTGGTTTTCGATGATGAGTGGAAGTACGGTGTGAGTTGCCTTGAGACTAAAGATCCTGTTTAAATCATCTCAAGTCTCTTCTTCACAACCAAGCTGGCATCACTAGAGTATCGTATATGTGGAGCTAGGTAGATGCGCTGCGACGACATTGAGGCGAGATGTTCAGTAAAATAAAACTTCATGATGGGACGTAGCCCGGGAGATGCTGCAGAGGGCATCAGGCTTGCATTGGTTTGCAAACGAGGTACCGGATAGAAAAGCGTTTGACACCCTCAACAACGGTGTTGGTGCTGCTTCCTGTGGAGTGTTGGTCTCAAGGGGGACCATCTCGCAAGTTGTGAACCTTTGGAGTTGGGGCCCCCTGAGACAAACGCTGTCCACCCAGCGGTGTGATTAGGTACACACCCGGGTAAGGCACTTCACTTGCCGTGGCGCAAATACCAAGATGCCTGGCCAGGGCCGGATTAAGATGTTGTAGGCCCCTGGGCTACAGGTACTGTGAGGCCCCCAGTAATATTTTCAAAAGGAAAACAAAGTTAAAGAATAATACCATTTATTTTTACAAGGCTAACAACAAATACAATTCAGCATTCACAATTTAAATAACTTTTCACTTCATCTCTGGAGGCCTTCCAGCTGGCGGAGGCCCCTGGGCTGCAGCTCCTAAAGCCCATGCCTTAATCCGGCCCTGTGCCTGGCCAATATTAGCTTTCTTATCTACTTTAGCTTTCTTATCTACTTCCGCTACCTGCATCACAAAGCTTCAGTTTGAACTCCATGCATTGCCTCCCAGCGTCCCCCCCCACCCCCCCGTGCCTCACAACGTTGCCTTCCAGTCCACAGCCCGCCCACACATTCACCATGGCCCCTCCCCTCCCTCCATCCCCCGCGACTATATAACAGAGGTCGCAATCGGGTACCCGATACCCGTACGCTACCCGTACCCGGCCGAGTATGGGTACCCGTTTGCTACCCTGGTGCGGCCGGGTACGGGTAGGCCGTGAGTCACTGGTGAGTCACCGTTTGTCACTCATTTCCCAACGTCTTGTCTCTTCTCACAATTCAAGTTCCTAGAATCAACTCACCCGCGCCTGCAACATGGCTTCATCTCAGAGGTCGCAATCGGGTACCCAATACCCGTACCCTACCCGATACCCGGCTACCCGTACCCGGCCGGGTATCGGGTAGGGTACGGGTACCCGTTTGCGACCCTGGTGCGGCCGGGTACGGGTAAGGAATCAAAACCCGTTTGCGACCTCTGCTATATAATTCCTCGTCACAACCATCTCTTAGACACACTTAAGCGGTTGTGCTTTCGCTACATTGTCCCCACCTGAAGAAGGACGCTTGTGTTGCGCCCGAAACGTCGTGATTTAATTTAGTTGTTTTCATTTATTTTACTTAATTTTTTACCTACGTGACTTTACCGAAAAAAACAAAGAGTAGTCAAAACGGGGTTGTGAAAGCGAGCATTGCACAGTACAGGGTGGTCCACATATTTTGTGAGGCCCATTTAATTATCTAAAACTTAATATATTCTTTTGAGTAAGGTTTACTTTAAACATGAATGAATATGCAGAGACAAACATTTACTGGTAGGAACCCACTGGTTCCACCAGCCCACAGGGGATTATTGTGTCCGTCCGTCGTGCAGGGAGGGGCTGGGTGGGGAGGGTGGGCCTGGGTGGGGAGGGGCTGGGTGGGGAGGGTGGGGCTGGGTGGGGGGGTGGGAGGGGTGGGGCTGGGTGGGGAGGGGCTGGTCACCCCGTGGTGCCCTTATAAAACTCAACGTTTAACCTACTCACGCCGGCTTGTGCCCGCCCTCACAGTCGGGCATATTTGCGGAATACACCACGCCGCCGTTGACCCTGGCCATTGACCGAGCAATCCAACGTTCCTACCAGCTCCCTCCGCAGGAATGTGTTTCTAGGGTCAATTAATTGGGGGTCACAAGACATCTTGACAACCCTGGACATTGGCTTTGCTGCTCTGCCCTTTGCTGACAAGGTAAGTCCGCAGCCTATAACACCTGTGTTGCATCGTAGCCACTCATCCAACAACTACCCAGTCTACACCCTGCTTAGTTTCCCAGAGCTGGCTTTGTATAATTAAATGCACAAATCAAGGCCGTAGTCATGGCGTCAACATTGGGGGGCAAAATCTTCCAGGGGGTCTGCCCCCCCCCCCCCCCAGAAAAAAAAATCTAAATTTGAAAACGAATTTCCTGACTAAAATATTTAAAAAATTCACTAACACATGGGATGGACTTTTTATTTATTTTGTACAATAATTTCTAATAGTGTACTGTATTACATTGCTGTTTTTTTTACCTTTTTTGTTTCATTGTATGTCATGGCAGAGATTAGGGATTAATAAAGCACAATCATATTAACAGAAATCTATTTTATAGCAATATATTGGGGGGGATATTTTGAGCATATTTGAATATTATAATTACGGCCTTGGCACAAATGATAAATTGTATGTATTATTATTTGCAGCATGAGACCGGTGGATGGGATGGAGAATTGTAACTGTGATTCTTGTCACTCGTGAGACGTGAAATTTCAGGTCAGACGAGTTCTGTCAACAACAGCAACTTTTTCCCCTTTGCAACCCAATATCAATATTTATCATTAGCAGCCATGATCGATTCACTGCTGGATGAAGGCATCGCCAAAGCCGTCGTATCGGTTTTAAGGATTGGTGACTGTGGAATTTAACGGGGGAAAAAAATATAAAAAATATTCGTAATGCCCTTGTTTTTTTTTAAACGCCTGTTATTAATTGGGCAACGTTAGCATTTACAAACCGCAACATTTCTTTACGTTAAATAGCATTCAACGTTGTATACGGAAAAATGTGTCAATATGTATAATGAAAAAAAAACGCGCGTACGTTACAAACAAAGACTGATAAATGTCGGGACACGGCAGAGTGATATTTTGTTTTAAATTTATATTATTATTCGTTATTAAATTCCACGGCAGACGACCAACGTTGCAATATCCGCTATGCGGAAAACCCGCGCGGCTATATTTCCCACTCCGCTTTAGCCGTTGCTAGGGGCCATTGCCCTTGGAGATACCCCTCAGCCAATGGTGTGCGGGCGTTGCCGGCCCACGTGCGCGGTGTCGTCCAATCACAGACGCAGATCGATGTCCCTCGCGCTAATCCGCGCTAGGGTTTTTGGAGGCGGATGCGGCCGAGCTGAGCACGGGGTAGCTGCGTCGTGATGCGAGGGCGATCATCGTCCCTCACGGTAAAACGTCGACGATGTATTTAAGAAATACATTCCTCTCGATATTGTTGAACGATAAACTCCACATGTTCACGGTCAAAGTGTCCACGGGCACACCGTGTTAACGACAGAGGCGTTCGTTTTGCATTGCGATGGAGCGACTGTTGCAATGCCATTGGTGGATCTGCGCTAGTGGATTTAATTAAATGTGTTATGTTATGTTTTTTTTATTATAATACTAGTGATTGAACACGTAGAAGTACATTGATGTCATTCGTTGGGATTTCTCGCTGTTGACGCTTGTTATTGCTCATTGTTAATAACCTGAAGGGGCTTCGGTGTGACCGTCCCTCGGCTAGTTGAGCTGCCCGTGTCGGTGCGCCGGTGTCGGCAGAGGTAGGTAGGCCGCACTAGTTCGGTGCAGTGTGTCATTCTTGACATCGTTCAAAGTCAAAGGTGGCCGGGAGATGGCAGTACAGCAAGTGGGCCCTTGAACTTGTCTGCGTGGACCGTTGCTTGGTGCGTTTTGTTTGGCTATTTAGGTTTCATTTGACATATAAACACTCCTTATTTAAATAAATAAAATTGGCAAACATCCCACGTCGTGGGAGTTGTTGATCATCCTTCACTCTGGCCATTGCGACTTAACAATTGGCGTGCGCTAACCATTGCGCCACAGATCACAAGACAATGTAACGTCAATTGTTGGGGGAGACATTTAGCAAGCATCTACGAGGTTCTGGGTTAGAATTGTAGTTTCAAGTGCCGCGAGTTGATCATGGTCTCAGCCCCGTAAGCAGTAAAATAAATAGGTTATGCACATAATTAAGCGTTGTAAAGGTCTGAGCATTACAATTCAGTTTAATGTAAGAATAAAATGTCCTCCATGATACAGTTTTTTTGGTTAGGTCGCGTAAATATAAATGTGTCGTTAAACGCGCCACCAATCGACACCCAATTAGTAAGGGTTGTCACGTAAACAGAACGTGGCCAATTCGTCACTAGTACAGCAACACCGGTGTGTTGGAGAGCAAATCCACAACATTTACAATCTGAGTACGACTTTTTGCCAGTAATTAATCAAATGTCCTTTAGGTGCCATCCATTTAGTACGCATGGAAGGGGGGGGGTAACCCAAATGTGCACGCTTGCGTATGGGGGTTCTACTGACAATGTCCGTACGCATAGGAAACGGGGGGGGGGGGGGGGTGAAGCCTCGATAATCATTTGTCTACATCGGCCTTCAAATGAACCACAGTTCAGTCTTCAGCTGCCAGACAACAAGTGCTACCGGGAGAAGTGTGACTGGGAGAGGTGTCACTTCGTGTGCCACCGTGCCCCTGACTGCGAGCTGTCACGCAGCTCCGCAAAATAAGTGGCCATACTACTTTACTATTTAATGCAGTGTTTGCTTAAACACGTGAATATTATTAATCCTTGATCGTTTCTGCGTGGATTAAATATCGGCCGTTCTATAGGATTCGGGGGGGGGGGTGTCAAGCGTACGTACGCAGGGAGGGGGGAGGGGGTCATGTTTTGATAGATTTTTGCGTACCTACTCAATGGATGGCCCCATTAGTGCAGACTTTAGAAATAACGTGATGTAATCTTCCCTGGCCGTTCTCTAGCACGGCGTGGTTGCACTGCTCGAAGTGAGCTGTCGGAACGATCAGTTCTTCATCATGTAGCAAAACACCGTTAGCACAATCAAATAACACATTCCTGCGCAGGGAGCCGGCGTGAGTAGGTTAAACGTTGAGTTTTATAAGGGCACCACGGGGTGACCAGCCCCTCCCCACCCAGCCCCACCCAGCCCCTCCCCACCCTCCCCACCCACCCCACCAAGCCCCTCCCCACCCTCCCCTCCCCACCCAGCCCCTCCCTGCATGACGGACAATAATCCCCTGTGGGCTGGTGTAACCAGGAGGTTCCTACCAGTATAAATGTGAGTATAAAACATAACTAGAAGAAGATACAGAGTAAAGTAATTTCTTGCTCGAATGAGCGTGGGAAGTTTCTCATCTGTCTTAAGACAGTGTTGGAGAGTCCACATTCATATGGCGGGGGTGAGTCGGTATAGATTACGAGAGTTGACTTGTTCACAAAGTGGCTACTAATTTTATCGAGCCCATATGGATGAAGGGCTGGGTCGCCCCTGACGGAATTTAAATCGCAACCTTAAGATTGTGTCGTGCCTTCTCACTGCATTGCAACCCTGGGTGGTCGGATTACTAATTCATGTCATTCCGTTATTAACCGTGTACTTGAGGGTCACAAAACTGCACAAGCGTTCGTGAAACTTCGCATTATAATGCGTAAACCATATTAGTACCAGTGTTATTAGTACCAGTGTAGTGGCGTATTTTCAACACATCTGCACTGCACCCTTTGTTCATCTCGTCAGTTATCTGATGTATCTTCATACTCGCCCACGTATTATCCTCATCCACCCTCCTGCCCACTGTTTGGGTCCCCTAACTCCTTCGAGTGTCTCGAAATTATTTTGCATTTAGATGCTTTTATAATTCATTCTGTAAATGTATTGCGTGCAACGTGGCCATGTACGTATTTCGGTAGAAGCAGCTGTTGGATTACAAAAATAAACCTCTTGGGTTCTTGAGTGGCTAAAATGGAATGTACAATGTACAGTATGTGCAATTGATGTCCTTTAACCACGCGAGCACCGGCCTTTGGACTGGGACTGAATGTGATTACATTTAAATAATGTTTTAGTTTAAATGTGCGCTGTGGTTCACTCTTGCCAATACAATTTAATGTTGATATTCAATTTGTAACGAAGAGGCCACTTGAGACAGTGACATGGCTCAGCAGTAGCCTGTTGTCCATTTGTTGCAGAGGTTCCCCGTTTGGATCTGGCAGCCCGCCCTGGTGATTAGTGCTGGAATATTTATCATAAAATACACAGAATCCGCTTTACAGTTGCTTTATTTCTCAGAATTTTACCAATGCGTTGGCACATATAAATACTATATCTGTAAACGTGACAATCTTGTTGAGTGGTGGAGGGTTAATGGCAAGAATTGTGGCATAAAAATGCGATGTGGCCTAACCCAAACACAAATGTGGATCCACTGCATTAGCTATGGAAACCTACGTTTTGAGTAGGCAAATGTGTGCTGACATCATGGTCCAAATTTGTAAAGTTACATTATTCAACTCTTTAAAACATAGTGCCTTCATGATAGCCTTTTGTTATAAAACTGGCGCAGGCACCAAATTTACGATATTATCCTTATGGATTATTTAGCAATTTCCCCGTATACATTGAAGGAAAGCAACAGGAATCGAACTCGATAACTCCATGTATGCTGATTATTTCTTTAAGTAAACTGGTTCAGTGGCAAATCCAATGCCACGTAGCTTATGGAAGCGTATGAAGGCAATGTATCATAGCGTATTAAAGTTACGTAGTATCTTATACACCGAAGTAATATCTGCGTGTGCTCTTCTAATGTCACTGCTGTATTTTATGTATTAATTGAAGAGATTTCACAAATCTGGAACAAGCCGCATTGAATATAAGATCTTTTTAAAATCCGTGTGGGACAATAAAATTCCCTTGTACTGAAACCTGTGTATGAGTATATTTATATATTGTTGGTGACTTTGTTGTTTTCTGTTTTCTCTACAGGCCAACTTGGGAGACTATCTTCTGAATTATTATTGACAAATATAAGAAAGGGGAAACATGGCGTTGAGTAAAGGATTCCGAGTGCTCCAAAAGAATGAACAGTACCTCTACAGTGTGATTTTGGAAAGCCGGAACCGTGAAGAATGCCTTCTTTTTGAATCTGGAGCCATTGCGGTGCTGTGTATGTATTTGTGGTGTCATTTTAGTGTTGTTCTGCTTGTGTTACACCTATAATTGAGGGCATTTTGATTGGTCTCACTCAAGCCATGAATCAAATGTGCACGTGTATTTGTCTAACTGGTTTGCTTGTCTTTGTAGCTGCTGCTGAAAAAGAGGCGGTAAAAGGACAGTACAACCGCCTTATGGATGCATATGGATGTCTTGGCATGCTGCGCCTCAACATGGGTATGCAGTTTTTGTCGCAATGCCACAGAAAATAAACTCCTAAAATCGGAACTGTCAAGTAGATATTCTTGCACCGTTTCACCCATAAAGCCATCTGTGCATGCTTGGTTATGTCACTTGAAATGAAATCACTGTAATGATTTCAGAAAAAAATGTTTAGTCTCGTCGTAGGCAAGGCAGGCATAGAACGAGTTTCCCACTTTAAAGTAAATTCATTATCACAACTAGGGATGATGATTTGATTCAACTATCTTATTATATTTTACCCTATAATTTATATTCTCATATGTATAGTTTCGTTTGCTTTAATATTCTAAATGTAATGTTGAATATATAATTTGCTTAAGTTGCAACTAATAGTTCCTCGCATGCTCAAATTGATTAATCTACAGTATCTTGAGCAGTAATCTATTTTAGGAGTTTAATCGAAGAATAGTTACATATTTTAGGTGAAGCGTTATTTGTTTGTTGTTTCAGTGTTATTTCTAAGAGGTTGAGCCAGCTATAATTTATAAGAGGTTGAGCCAACTATAATTCTCTAAACACGTGTAATTTTGGAATTTTAATACTAATGGTAATCTAATTACACCATTAACATTTACAGTGCTTTTTAAAATTCACTGCTGGATGGAGACATTGGACATCTTTAGCCTTTGAATTCTCTTGAGGCTGTTGTTAAAACAAATCTCAAATTTTTCTCATTGCTGGAGATGGTAAAGGTGAGGTGATTCTGCGCTACCTGGTGCTGGTGACGGGCTGCGCATCAGTGGGCCGCATCGTTGACTCGGAGGTGATGCGTATCACGAGCGTCGAGATGGTGAGCCTGCAAGGAGACCCGTCGGACGAGGACCGTGTTGCAGACCTGCGCCGCCTGCTTTCCACTGGCACCTTCTACTTCTCCAGCAGCGGCGGCGTAGGCAACACATACGACCTGAGCGTCAGGGCTCAGTTGCAAGGCCAAGGCGACCCGGCACAACATAACCCATTCTGCTGGTGCGTCTGCTCACTAAGTTTTGTTGTATACATTTTCAATTCTTTACTGTGGCAGGGTTTCCTCCCCCCACAGATTGTATCTTGTTTGTGCTATTGGTGTTATGTCGTGAGACATAATAAAATTAATTTTTAACTTTTACAGAGAAGTGCATTAGCACTTGTATATTATGGTTGTAGAAGGAGATATCACAGAACAAAACAACTCAATGCATCAACAATACTGCCTTATAAGGATATTTATATCATCGGGAACCTTTTGTGTGATGGCCCATCTTCAGGGCACATACTGTACAATGATTATCAACACTAGAACGCAGCATTTTAATACTTGCCCGGGTAGATTTATTACATTTTAATGATTTAACTCCGAGTTGGAATTTGCCAAACTAAGTTCAAAATTAAATTATATTTGTGCAGCTATTGGTTACTGGGCTGAGACCATCAACTCTACATTTGAAAATGTGCTTTAACCCCAGACAGTTTCCTGGAATTGAACTCAGGATCTCGGTTGTTCCACCTCAGTTCCTTGACTTCAGAGCAATCCGTCCATCTCCTCTGTTATGAGTTTTATAATATAAGCATCTTGCTCAAAGGCATTGCTGCATTACTAATGTTTACATTGTCATTGAAGACGGCATTACATTATCCTCTAGTAGGTAAAATTAACCCACATGGAGAGAACCGTAAATTGAACCATATTTGAGAATTTTGCACCAAGTTTCATTTAATTATTCAATGAACTGTTCATTGAATAATTACCAGAAGTTAATTATTCAAACTGGCAGTGACTGAAAACTGGAAATGTGTCCTATGACGTCACCAGTAGGATTGATATAGCTGCCAAAGTGTTACTGAAATAGATTAGATGGCCTATAGCCACTGTTAACATTACTTATAAACAAACTTGTGTTTCTGGTTGTTGGGTAAATATTGTGTTTCTTTTTTGTATACTGGAGGAAGGCCCATTCAGCTAGCAAGCTGGTTTTCAAGGGTGAGCCCCAAGGGATGGGGGTATACGAATGGCACAATAGAACATTTCAACAATTCAACAAAGAATAACAGTTAATCCTCACCTAAACAATAAAAAAACATGCAAACACATTTTGAGCAGCAAAACGCCTGAGTGAAAAAGATTGACCACGGTGCATTGTTGAAATTAAATCTTTATAAGCACCCTACACTACTTGACAATGGACATTGACGAAATTATATTACACATTTAATATTGTCTTAAATCATGCTTTACACAGGGGAGGTCTTCCCACGCTGAACACTACAGACACAGAGGCCACTGAATGCCTCAACACAGTTTGACTGTTCTTTTGTATTTTGGACATCCTGTATGTCTTGCCCACGTATCATGGCCATATACTAAAGTAGCCTCGGCACGTGTCGCTGACCCGATATTCTCGGCAGGAACGCGGCGCTGCACGTGCCGTTGCGGCAGTGTGGCGTGGACTGTGGGGCATGGCTTCTACGGGTCATGTGCGGCGGCGTGGGTGTGCGCACGCTGTACGCTGCGCACCAGCAGGCCAAGGTGTGCGTGCTAGCGCGGGTGAGTTGTGCCCGCGCTGGCACACGCTTCAATGTAAGGGGTGCTGATGACTCCGGGCAGGTTGCAAACTTCTGCGAAACTGAGCAGGTGAGTTTTATGACAATTCTGACAGTTTTTATAACATGTGAACAGGGCCTCTTGTTTTGTATGTAAAAATGTCTTAAGCAATACTACAGTAAGTGAAACATGATGACTAAGGTTACGATATAATAGATAACTTACGATGAAAGTGTATATAATTTTGAGAATGTAAAAGGATGAGTTTTGTTGCAATCTTTTTCAGATAATTTTTATAGATGATGAGGTGACTTCCTTTGTCCAACTCCGTGGATCGGTGCCTCTATTTTGGGAGCAGCCAGGGCTGCAGGTAACTGATAGCTATTTATTCTATAATACATTTTTAACAAATCGTTTGCTATCCTTGACACAGTTTCTAATGCAATATGTATGCTTCATTAGGTGGGATCACATCGTGTGAAAATGTCACGGGGTTACGAAGCAAATGCCCCAGCTTTGGACAGGTTAGTTGAACCTTAGTTTTTTTTTGTGTTGCAGTTATCTTCAAAAATGTATCATTTTCAGTGATGGCTCTTGGTTAATATGTTAGCATCCCAGGCATTGATCCATATTTGTTTTTTACATTCGACCACTTCGTAGCCAATATTCCTATGATTAACCCTCCACCACCCACGACAAAATTGTCACGTTTATCAAGTTATTAGAAATCACAGGCATGCATTGTTGGCAGCTTTATTCATTCAGTCATTGGTCTTGGTCATGGGCAGTTAGACACCAGCTTTTTCAGCACTTTGGTCTCAAGTATTTCAACTAGCTTTCAAGTCGTACAAATACTAAACACTTTGTAAAAACACAAAGTAGTGCATTGGTGAATATCTTTCAAACTTCAGAAGTTAATGCTATCGTAAACAATACTTAAAAATATATACTTGGAGTGCTATTGAGAGAGCTGTTTTGTATTATACCGTTATATTTACTTTATATCTACAAATAATACCGTAGCCTACCACAAATAGGACACTGGAAGCAGGCAGAACTGAGAAACATAACATACAATGGCTTAAGTATTGTCCATATTATTTATTAATCTGTTATTTTTTTGTGTGGGCATTTGCCACAGACATTTTGCAATGCTGAAGGAGCTATATGGCAAGCAGATGGTGGTTAACCTTCTAGGGAGCAAAGAGGGAGAACACATGCTAAGCAAGGCTTTTCAGGTACTCATCATAATTTCATCATAGATATACATGTATGTATGAGTGTGTGCGCTCGTGTTTGGTGGGGAGTAGTTGTGCAGTGGTCCGTGTGCTGTGCGATAAATTCAGCCACCTGCTTTCAAATACCTTGTTATTGCTAACATCAGTGGGAAATTGTATCTCAACCTGTCCTGTACCTGCCATGAACTAATTAAAGAGCCACTGCTTTGTTTACGGTGTGCAGAGCCACATGCAGGCATCTCGCCATGCCAGCGACATCCCCATGCTCAACTTTGACTACCACCTGCTACTCAAGGGCAGCAGCCAACGGTCAGAGAGACTCCAATCTGGGTTGGGAACCAAGGTGCGCCCCTTCCTGGAGCAGTGCGGCTTCTACTGCTTCCATGAAGGTGTCGTGAGCAGGTAGGATATGGGACTGTGCCCTATAAAAGTTGTTGAGTTACATTTTCTTGAACCTTTTCACGTGAAAGTTGCACGCTTTAATTTTTTTAATTTTTGTTTTCCAGAGTCCAAAAAGGGACCGTGAGAACAAATTGCTTGGACTGTCTGGATCGGACAAACTCTGTGCAGACCCATTTTGCCGTGGATGTAAGAACTCCCTAACACCCACATTTTGTTTAGTTGACATGTGTCTTTAATGCATTCATGAGCATTATTTAACAATCACTTCATGTCAAGTGCCATATTTGTGGGTTCTGCAGATGCTGAAGAGGCAGCTGGAGGACCTGGGCCTGGCTGAGAAGCCCCAGATGGTTGCTCGTTTTGACGAGGTCTTCCGTTCCCTCTGGTCTGCGGTCGGAGACCTGGTTAGCAAAATGTATGCCGGCACAGGCGCACTCGAGGGAAAAACCAAGGTACATGCATTGCACTACTGATTGCCAACACTTGAATATTGACGAGTTTTCAGAATCGTCTTGGTTCTTGCTTAAGGCCAGACGTTTACTCACTACAACAGTTGTGCATGTACACATTTTATTTCATCATCATTGTTTGCCATGGTCTATCCACTGCCAGATGAAGACCTTCCCAGGTCATCGCCATTCATCAGAGACTTGCAACGCCACAATGTATCTCCTACATCCATTGCTTGCAATATTTTTTCAATAATTTTGATGTTGTGTACTCGGATTTTTCAATGTTTTCCCAATCGTTTTACAGACTTGGATGTTTTATTCACTGTGCATAAATTGGTGTTTGCATCAACTACCTCCTTGTGTGTTGTGTGCCTTCCTGCTGCGACGTGTACTGACGATGCTGTGTTTTTTCTTTTCATGTCCCCTCTGGCGTCGTTGAACATCGAATGGTGAGAGTCCAACATCCACTGAAGTAGTTAAATACGTATTCCCAAACTGAACTTTGTTGCCGACTCCAATGTATGCAAGGTGGGAAGCCGAAAGGCGCGTGGTAAATGCAGGCGCTGGTGCCATTCACAGGCCACCACGGGGAATTTGGGCAGCTGAAGGACGGCGCACGTTCCGTGACGCGCACCATCCAGAATAACTTCTTCGATGGCGCCAAGCAGGAGGCCATGGACCTGCTCCTTCTGGGATGTGTGCTCAACAGTGAGGCGGCTGACAAGGCCCGCACGCTGATCACGCCCACCACTCGTGGTACGGCTCAGTGGCTGCTGTGCGATGCAGCATGATTCTGTCCAGCGCCTAAATGCACAATCATCAATAGACGCTTCTTCTTGCATGTAGTTGGATGCAATGCCACTATGTCCATATTAATTAGCCAGGAAATGGCTTCACTTTATGTGCGGCAAATTGCTTTAATGCCTCTTGAAGTTTAAGAGTTCACAGTGGTTCTCTATGTGGTGAGTGGTTTGGACGTTGTTTCCGAAATCGCTTCTAGGGCTCTCTTTGAATTCCACTTTTGAAGCTGGTAGTTGACATATCTGCAGTGAGATGTATAGATTGGATTGAATGTGGACCATTTTTTTCAAGGTTCATCAAATCCCCGTGGATCTTCCGTGAGATCAGCAATCGGTTTCTTGTTTTGATTATTGACGTTTGTCCAAACCTGTCGCCATTTCTCTGAGGTGCTAAAGTCTGAATTTCCAAGGGTTCTGCCAGCACTGAAAATAATCAGAAACCCTATGTTCATCAAATCCTGCGTGTAAGATTTGATCATTTATGATTTATGCAAATTATATGAGCTTAAATGTGAACATTTTGGTGGATGTAGTTGTTAATTGTTTTTTTACCCTTTTATCTGGCAACAAAACTGACACCTTTTTTACAAGGAGTCATGTTTGCATTGACCACAATACCTGTGGTCGGAATGCAAACAAAAAACACACAACTGATGATGTATGCACTGTCCTTGAAATTGATTGGTCCACACCCGAAACAGCTTTTCTTAGAGCCTCGTCTCACATGTTGTTGGACCAGATGACGCCATAAGGCACACAACTCAAAGACAATGCACCATCAGAGTATGAGAGCTCGGGGTAAGCATTTACAACATTGGAACCTCCTTTATCAGTAGCAAAATATAATTGTTTTTTTACTCTTTTATCTGGCAACAATAAAAATGTGTCCGTTTTGTTGCCAGATAAAAGGGTAAAAAAACAATTATCATATTTTGCTACTGGCAAAGGAGGTTCCAATGGATGTAGTTGTGTAATTGAGACAGTAAAAATGAGTCAAATGAAGGAATACAAATGAGAAAGTAATAACGAGCCCAAACAATGTTTTTCTGAATTCAGTTGTGAATCAGAATCCTGGCAGTGTATTGAATTGCATTGAGTGGGGTGAAACGTGATACAAAATAAGTCTATTTGACAAATATAGGCAGTTTATTGATTCAGTGAAAATTATTGTTGACTACTTAAATTACCCAATTATTAATAATGAACATGAACACGAGGTTCACAATTGACTACGCATGTCTATCCATGTCAATTCACCTCATGTTTGTTAACCTACTGTCTATTCTGCCTTCCATGACCATGCAGGGGCAGAAAACTTCCTGCAAACAGGTATCATCTGTTTATTTTCACACACTATATATGTTTTCTGTCTGGTAGCGTATCGTACTACTTTTAACTAATTGTCAACACAAAAATAACTGTTTGATTGTCGTCGTTGTGAATTTGATGACAGCATCTGTGCGCTTGCTGCGCTCGTTGTGCGAGCGTCACGGAGAGTACACGCACCCAAAACGGCTGCGCGTGGCAATCGCCACTTGGAACGTGAACGGGGGAAAAACCACGCGCAGCATTGCCTTCAAGCACCAGACGCTGTCAGACTGGCTGCTGGACAACCACAAGCAAGCTGCCATCTCTACGTTTCAAGGTAACTGACTCGCCTGCACGCACTCTTTTTTTTCCCCCAGACCATGGGTTGCATTTTTTGGAGGGGAAATTTTCTTAATTCACATTTTCTAGAATAGGGTGCATTTCCAACAATAAACATCTTGAAACAAAAGAAGATACATTGTAAGTGTCGTTGGTGCCGAAGTCTACATTTTAAACTTAAAGTGTTTGTCTTATTTTTCCTTAAAATCGTAAGGGGGCTGAGGGGGAAAAGTTACGTGCGGTGTCAGAGGAGGACGTATAGTGAAATTATGAATGGTTGATAGTGATGCAAAGTAGCTCATGGAAACTTATGTAAAATTGCTTTTGTGCAGCAGATGACACTCCTGTAGATGTGTTTGCAATCGGGTTCCAAGAGATGGTGGAGCTGAATGCGGGAAACATCGTGAGTGCCAGGTATTGATGCACAGCTCATCCACACACATACAAACATTGGTCATAATCCTATGCCTTCAGTCTATGAAGCATCCTTTATCATAAACTTTTTGTGACATTTTAATTCATAATAACTACCACTACCCGCGTATATGCGCGGGATATATGGCCGGGGTGAAGGGTGGATGGAGGCAAGGCGTCACGTCAGCACGCACAAATCTGGCGCAACACTGTGGGATGTCATCACGCAGGTGTGCGCGGTGATGTCACCACTGTGCACTTCCCTGCCTGGGCGCCAGCCAGAAAACCAGTCAGCCAGAAAAACTTTTTTTTTAATATATATACTTCGTATCAGAATGCAATTTGTAACGCGCACAATTTTCACGTAAATAAATGGCCGTAATTTTGAGGTGCTGAGCCAAGCTCGGTGTCGTACAAAAGCCAGGTGAAAGATGTGAGGCCTTTAAGAATCTCTTCAAGGTTGTTGTAGATTGAATGCTGCGGTGGTGCAGCGGGATGGCGTTCTAGATTGCGGGGGGGGGGGGGGTACTACAGAGAAACGACACCTGCCGGTGACGGCCCTGCTCCTTGGTAAAGAGAGGAGGTGCTCATCGTACAGCGAGATATCTCTACCATGAGCTGTAGTGCATGGTGACAGGAGAGCGAAGAGAAATACGTTGGACAATCAAAAGTAGAGGCAACGCTGGGACAGGCCAGGCGCTCTTGTATCGCTGACCCCGAAGGCAATGGGAAGCCAGTCGAGACACACAATCTACTCAGTCTTTGAAATGAGAATAATTTGTGTTGAACTTTACTCTGGTATCTAACTGCACGTGTGCAACTTGGGTTTAGTACAAAAACAATCGGAGTTGTTTTCTCTCTTGGGATACATTTCTGAGACATATTGCTGCAGCATATTGCTCCTGGCCAGGAGGTGGCAGTACAGCATTAGTTATGTTGAATATGCGAGATTCATTTATAGTGTGTAACAGTTTAACACGTAGGCTTTCGCGACCAACATCATCCATAATACAGGTTTTTTGGGTTAGATTGCGTAAACATAAATGTGTCGTTAAACCCGCCACCACCCGACGCACCAAATTAGTAAGGTTTGTCACTTAAACAGAACATGCTAATTCGTTACTAGTACAGCACACCGGTGTTGGAGAGCATTTGGGTTTAACGACCCATTATATTTACGTGATCTAACCCTAAAAACCTGTATTATGGATAGTACGTAATAACTATTTTTTTTTTAATTAAATGGCACACTGTTCATCCTTACCTAGAACACACACAGATTGGGTGTTGAACATTAGACAAGCCCTTTCAAAATGGTTAGCCTCTGCAATGCCTAGCAGACTAGTTTCCGCATTTACGTCTATTCAGATGATGTATAGGCAGTAAAATTAGATGTTGGTCTATAAACAGCTGATTCCAAATAAGAAAGGGGAATTCACTGATAGCTCCATTTCCCCATGATGCAAATCTATATTCAAATGTAACCATTTTACTTACATTGTATACATAATTATAAGCAAACTACTCGTCTATATGTAAACTTCCTTAATTTCCCAGTTTTTTTCCGTGCTACGCAGTGCTAAATGTCATCTCCGACGATGTCACTCAATCTCCCTGCCATCTCTCTGTGTCATTGGCAGAAACATCAGCTCACCATATATTTTTCCCTCGTAAGGTCATGTTAATGATGAATTATTTGAGCGTTCTTTTGCGTTATCTCAATTTATGTGCCTTCTGGGAAAGTCTCAACACACATTGAGAAGTATCTGCAGAAATTAATGTAGAATGTAATTTTCTTGAACAAAACGTGTCACTTGCAGTACAGAAAATCAGAAGCGTTGGTCAGTAGAGCTGCAGAAGACAATCTCACGTGATCACAAGTACATCCTGGTGACCTCCGAGCAGCTGGTTGGGGTTTGCCTCTTCGTCTTCCTGCGCCCTCACCATGCGCCTCACGTCCGGTATGCTGCACTCTACGCAGGTTACAGGCTTGTACATGCACAATCCTCCTTTTGTCAAGCCACTGCTGGATGATAACCTTCCCCCTCTCTCTGCAGGGTTTTGGGGTAATTTGACCATATTTCATCATGCTGGTTAATGTGGGTTGCTGAAGTTATCGAGCATAGAAGTACATTACAACATTTGATGTTGCTGAACTGTTCTCTGCCACCTATCATGTAGCTCTGCAGCTAATAATACATGGTGATTGCCCATACACACACGGTCTAGGCTCAATGCTGCTTAGCATTTGAGATCAAGCGCACTCCACATTAAAACTGCCTTTATGTATTTAACTTTTTATAACATGAAAAATATGTGTTTCTTTGACCAACTATTCAACAGTTTACAGGAATACTTGAACTGTAGCATTTGTCTTCTTGGTTCTTTCAGTAAAGTCACGTAGAAAGTATAGTAGTAAGTTTTTACCCTTTTAAGCTGGTACAAAACTGACACCTTTATTCAAGGCATCATATTTGCAATAACCACAACACAAGTAGTCAAAAAAGCAAACAAAAAGAAGCAACTCTGATAATGATAATAATATGCACTGTCCTTGAAGTTGATTGGTCCACACCCGAGACGGCTTTCTTTAGGTCTATCGGAAAGACAGCGTTCTTCACCTGAGGACGGCTGCTTGCGTTGTGGCCGAAACGTCGTGAGAATTATTTTATGATGTTTTAATTGTATTATTTTATTATTTCCCTTCTACGTGACTTTACCGAAAGAACCAAGAAGATGAATCCCTGCAGTCACGAAAGCTTTAAATCGAAATGTAGCATTTGTGTCAGTAAACCTCTGCTTTTATGTCCAGACATGTTGTCACAAGCTGTTGTGTTGTCTTCTTGCAGGGATGTGGCTGTGGACACGGTGAAGACAGGAATGGGGGGTGCAACTGGGAACAAGGGTGGTGTAGCCATCCGCCTCCAGATGTACAGCAGCAGCCTTTGCTTCGTGTGCTCACATTTCGCCGCCGGACAGTCGCACACACGCGAGCGTAATGAAGACTATGCGGAGATCGCTCGCAAAATTTCCTTCCCAATGGTAACGTCCCCCAATCTTGTGTCTTGCCACTCATTATGAAAGCTTAAAATGTGTTATTCATTCATCGTGTAACTGTTTGCCCTTGTTGTGATTTCATCAGTTACCATTCGGAAAGGTCATGAATCAATTAAAGAGAACGGTCTATTTTGTGTTGTGAATGTAGCGCCCCTCGTGGGTGCAGGATTTGCATGATCCTTTTACATGCAATGTATACAAATGAAAAATTAATTGATTCTCAAACCCACGATTAGATGGATGTATTGAAAATGTTAGAAAATATTGTATTGGATTATATTTCATGCTGTAATTTGTATCATATGCCTATCATTCATATGGTCTCGGGGAAACGATGATTTAGTTTTGGGGGTGTAATGAGGTGATACTGTTTTGTGTTGCAGGGTCGCGGCTTGTTTTCCCATGACTACGTCTTCTGGTGTGGAGATTTTAACTACCGGATCGACCTGTCTGGGGACGAGGTGAAGGAGCTCGTGCGACAGAAGAACTGGGAGACCTTGCAGCAGGCCGATCAGCTGGTGCAGCAGCGCAACTTGGGCGCGGTGAGCCGCGATATATCCTGTGAATTCAATTTCAGAATCGATGGTCTCATTTTTACCTGCTTGTTTGTACTGTTACTGGTAAATTATGTCTGCAGTTTTATCTGTTCAAAAAGTGTGAAATTAGCATATAATTTACAAATAAGTTGTATTCATCACTAGGAATGAATTACATGGATTATGGGTGATGTGCTATGAACATAATCATTGATTTTAATTGACAAATCAATACATGTCTGCTTTGCACAGATGATTCACTTACATAAAAAAAAAATTCAAAGGTGCAAACAGTTATGGACATATTTATTTAAACGGATAAGTTTTACTCGGTTATACATGCGTACTTTACCACTTTGTAATTTCTAAATCTATTTTTTGTCTAGGTATTCCGTGGGTTCCACGAAGGCCGAACAAACTTTCCACCCACTTACAAGTACGACATTTTTTCTGACGACTACGACACAAGCGAGAAGTGCCGCATCCCGGCCTGGACGGACCGCGTGCTGTGGTATCGCCACAAGTGGGCCTTCGAGAAGAGTGGTGCGCTAACGTCTTGTGTTGCTTGCATGTGTAACCTTTTTGCCTGTTTTATCTCGTTTACGGTGTGCACAGAATTATCTATTTTTTCTATGCTACCTTTTATAATACGTTTTACACTTTTATTTGACCTTTTTAATCATTATGGTTTGTTGTTGGGGATAGCATATTCATTATCTTACAGTGGTTTGAATTGTCCCCTTTAATATTCACGATTCTCATGCCAACTAAGTCCCAATGCATTAACTCCCAGTTGTCTCTCCATCATGTATGATTCTTCCAAAAGAATCCGCACGTAATATGCAGCATTGATCGAATCAAGAAGGTGTCTTGTTCTGAAAATCCCCTTTTAAATCCTTTATATTAAGTTCACTTGCTTGCTTGCTTACGACCGTGCAAATCTTTCGGTCGTTTTTTAACCCACTTCCCGTGATCCAATCGAGCTGACATTTTCCACACAGACTCGTTGTGCGTGACAATTAATGTTCGTGAAAATACATTTCCAAAATTTTACACTTTTTAGGACAAAAAAATTATATTTAATTACCAATTGCTAAATGGTGCAATGCAATCATCTGACCCATAGGTGGCAGCCATCTCAAGCCAGAGGACGAGAGGACTCTAGCCGCCACGCATATAAAGGATTTATAGTGAAAAACTTTGTTTTTACGGGTTATACTTGTTTATACCCGAATTTGCCTCTGTCATGTTTGATGAAATCAGAGTTGTAATGAGTGCTATTGAACTCAAAACTGAATCCATTTCTCTTTTGCAATGTAAACACCCTTGGAGCAGCTGACGAGCTCGACTTATTAAATCTACCTGCCGGAGTGGAGCCTCGACTGCCTCACTTGTGGAACCCCGGAGCACTCATCCACTACAGCCGCGCTGAGCTCAAGACATCCGATCACAGGTGCTGTGCATGCATATCATGTTATCTAAAGGTTATTTTACTTTGTAATTCACAGTATTCTTAGGTTTTTTCGGTAAAGTCACGTAGGTAAAAAATTTAAATTAATAGTAAAATAAAAATAAAAATTTACGACGTTTTGGAGGCAACACAAGCTTCCGTCTTCAGGTGGAACCGTCACAGCACGATAGCTGTATCAAGTAAATGAGAGATTCCAAGGGATACTACCCCGTATATATACTGGTTGCCTCCGAAACGTCGTGATTTTTATTTTATTTTTTATTTTACTTTTATTAATTTTAATTTTTTACCTACGTGACTTTACCGAAAAAACCTAAGAATATGAATACTTGCAGTCACGAAAGCTTAAAATCTAGAATTAATTTACAGTAGTGGGCTTAGAGTAGGCTGAGTAGTTCAGAGGTAGGAGCGCTTCGCTGCCACCACTGAAATGTTGGATTCAAATCCAGGCTTCAGAAACCTGTGATGGATGCAAGTTGTTATATGTAGCAAGTTGATGATCTCGGCCGAGTCAGCAATTAGTGCTAAACAACCATAATTACGTTTACATTTGGATAAATTCCAGCTCTGAATTTAAATGATCTGTTTGATGGGCATGCAACGAACATGACTGTCAGTGGCAGAGCAGGTGGGAAAGTGCTGTCCCTATTGTGGACCAGAGGTCACTTGAAGAGACCTCACTGATAGCCCTGTGATGTTTGCTTCCATGACCCATTCGCTATCACAAAAGGTTGCACTGCTTTGGCTCAAATAGATACTGTATCTCATGACATGATGCCTATTGCACAATCAGGATACAATTGGAGAAAATGTTTACGTTAAAACAGCATAGTGTGGGCTGTTTGCAGTTGAAGTGAATGAGTCGTAAATTTTCCCGACTTGGAGATTGACGAGTGATATGTTATTACCTTCCTAGGCCCGTGATCGCTCTGATTGACGTGGATTTACTGGAGGTGACCCCAGGCTCCATGCAGGGGGTGTTGAGGGCAGCAATCGCTGCCCATGGACCACCGGATGCAAGTGCAGTGCTGTCCCTCGACTCTGGCGAGGAGTTTGATGACGCTTGCATCGAGCAGCTTCTGAGGATCTTGGCGGGCTATGGGGATGTCACACTTGTCCGGTTTGTGCCACTCACCTTGCACAACTATTCTTGTACAATACCCCAGTTGTCTTCAGTACATGTTTGTGTCATTTGTGCACAATGCTGATCAATAACTGTGATCACCTGTATCTGCCCGTGCACGTGTGTGGTGTGCGTGCGTGCATAGATTTGCAGGTAATGACATGGTGGTTACTTTCCGAGACAGTCGATCCGCTTTAGAAATTCTCTGCATCAATGGCATACAGGTGAGAGTTTTAACTCATTTTTTCATATATATTCCAACTTGGAGAGGTATTTTGTCTACTAAATATTGTGGCAGTTCTTGTCTGAAGATAAATCATAATTGGATTCGTATAGAGTTTTGAATCACGGCTGCCTCGTGGAAGTTGACTTTGGGCATGTCTTGCTACGTGGTGTGCATTACTGTGCGAAACCAGGTTCTGCGGCACATCCTGCACGTGAGGCTGAAGAGCCCAGAGTGGAGCAGCATGCTGGAGGAGGAGCTGGTGCAGAGCGCCGGTGACATGCAGGCCACAGGCGCCATGCTCACGCACAACTCCATCCTGCTGGAGGATGACGCCTCTTTGCCCCCGGCATACTATGCAATCGAGGGTGCGTGTACGCGTGCGTGTGCAAAGGACGTAATTGCAGCACTGGCTTTACGCATTTGTGCCAAGCTAAGTCAATGTTTCCAGCAGAAATTGCAGATATCCACGCTCTCAACTGGTTTTGCTCGATGCTTGTATTAGCAATTGATCCTTCTGGCGGTACCCTTGGTTACCAAATAATACAAAATGGCCGAGGCAATTAAATATTTTATTTCTGAAACACTATTTTTTCAAGGGGGGTGTAGTTAACTCCGCAACTGGGGTACCGATCCGAAATCAGTGCTACTCCGCGATGTCGAAACTCAGCGAGGACGATTGCGCTGAAACCCTGAATGCTCGTACACACCGTAGTGGTGCATCGTGTACAGCTCGTCGAGATGAGTCGATTGCCGCATCGCCGACCATCATCAGACTAAAAATGACTGCATCACGGACATTATGCAAGAGCCGGGGTACTATGGTACCCCGGAGTACCGCCATTAGGTTCAATTATCTGCAGAATATGCTCCTCTTGAATACATTACATTTCTATTGAAATGTGGGGGTGGAGGGGGGGGAAACAAATACAACCACTTGACAATCCAGCCTCCGCATGCCACGTCAGTCATGGGGGTTGTTTAACCAAACTTCAGCATGCTGGTCAGTGCAAGTTGCTGAATGTGGATAGGAGGGTAGTACGATGACCAGTTTGCATATCAGTTGCCACTTGCTTTAGACATAACTGGAAATTGAACTCAGATCGACAGGTTCATTGCGCAGTGAATCCACTGACCACCACTAAGCCACTTGTTATGTATATGCTATTTATATATATTCTCTTGTGAGTCAAGGTGAAAAACATGAAGGTTTGCTTTCATCATTCACGTGTGGTGTTCAGATGAACAGGATGATATGGCAGACGCAGAGGAAGGTGGGACGCAGGATCAGCTGACATCAGGCATGGCCGTTGACCCAAGTGTCTCTCCCCGTCCATCTCCAAAACCCTCCCCTTGCCCGTCGCCGACTCACGGTAAGTGTCCACCACTTTGTGCTCTCTAATTGCCAAAATAATTTTCAAAAATGAACACGAACCTTTCAAATCTCCATTGCTAGAGATGTAAGTATTATGAAATGGTTTTCAAAGACACCTACGGAAGCTTGTGTTTGGCTGTTACTTGTAATCCTAAATTTCGATTTAAAGCTTTCGTGACTGCAGGGATTCATCTTCTTGGTTCTTTTGGTAAAATCACGTAGAATGGAAATAATTAAATAATAAAAATAAAACAATTAAATAATTCTCACGACGTTTCGGCCACAACGCAAGCAGCCGTCCTCAGGTGGAGAGCAGGTCTGTCAAGTAGACAGTCTAACTTAAAGGCGTGCCGCATCTATGTTATTGTACCAGGTGAGGGCCGAGATTGGCAGAGCTTTGGGAAACAGACAAGTGAATCCCTGAGCAAGCCAGCTGGCCCTCCTGCCAAACCTCCACCTCCACAGAGACCTCCACCCCCCAGCGGTGAGATACACCACGATACGCAAACGCGGTGATTCTCAATTCCAATCATATTCTCAATATTAATAAGATGTACACTCACCAATGACAGTAGTATCTTGAGACTTGACTCCAGTAATGATGACGACGATGACAATGACGATGACAATGACGACGATGACAGACCTGTGCAGTTCGATGAATGTGATGATGAATGATAATGATGATGGTGTTACTGCACAGGTATAATGAGGCCTTTAAATCAGTTCAAAAAATCCGCGATGCACAGAGGCCGCGAAACTTGAACCGCGAAGTGGCGAGGGATTACTGTAATATTTTTTACACACCCAAAAGTTGACCTTTACATTGTTATAAGAAGGAGCAAAATTGTATGGGGAACAATTGAGCCATTGTACCTGTTTGGTTGTTGGGTGTGTGTAGTCAAGAGCCAACCTGCTCCTGGCTCAACCATTCTGCAGCCCACATCTGCTCCTCGCTCCCAGGTGAGTTTACAATGTTTTATTTTGTTCCCACTTGCCTGTCATGCTGTGTTCAAGAGGAATGTAAACAAACACCCCAATGGTATACAGGGTGTTTCAAAAACATGGCCCCGATATGAAATTGATAAAATCTCTGTAACCACGAAACCGCCCATGAATGCAACTCTTACCACTTGAAAGGGCGGAGCATAGAGTTTCAAATGATTACCGCTAGATGCCTCTCCCAGCGCACAAACAGCCCCGAGCCTCAGTCATTCGCAAGATGGTGACCCCGCAACGCAAGGCGTTTTGCGTTCTGCAGTTCAGCAAGACTGAATCCGTAATTGCGGTGCAGCGTGCGTTTCAACGCCGTTTTGGCATTGATGCGCCAATGTCAAAGAGCATTCGTCGTTGGTACCGACAATTTGAGGAAACAGGCTGTTTGTGTAAGGGGAAGAGCACAGGGCGACCACGCAGCTCAGAGGAGAACGTGAGAAGAGAGGCGTTTGGGACGAATTCAACTATCGTCTCGATGTTGTCCGTACAGCTGGTGGAGGGCACGTAGAGAATTTATAAAATGGTTAGTAAAACTTGATAACTCATTAAACCGTGTGTAACTTTTTGTGTAATTGTAACATGTTGCCATCGTGAAATATACTGCTTTGAAATTGAGTCCATCTTTTTAAAGCACCCTGTATGTTCAGTAATAGCATTGTATCATTTTTGTTTACAAGGACATGCCTCGTGTTCCAAGTCGCCCACCCCCCCCACTTCCAGCAACCCCTCCACAACACAGAAGTGCAGGTAAAGTTTGTGCATGCCAGTGTCTGCTCAAACACTCAAAATAGTTAGTTTCACATATCCGGAAAATTAATAAAATGGATATAAGCGAATATTGTACAAAATAATTGACTAATACTCTTTGGTTCTTTCGGTAAAGTCACGTAGAAAGAAAATAAATTAAATCATAGAATACGACGTTTCCATTGCAACACAAGCAACCGTCATCAGGTAGAACTAAATTTGAGAGAGAGACAAAACACAGACACGGAGACACACAGACAGACACACAAGCAGAGAGAGACAACACAGAGACACACAGAGAGACATACAACATAGACACACAGAAACCCAGAGAGTTGCGTGGAAATCCACCCCGAAGCGACCAAGGGAGAGAGAGCGAATGGACCTATGAGAGCCTGGTAGATTTTCTCTGAAAAACATCTCTAAAATGTACCAGTCTTGTTGAGTCTTTCAGTAACATGCTAATTTCTGTGCTCCAGCAGCTGCTCCAGCAGACCCACCTCTCTCTCTACCCCCCCCCCCCCCTCTTTCTATTTAAGGCCTCGACACAGAGGCATTGGGTCTCTGTGTGTCTATGTTGTGTGTCTCTCTCTGTGTGTCTCTTGTGTTGTCTGTCTCTGCTTGTGTGTCTGTCTGTGTGTCTCCGTGTCTGTGTTTTGTCTCTCAAATTTAGTTCTACCTGATGACGGTTGCTTGTGCTGCAATCGAAACGTCGTCCTCTATTATTTAATTATTTTTCTTTCTACGTGACTTTACCGAAAGAACCCAAGAGTATTTCCTGAAGTCACGAAAGCTTCAGATCAAGTTTAATTTACTCTTCTTTTTGTTTATTTTTTATAGCTGTTGCCTCTTCAAGCCCGGAGATCGCAAAATCGAGAGCTCCTGTCAACCTACCCGAGCCACTGCTGCCCTCTGCTGCTGCCCCCTCTCCACAAAACTTATCACAGCCTTCTCCCTCACTACCTGAACCCATGCTGCCCCAATTAGTACATTCTAACCAAATACAGCAGCTGCTCATACCCATGCTGCCAACTCAGACGACTGCCCCTTCCCCATTGCCTGAGGCCATGCTGCCTTCCCCAGCTGCTTCGCCTCCTATGCAGGAGCCCATGGTGCCCTCTCCTTCCACACAGGCTCAGTTCTTAGACACACAGCCTCCATCCCCTTCCACACAGGGCCTCTTGCAGGCCACGGCTACCTCCTCCGCCCCTCAGGCTCCACCGAGAACCAGGTCTACGCAGTCCATTCCACATGCTGAAGCCCCTGTCCCGCTGAAGGTAAGTGTGTGAATTTGTGGAGCAGTGCGATGTTAATGTTTGACTTAAGGTGAACTGATGCTGTGTTGGTTTTTGAGAGCTTGCTTGATCACCTATGTAGACACTGAATATATTGATGCAGGTTGTGTTGTGTTTGTATTGAGTTCTCATTGTCCTGCAAAGTGGTTAACAACATCAGTCAGTTTAGTTAATATATAAAATATAATAAATAGTTTATCGTGAATTTCTCTGCACTCTCTCCTAACATATGTTTGCCTATACCTTTCTCTCACTCAACAAGCCTCCAGAGTAACACAGGTACCTTTCAGTGTTTCTATATGCAATTAAAACTATTCAGATTTTTAAGACTGAGTTACACATCCCTGGTGCCAAATCAGAGAGCATCAGTTTTGTCTCCCTTTTATGGCTAATTAGATCAGTCAATACAGATATCAAAACGACTTTTTTTTGTCTGTCTGTGTGTCTTTGACAGCGATCAAGCAGTGCCAATTTGCTAACACCCTCCCTCGTGGTGTTCAACATTGGTGAAGAGTCGGTTGATCCCAACCGTCAGGTTCCAATCCCACCTCAACGACAACGAACCCTCCATGCCAGGCCTTCTCCCATCTCTGCTGAGCAGCCGTTCAACTCGAATGTCCTCCCTCCTGTTCCAGCCAGCCGCCAAGTTGCCACAACCAATCCTTTCATAAAGCCTTCTATGTTAGGCCCACTTTCTGCCACCCCGCCAGTCACTGCTGACAACGGTTCAGTTCTAAGTAATTGCCATCCTGTACCACCAACCCGTACAGAATCTCCCTGCCAGCCACTGGACTTCCTCAGTAACCCTCCTTTTGCAAGTAAACCAATTGTGGCTAACAATTTGGCGTCCAGAATTCGTCCACCGGTTCCTGCAGAGCTACCAGTTGTCATCAATAGTCGCCCGGAAATTAGGAGTGGTGTGGCCGCAAATAACTTAAATGGTTTGAAGGAGAGTCAAATGACATGTCCTCGTTTACAGGCCCCACCTATTCCTCCACGTATTGCAGCCACTTTCAGAATGTCTCCCAACCCCTTTGTAGTACCGGAAGAAGCATGTTCAGTCACTGCGACTTTATCGTCATCGACGTCCCTACCCACACCCGCTTTCCGGACTGTCCATTCGACTCCTTTGTTAAATCCATTTGTGGCGCCAATTTCGTCGTTACCTCCTTCATCCTCGTTATCATCTATGCCGCCACTGTCATCGTCCATCTCCACAGAGGCCGTCTGGAATGTCAACCGGGAAGTTGCACCCGCCAGCATAGCTGCTAGGGACCAGTTGACCGCAACGTCTAACCCCAAGCCATCGACATTACCTAAAGGATGGGTAACTTTCGACGGCTGATGGGAATTACTGTGAAGTAGTGTTTTGTGACGTGATCTGCGTTGGTTTTGATATAAGGGGCAGAATTAACATGTATTCAGGGTGGCAGCGTTTGGCTCAGGGAATGTTCTTCAGTCCAGGTTTCTCAGATTTAAACCACATTTCACATGCCACTTCTTTGTTCTGTCCCTTTATGGCTGTTAGAGATGACATGCAAAATATAGTGTACTTGTGTCTAGAGGAATTTGCCGGTGAGCAATATTTTAATTGTTTGGGCTACTCACTCGGAAAGTGGATTCACTATGTATTTTTTATTAAAATGCCAGCAATGCAACATTGTTTTTATAGATATCGTTCTGTTATTTTGCCCCAAAAGTCATTGTTATTTGTAATCATTTTTAAGTTCTTCATACATTATCTTTTTTTATCTGGGTTTACACATATCCTAGAATTGTTTTGGTTTTCATGTTTTACACATCGCAACAACGAACAAATGAGAGCCCTGATCACAGTTTAGGTAGTTGGCATTGTAGTAAGATCCCTATTTGTTGCGAGAGCAGGTGACAATTATTTGTTTAAGCACTTTTAAAAATTGTGCTTGGGCACAGCTATGTGCAATTTGTACAATCGGAATTTTGACAAGTACATAACCTGTTTAACATTCCATGCCACTTAAATTTCAACCACTCTGCTGCTAATTTGGAATGTGTTGATATTTTGTTGATAAGTTTAGGTTAAAATAGCGGGCATGATCTAAGAGTACTATTATTGTGACCTTGTATCTTATTTTTTCATATGCGTGGAGTATTTTCTTTTTCTTTTTCAAATGTTGAGTTTTTATTACAGCAAATGGCCGTTACAAATTTAAGGTTTTCATTCCTTAAGGGTATTATACTCAGTGTTATCGACGATGGCCACATTTTATGTTGGTCACTACTGCCATTTAAACAGTAAAATTTATTATTATGGTTTATTCTGAGGCTTGGAATGGAACATGAATGACCGCGAAGATAAGCACAAATTATATAATAATTCTATATTATATAGTAAATCTATATAGCTCCACAGATCGAGACTTCCACAGAATTCAAGAAAAGGCAGCTTTCCTTTCTATAAATCAAGACGAGGGGAGCTGTCAGATTTTTTTTGTTCGAAATGATGTTCAAATTTTGCTTAATAGCGTTATGTCATGAGATTAAGACATTTCTATTTGGATACCTTTTGAAGAAAGAGATATACGTCATCCCATTTTGGAGAATGGCCTGAAGATTATATCAACTACTTATGAGATACTTTCAGTTGCCTCTTGTCCACGCGAAGGGCACAACATTTTCTCGCACTACAAATATACGTCACATGACAGTCTATTTGATCATTTTGTCAGTTTCAAAATCTAGCACGTAACGAATTAGGTGGCAACAAAGTGTAATGCGCTAGTTTCTGTGCAGTCATTTGTGAGTGGAATTAACAGGAACACGACTTATGACAACAACCCAGTTTCGTCACGTGGTTGCTTTGATTTAAATCCAGGATCCCAGCAGTTGCTGGCTCAGTGCTGTGACATGTGGCATTAATCCTCTCAGCCATCCGGCTTCGAAGGGGCTTTTGTCGCCACCTGCAATAACCATTTCACGACCCCTTCATCAGACACATTTGATCCGTAGCTAGTACAGTAGTAGTTCCATGTGTTACCTGCAAGCTTTAAGCAGTCATGGGGTGCTCACGTGATAGCTATCACTGCTGTCAGTGCTACCCGTAATCATGAGATAATCACGTGCGGCATTACTGCTGTTATGAGTGCAGCATCACTCCGATGAGGGTAGCATGGACGTGCATTACCATTAATCTTCCAAAGTGAAAGTTAATGTATTAACCACTAACCATATCGTCCAATTATGTGTCTACCAAAGAAATACATTTTGAGTTTAGTTTCCTCTGAGAGTGGATTTAGGCCTGGCATGAGATACCACTATCACAATGTTATCCTATGACTAAATAAATCAGCAATTGGAGCATGTATCGAGTTTACTACTTTCACCGTTAAATTATTTCCATGGACTCGTGCGTGTGCTTACTATGGAGCTGATATGCCAGATTGTGTTATGCTACAGCTGAGCCCACATGTCTTGAAATTTCAAACAACACGTGCTATATATCCCGTGTGTGTATTGCTGAGCACTGCTGAAGAATATTTCAACAATGATATATGTGTGTGTGTGCATATATATGGGCAGTGGTAGTGTAGCGGTTAGCACGCTGAACTATGCACTCAGCAACCCGAGATCGATTCCTGGTCACGACCCACAGTGGCCATTATCTGAACCGGTCCTGGGCCTCCCCTAGGTAGATTCAGCCTGAAATAACTACCTGGTGTAAGCACCGCTACTGGGAAGACAAAGGCGGCTAGGCGTGGTGCTGGCCACCCACCCGCTTGTCTGCTGTGCCGGCCTTCATAGTTGCTCACTAACACACTAACAGCACATACCCCAACAGTCTGTTATGGCTATACAGGGGGTCTTTGTCCTTATACACAGAATATTATACATCTGGCGCGAGATTCTTGACTTGATGCTGAAAAATGTTTTACGTTGAATTGGCATAGCTACGTGCGAAAATGGAAATGGAAACTAAGTTTTTACGGTCATTGAATACAGCCAAGCATTTTCAAAATAATGCTTTCCAATCAGGATGTGGCCCTTCTGATGTATTCTGCTTAATGCTGCTGGTTGTGATTGTTGTGCGTTTTTTTTTATTCAGCGGAGGCTACAGCCCAGCTGAGTTTTGTGCGCTGAGTGTTTCGCAAAGATAACAAATATAACTGCTCATGCTGTAATGTGTTAAAAATGTCAGTGATCAGCTTAAAAAATGGTGACATTTAATGGAAAAAAATTGTAAAACTCGAGAAAATTATTTATGGAGCGTCTTCAGCGAAATGCATTATTTGTTGTAGCTGGACTTGGTTATTCTATGGTAAACGTTGGTTCTTTACTTTTTGCATAATGATGATGTGCGTAGGAATCAAGTCATTGTTCACGTTTTATTCTAGTCATGAGCTTCAGTGCATATGTCAGATTATGTTGTGAACTAATTGCAATGTGTGTAAAACAGGTAATAAATTGCCGTATAATGTAAGTATTTGTGAAGTAAGGCCTTTTTGTTTTTTCCAGTTTCAGACTTTATTGAAAGTGTGGCACACAGACATGCAGTAAAAATGTATATTTATACGATATACATTTTTGAAATATCTTTCATGTCATTCCAAATCAATATGCAAAATTCTTGCATGTTAGGCAAATCCCATAACTAGCTGCTTCATATCTGCTTACAATGAAAATAATATACCGGCTGTAAAACACTCATTTTAGCCAATACAATGTCAAATAATGGACTGATGCATCATTAATGTAGTAGAGTCATTGGGATCATTCTTTTTCAGAAACCAACACATTATATTTGCCTCATTGCTGTAACTTTATTTATTTTGCTTTTGTAAATTTGGTGACCCAGACCACTTTTGCAAATGACTCATCCTGGTCTGAGTTGTCACCTGATTAAACAAAATAAACTTCAAATCTGGCTTCGGTTTCATCAAATTCAAAGTAGTTTCGTTGGTAAAAGCTCACTGAGAATATCAACATCGGTACACATCTTGAAAACATGCAAATAAATTCAACGCGAAATTGTGATTGCATAGCTACACGTTCATATTTTTACGTAAAATTAAACCTTACAACATTTGAAATAGCATTCCCCCGAACACATGGCACATGCCGCGTTCCACATGTGCTGCGGTGAGTGATGGCCAACGATGCTTGTATTATGCTGTGCAGGTGTCTGTTGCGAGTGGCTGCTCGTCTCCCATCACTTGGCGCAATCACCGCAGAAGATGTCGTCTCCGCGCGCCACGAAGCCCTTGCCGGCCATGTTGAGGCCGCAGCGCTTGCACTTGAAGCACTCGGTGTGCCACTCGAGGGAGTCGTGCGTCAAAAATTTTGCTCCCGCAGCTGTGGAAGGCAGAAGGGAAGGAGATGCATTGGTTTTGGGATCACAATCGCAGCAAAAAAATGCCAAATTTCATCTCTAGCCCCGCCCGCTGACCCTTGGGCTACACCCATCTCAAACTTTTATAACTCCCTGCCTTAGCAGTTCTTCCGCTATGTTTTTCACCTGATGACGATTGCTTGTGTTGCGATCGAAACGTCGTGATATTATTTTTATTATTCTATCTATGTGACTTTCGGTCAATGGATATCAAGCCTTTTTTTCTGATATCCAGTACTGTAGGGCTTACACTTTCATCAGGTTTTCCATATATGAAGTATATATTTATAATAACATCTTACTCCGGAATTAGACAATAATTTCGACCTTTATTACTGGTTGTGGTGGACTGGCAGCAGCTTCATGCATGTTCTGTCCTCCAATCCGTTTAAATCATGACGACTGACGGACCCCAATTCTGCCTGCTGTGCTACTGTGTGTCCTTTATGTTTTATTCTTAGAAACTTCCCCATTGATCTGGCCCCGTGTGCCACATCGGGCCCTTTGCAGTGAGCACCACAACTGTCTGTTTGGAACATAACGGTGGCCGTGAGATTGATTAGTGGCGGCACGAGACCAGCAGGAAGTGGTGGAGCGTAAAGGAGAGGCCCAACGTTGTATGCTTCCTCCGCTCTAAAAAGCATCGATTTCTGACATCAGCCAAATGTGCGAATCTCGCACTGAATGCGTGAGACTTGAGAGCGGTCCGGATCAATGGTGACCCAAATGGTCACGCGTACATGTCAGAATGAGAATCTTTATTTAGACTGGAGGAATCCGATGAGCTATGAAGCTCTTTATCCCACAGATGTCTAATATGGGGTGGGTCAGCAAGTCACAATAGCGAACAATACAACAACAAAAACGATCGGAGTACAACATGGAGAAAATGTTAAGCGAGTCACTAAATATGAATAAAATAACGGAAGAAAATACTCTTTGGTTCTTTCGGTAAAGTCACGTCGGTAGAAAATAATAGATCCACGACGTTTCGATCGCAACACAAGCGACCGTGATCAGGCGAGTTTCAGCAGTTTCCCTGCTGTGATTGTCTCATACTCTTAGGTTTTTCGGTAAAGTCACGTAGGTAACAGCTAGCTGTGACGGTCCCACCTGATGACGGAGACTTGTGTTGCCTCCGAAACGTCGTGATTTATTATTTTATTTCTATTATTATTTCTATTATTTTTATTTTTTACCTACGCGACTTTACCGAAAAACCTAAGAGTATGAATCATTGCAGTCACGAAAGCTTCAAATCTATAAGTGATTGTCTCACCTGATGACGGACGCTTGTGTTGCGATCGAAACGTCGTGGGTCTATTATTTTTTCTACCTACGTGACTTCACCAAAAGAACCAAAGAGTACGGATTCCTGCGGTCACGAAAACTTCAAATCCATACGGAACGAAACATTTTAAAGCCACACGAATTTCCCACGCGCGCGCGGGGTCTTACCGATGGGCTGCCTGCAGTTGGTGCACTTCTTGGAGTACTTCTTCTCGAAGCAGGGCTCGCAGTAGAGCAGCTCTCCACGCGTGCACATGTTCAACCCGGCCAGTGGCGTGTTGCAGCCGATGCACACGAGGCAGTCACGGTGGTAGGTGTGCTCCTTGTAGACCACTCCCTTCTCCGTCACCGGCTGCAGGGGAAAAGGGTCATGGATGTCAATGAGCGAGGAGTCTTAAGTAACATACACGGTACTACTACTATACATTGGTGCGAGACCGATACGTTGAGTGTATTGGGAAGTCCACAAGCGGGTGGGTCGATTGAGAACTCGTTTATTTGGGACTGCTTCTGTGTGTTTGGTTTGTCGTTCTTTACCCAGCACCTCCGCTCAGCACGGCTGGCTACGTACGGTGCAAAAGAAGTTCAACATACATACGTGTCCCATTTCCGTCAGAGAATACAGTGATTACCCCCCCCCACACACACACCTCTCCACACACACAACTGCCCCCCATGCGGCCACTATGCATGTTGAAACGTCGCAATGCAGGACTCTCATGAAAAGTCTGGAGATCTTTTTAGGCTTTCCCGGATAAATAAAATAACATTTTGTATACATACGTACGTGTGCCAGTCATCGCAGGTATGTCAAACCTTAACACCCACGGCTGTCCCATGGCCTATCAGCAAGCCTTCCCCAGTCTACGTGGCTTCAAAGTGCACCTAGCCTGGCACAAGCGCCACGGCGATGTGTATGAACTTCTTTTGCACCGTACGTAGCCAACCGTGCTAATCGGAGGTGCGATTGCCACGCAGAAATCCCTTCCACAATGCGGCTGTTTTGGCTCTTTACCTCAATGGGCCTCATCTGAAATAAGCGAACTGACTGACACTCGCCGACGACGTATAACGCACAGCCCATTACTCAAACTAAGGGACCGTCCATAAATGACGTCACGCGATTTTGGACGATTTTTGACCCCCCCCCCCCTTCGTCACACGTCACAAAAAGTCAGACCCCCCTCAAATATGACGTCACAAAGCTCTGCCCCCCCTCCCAAAATTAAACATGCTTCAAATCGCTTTAAACTATTGTCATTGTCGTGCGTATTTAATGTGGCGCTGCACTCTGATGTTGTAGGAGAAAACATTTATTAAAAAGTCTATTAATTGTTGATATTTATTTAAAGTTGCGCATTTTGATGTGACGTCACATTTCTCACCCCCCCCCCCCTCGTTACACATCGTCACAAATGTCTGACCCCTCCCCCCCCCAGGTTCGTGACGTCATTTATGGACGGTCCCTACGAGCACTGTTTGCCTTGTGTATCATATGGCAGTTGCGTTGTGAATAGGGAATCGTCTCCCAGCAGTGTGACAACGTGACCTTGCGGCTTGCCTCATTCTCAAAAGTTTAAATAGCTTCTCTTACAAACAACAGTGACCATCTTCCACTCTATTCTTATAATGCAGTACTACACTACTTTATTTGGCGATGCTGACTCGGCAGTGGCGCACAAGCAGAATTTTAAAAACGAAACACTTTCGTCGATAACACTGTGGTTTTAAAAGTAAAAAATATATTGCCCCAAACGGAGCCTATTTATGTCGTTTTTCATTTAATGGCGTCGTGTTATTAACGAATGTGTTAAGCCATCAATGAGAACCCTTTGTGTTCCTACCTTGCATCCAATTTACGGACCAGTCAGCCCTCAATATATTGGCGGGCCACCATGCAGAAGAAGTTACTGTCTATGGTGTTTTGTGGTGAAGAAGAAATCACAGCAATCGTAGCATCTGCACCAGTTTGGCAGGCGCTCTTTGAACCTATCGGCCATCCGACTTGGCGTCAAGGTTGGCACAGTCGGGTTTTCTACAATCGGGTTTAATTGTCTTTTTATATTAAACCCGATCATCTGAGATTGGGAGACATCCGGTTTAATTGGTTTTAATTGCAGAACCGCACCTCTCAACGATGGGCGTCATCCATTCCAAGCGAAGGAACTCACTGGCGCCCGCGATTATGGAGAAGCTCGTGTTCATCACGACCAACTTGCCCGCCGCATTCTACGACTACCCCGTGCCCGACTGGCCCCCCCGAGTACGATAGCAGCACCGACGAGGAAGCAGCCTAAGCCTTGGATCAGAGTTTCGTAGTCATTAAACCAGGTTTTAATTCCCCGAAATCGGGTTTAATCGTATTAAAGAAAAAACCCGATGCCTGCCGCTGTAAAAATCGGGTTTTCTCCACCCATGCTTGGCGCACCTTGTGGCAGGTGAAGCACCGAGTGGCGGTCTTCTTCTCGTTGCAGGACACGCAGTAGATCTCGTCGCCGTGCGGCACAAAGCTCTTGGTGCCGATGGTTTCCATGCAGCGTGCGCACGCGAAGCAGCGCTCGTGCCACGTGCGGCCTTTGTAAGCCACCTTGGCGACACCTGTGCCAATGTTAGGATGGGGGGGGGGGGCAGCGAGATGGAGAGGAATTAGGAACAAAGGATGGAGGTGAGACATAAATGTCGTGATGTGAGAGACGTAGAACGAAGACAGAAAAGGTGGGACACGTCCATTTGTTTGTGTGCTTAAGTGTGAATTGGATTTTCATGTTTATTAGCAACACAAATAACTCTCACTACGGTTATTTTGTTGTGCCTTTTTTCACCTGATGAAGGAAGCTTGTGTTGCCTCCGAAACGTCGTGATTTATTATTTTATTTCTATTATTATTTATCATAATTTAGGTTTATTATTTATTTATTTTCCCCTACGTGCCTTTACCGAAAAAACCTAAGAGTATGAATCCTTGCAGTCACGAAAGCTTCAAATCTAGAACGGAAATCAAGTTGATAATTGATGCGTCCCCATTAAAAAAAATACATATATATGTAACGAACCTGCCGCGGTGTAATGTATGCACGGGGGTGGGGGGGTGGCGTGTAAGGCGTTCACCTTCGCGGATACCGCGCTTGCAGCTCACGCACGAGTCCCCCATGCCTCCTGTAGGCGATATCGCGCAACTCTTGCAGACGATCTCCTTGCCCTCGAGGAGGTACTCGGTGGCGGCTCCGATGGGCGTCGCGCACTCACTGCACTTGAAGCAGCCTTCGTGCCAGTGGAGGTTGTCGAGGCTCAGCTTCTGCACATCGTCGACCCATCGCACGGCCGATCGAGCGTCGTGAGTTGGGGGCCGCAAGAGACTCGACGAGCGAGATGGTTTTTTAAATCCTTTATATTAAGTTCGCTTGCTTGCTTGCTTGCGCGCTTACGACCGTGCAAATCTTTCGGTCGTTTTTTTAACCCACTTCCCGTGATCCAATCGAGCTGACATTTTGCACACAGACTCGTTGTGCGTGACAATTTATTTTCGTGAAAAAATGTTTCCTACATTTTCCACTTTTTAGGAATTTTTATTTTTCATATTTAATTTAAAATACCAATGTGATAAAAATGAAACTCTTACTCAAGAAAAACAGAAATGAATAATAAAATAAAACCGATGCCACGCATATAAAGGATTTATAGTGAAAAACTTTGTTTTTACGGGTTAATTTTTTATGCCGCGGTGGTCGAAAGCAATTCAAGACGATTCACATCCTTCTGCCCTGTGAGTGTCTTGCTAGGTTTCATATTCGTTTGATATAAAAGTGCTTTACTTAATGGGCCACAAAGATGCTGCATTGATAAGTTTAAGCAAGCATCTGCATGTTTTTTTTTTACGTACTACATACATATGAAATGTGTGTTACAGAACGTAACTTTCAGAAATTCACAGTTATGTGAATGCGATCAAACGGTACGCACCTCTGCCACTCTTTGCTTCTTGTTGTCTAGGGTCGCACATTTATTGTGCGTAGGGATGAATGTACGGTACACCAAACATCACATCGCTCACATATACAGGACACCCCTACAGGGCAAATAATAATAATACTATCAAATGTAAAACACATAGTTGTCCTCTCACCTCTGGTCCTTATATAAGACCTCGCTTGTGTTCTTTTTAGACAAATAACTAACGTCTTCACCCCGTACCCGTAATTTGCATACATCTAAATGCCCCTTCATTGTGGCATTGATGCCACTTCATCTTATAGCTGCTATAAAAACTATCAGCGATTTGCAATATTCAGTTCAATGTATGTGGGCAGACTGTGGAGACTGGCTGGATCTGGTGGCCGAGTCAGTTACGGATGGAATTTGTCAGCGGGACCTCTACAACTTCCACAAGTGCTGCAGCTCTACTGTTACAGACATGGGCAGCTGGGAGAAAAATAATGGGATGTGTGTGAAGGGACTTGGTGGACGGGAGTGGGACATCTGCGGCTTTGTGAGCAATTAAAGAAATGAATATATCACCTATTTCTAGTTGCTACGTCAGCTTCATATAAATAGCTTGCTTCATATACATACAAGGGCATTAAATGTCCACGGTGTGCGTTTGGGCCGGTGTGCATTGTGTACACAGGGATCAGGACCTATACCCCCCGCGTTATAAACACGCTTGCGATGATGGAATGCACTCATGCATGTGGGTCATGTCTCGGGTGACTGAGAAGGCATGAGTGGGTTGAATGCAGGTCCTTGGGTTTTGCAAAGGTTACTGACCAGCATGCAGCATGTGTTCACCATGTGGAACGTGCATTACGGACAGGGTAATATTTATGCATTCGTGTACTGATGTGTGTGTATGTGTGTGTATCTCGGTGCTCGCTAACAGCACTTGCCCCAACAGTCTGTTAAGGCTATACGATATATCTTTGTCTTTTGTGCATCTCGGTCTTGGGTGGGAAGCGGTGGTACAACGGTTAGCGTGCTGCGGTACGAACCTGGCGGCCAGAGTTCGATTGCAGCTTACTGGCAACACCAGTGACGAATGTGTGAACCGATACTGGGCCTCCCCTAGGTCGACTCAGCCTCAAATGAGTACCTCGTGTGAAGTGTAAACATCGCCACTGGGGAGTCAAAGGCGGCCGGGCGTGGTGGTTCTGGCCACCCGTGCCGGCCTTCATTGGTACTCGCTAACAGCACTTGCCCCAACAGTCTGTTACGGCTATAATACGGAGGTTCGCTTGTTGGGTGCGAATCCCTATGCCTGGATTAACTCTGGTGCCTGGCCTGAAGTGTGTACGTCCATGTGCGCGCGTGTGTGTGTGCGTCTTGGTGCTGTGCTTGCATTGCTGAGGTTGTTTGTGCGCGCGCGCGTGTGTGTGTGTGTGCGTGTGCTTGCGTTACCCGGGTGCCTGCACCGATGGTTTTGCCACAGCCCACGCACAGGAATGAGAAGAGCTTTGTAAAGCACTCGGTGCAGTACGGCTTGCACTCCCTAAGCACGTACTCCTTACCGGCGAGCGGTGTCACGCAGTGCTCACAGCGCTCCGACATTTGCGCTGGACACGCGCGCCCGCACACACACAACCAACGCGCACACCGTGAGACGAAAATCTGCAAAGCCACCATGAATTTTGGCGTCCGTGATCCGGCTGTCATTCACTTTCACAAATGTATGCCAACGTTGGCATGCGTAGCATTCTACTGTGTTTTAAGCACCACAGTCACCCTGTTCCAAACCGCCGTGGTTCACTTAATTTTACTGGCGACAGACAGCCTTGGCGGTTTAATAATTATTAGGGGCATTTCAATAGAAAGAAAGAAAACAACTTCATTGCAATTGAATGCTCTTGAGAGAGGTAAAGTTCGACCTAATTTCACGTGAAAGTGATGAGGGTCGGACAGGACGCGTTATATTTGGCGATTTTGTAGACTTTGTCCACGTGGCTCCTCCTGCACACGCGGACACACGTACCCGTGGGGGTGGAAACAGTGTGTGGTAATGAAGCATGCATGGCATGGCAGGAGTTACAACTTACAAGTGCAATGACTTATAAGTTGAGCTGTGTTAACGAATTAAGGCCAGTCAGTGGCTTGTACAAGAAAACAAATCAGTGGCCATATTTTTTTATAAGAGTTGCTGAGCACAGGGCCAAAGGTTCAGCAACAAACAGCACCATTGAAGGTGTGATAGGTAAGAGTTAATGCGTTTATCGACTTCAGTGAGTTTATAAGCCACTACTTTATTGAGTCTCACCCCTCTCGCCACTTGAACATTTTAGAAGTGTCGTCTCGACTTCAGTTGAAATTTTAGAAGCACAACGCTGACATTCAGCCCTCCGTGCCAGTCCCTTGAACATATCTGGTACGTGATGATTTTTGGCGTTATCTGGAGTAGGGTTTCTGAGGTACATGATCTCATTGGATTTAAATTGAACTGCATTAAAAGATTATGCGCACTCTGCCGCAGCCAGCAAAGGTCACGCTGAACGTTGTCTCGCATTTGGTTACGGCCAGACTGACTGACATTCGTTACACAGCCTCGAACCGTGGCATCAATAACAGTGCGATGGTAAACACACGCGAACCGTGAAACGTACAGATGCACAATATTCTCGGTGGTTCAAATACAAAACACATGCGTGGAAACACACATGTGTTTTTTTATACAAACAAACACACCAATTCGTTCACTCTCCACCAACAACTTACTGGCAACATGGACTCGGATCGATCTTAAGTTATTTGTTTAGACGGCCGATTATAGCGTCGGCAAAAAGTATAAATGCAACAAAGTCCACGAGCCCGAATTAGCATGCACACTGATTGTATGAACGTTGAGGATGGAATGGTTAGCTTTGCTTGTTATGGAATGAGCTGTGATCAGATTTACATATTGAGGTCTCATGTTTGGTCGCTTAGGAAGTGCAGTCCAGCGGAGTCATAGCAGCAGACTGTTTTGTTGGAGGCGTTTGGTCTTTTGGGTTCGGCTGTAAAGAGGGTGGCTCGAGTAGAATGTGGCACGGGAGGGTGGGGGGATGTGGGGAGTGGGGGACGTGACGCTTGTTTCTAAATTTGCCCTCATCCTGATAATTTGCAAACACACTTGGCTCGCCTCTCAATGGGAGCCTATTTCAACTCTCATGGGGTGTGCAAATGTGCCTGGCCACATGGTGATATATAGGAGTGTATGACTTTTAAATGTAATGTAAATGTATATGGTTGTGTGATCACGTTATTGCACGGTGAGTTTTTTTTCTCTACCAGAGTGTATCTATGCCTTTGAAATATATTCAGAGTTTGTTTGTATAGCTACATATTTTGTTGGTACGTAAATATAGTGATTGCATGTGGGAAAGACAAACAAGATCGGGTGCAGTATTCTCGTATAATCACCAGTAATGGATTTTCAGTTTACATTCATGTACCTAACTTAACCGAATGGTTTTATTTGTGACAAAGATAAAAACATACTTTCCACCAGTACCAGCATCCGTGCGATTCTGTGAGAATAGCATCTTAGAAAAAAACCGATGTCATTTGTCGGATGGCTGTTCTGTTTTATTTTCCATAATGAAGCGATCATGACAAATTGTGACATTTGATCCATTGCCACAGCGTTGGGATGTTTTGAATGCTCTCGTTGCCCTTCACGAGGCCCTCTCTCCCTGGCACACGCTCATGGATCCTGTTTGCTTTTTTAGAAGAGTGGAATTAGAAACTGGATTCTGTCATCTCACCTTCCAACCACACCCTGACGCCTCATCACTCCAACTATCTCCACATGATTCGCGGGGCCATTGGAATCCCCTCATCTGAGACTCGATACAATACTACTCAAGGTCTGTGCCCACATGGTTCTAGGCGCGTTTATGGTGACAATTCATTGTCATCATATGTGAATAGCACATTTCACGGATAATGACATTGGCCTACGAATATCGTACGCGCAATGTCTGCAGATTCTTCTAAAGCTTCAAGAAGTTATATATCTCTATCTTTCTCATCTCTCTCATCTCATAACTTTCTATCTCATAACTTTATCTCATCCGTTTATCTCATCACTTTCTCCCAAAACATTTTCTATCATAACTTTATCTCCTTACTTTATTTCTCTTTCTCACTCTCGATGCAGTCATGTAGAGTTCCAGATACGATTCGCGGATAGCCAAAATCGCGGATAGCAAGTTCGTGAATAACGAGGAAATTCTGTATCTGCAGTGATGACTGTGGCCTTTCGAGATCAGCGATGAGGTGCAGTGTCTTTTTTTATAATGGACACTGTTTAATTGACGAGTGACTTGTGCATAGCCACATCAAAGTTGACTGCAATGTATTCGGTGGTTTCTGGAAAAAAAAGCCATGAATATATTTCTACGTGAACACCACCTCGTCCGGATTATAATGTTTTTCAAGATCGAGGACATCTTATCTGATTGCGACAAGGTGGATCTTCTTGTGTTGCTGGAACCTCAGCTGTTGGCACCAGTCCCACGATGTTGTGGTGATAATTGGTTCTTTACCCTTCTATCTGGCAACAAAACTGACACCTTTTTGCAAGGAGTCATGTTTGCATAGACCGCAATACCTGCAGTCATAAATACGACTGCAGGTATTGCGGTCTATGCAAACATGACTCCTTGCAAAAAGGTGTCAGTTTTGTTGCCAGATAGAAGGGTAAAGAACCAATTATCATATTTTTTACTGGCAAATGAGGTCCCCATAGTGATGTTGTGGTGGTTAGAAACCCGACTGTTCTCTCCATCGCTCCACATAGCGTGGTACCACTTCTGGGACCTGATGCAGTAACTTTATGCTCATGTATTTTCTCATTCAACAATAAAGGATTATTTAAAGTGACCATATCTCCATGACGTAAAATCCCAAAGAACTACGAAAAGCATCCTTTAGACCTCTGGGATCTATGACGGGCTTTTTGTCACGTCTTGTGAGAGTTTGATCTCTGATTGGTTAGTCCACCACAACATCCTAGGCAATGGCTTTATCATACATGTAAATTTAATACACGAATAATACATCTAAGAAACGTAAAACTCGTCCTCTATTATACATATACAACATCAATTGTGTGTATATGTGTACATAAATTGCACATACATACTTTCACTATACAGTATTCAATATGTACATGTGCAGCCGTGTTATCAGTCCACTGCTGAATGAGGGTCTTGGGGGTTATATGACCATATGTGACCACTCTAGTCAGTATGGGTTGAAGGCAAGGAACATAGACGGAGGAGCATAGAAGTACAGTACAACAGTGGATTTTGCTGCACTGCCGTCTGCTGCCCACAACGAAGCCCCGAGAGCGCCCTGTCTGAACCTGGTGGTCACCCATCCAAGCATTCCTCAGTGATTTGATCGTGGACAGTATTTAATATAAGCCATATTAAATACATCTTCCATTGATAAACATGTAATGAAACAGTAAACATACCGAATATTAAAAAAGCACAGTGCATGTGTTGCATATTTCGATGACAGTTAAAACATGGTATATTTTACGTCAAAAAATTACAGTAAAAATAAATATGACAATAGTACAACACGTACATTTCTGTATCATATGGCTAATATTGTATGCAGACATTCCACAAATGCTTAAAGCACTGCGTAACAATTGTTCAGGACAATATCTTCAACACTGTTTTAAAAACTCAAGATCATAGAACTGGATAAATAGCATATATACAAAAATTATGTTTAAGGTAAAACATTTTGACAACCTTATATGCACATGTGTCAAAATATAGTTTTCCTTTCTGCAAATGTATAAGATGTGTTTCAACACTGTGATATCAATATTAGTGACAAAGGATTTTGTTAAATATTTCAGCCTGGTAGTATATTCACTATCCAACAAATTATCTCCCATTTAAATTCATAACATTTAAAAATATATTACTATCAAAAAGTGACGAGTATATATTCACGTCACTTGTAAAACATAACAACTTTAAATTTCGATTTAAAGCTTTCGTGACTGCAGGGATTCATCTTCTTGGTTCTTTCGGTAAAGTCACGTAGAAGGGAAATAATAAAATAATAAAAATACAACATAATAAAATTATTCTCACGACGTTTCGGCCACAACGCAAGCAGCTGTCTTTCCGACAGACCTGTTCTTCACCTGAGGACGGTTGCTTGCGTTGTGGCCGAAACGTCGTGAGAATTATTTTATTATGTTTTATGTTTATTATTTTATTATTTCCCTTCTACGTGACTTTACCGAAAGAACCAAGAAGACATAACAACTTTATCAAACAAATATATTTTTAACCCCCCGGTAGATGCCGCGTGCATTGTTGTAAGAGGGTTTCTGTCAACAAGACTTTATCGGAGTCGCAATGATCTACCTGTTGGTTTGGAAGCTCGTCGACGAGGTGGTGGTGGCTGCTTGCTGCTGCTGCTCCTGCTCCTGCAGCTGCTGGTGTGAGTCTCGCACTCCCGCCTCGCTTTAAAACCCAATCCGTGACCCGTCGCAACCTCCCCTCCGATTGGACCAGAGGCGGGCAGGGCAGCTGTGAGGGCTGTTCACAGAGCCTGACTCACCGCCCATTCGCATCCGTGCAGATAGGGCATACTGGTCACAATCACCGAGGCTAAAATAAGCCGAACGCACACCCACCGCGTTAAATGTTTGTTTGGTGTTGCCTCCCGAATGGATTTGTTTTTATTGTGAGGAATGTTCACAATTACCGTGGAGTTTGAGCTTCTGTAGGGAATTGGAACGATGCTGCTCGTGCGAACGAATTTACCCGTGCAATTAAATGATCAGATTTGATAACAAAAAGTATACTTGCAACTATGAAACTATGGTTGTGGATTGTGATTGTACATTGTTGTACAACAGAGTTTTGATTATATTATTATTATGATTGTTTCCTGGTCATTACTTGTGAGCGTTATGTAATGTTTCGTATGCAAATGTTACGCATTATTATTATTATCATTGACAAGATGTTTTACTTATCATAATTTTATTCACCTCTGATTCGCACAACTCTAGAACTGCAGCTGACTTGCGATAAATATAAGGCTGCCCAAAGTGAATAATTTTCAGCTATAATACGTCGTTTCTTAAAACCCATCGTGAATACCCAAGTGAATACATTTCAAAATCAAACACCAGTGAAAGCCCTCCCCTCCGTATTTCAAATTGACACTATCCAGTAACCGAAAGTATTTTTCTGCTGTGACTTTATGAGAGCCATGTTTGGAGTGGTGTGGCGTTCGGTTTTATAACAGGCGGCTGATCCGTCCAAGAATACCTTCCATCTGACTTGTCACTACAAAATAAGAGGCGCTATTCCAGGACCAAAATAAACACCACCAAAAATACCACAACCTATCATGCAGTGCATGAAAGGACGAAACTGTGTAAAAAAACACACACACACGCGCACAAATGCTCCACATGCACAACAAAACTCCACCGCATACTGGAACACTCCACGTGTGCTGCTACGCGTGTAACACTTGCAGTGACAGCAACAACATGCAAGTGTGGGCATCTTCATACATTTACCACACCCACGTTCCCTTCACCATGCTTCCTTTCTACCTCCAACACCCCTCTGCACACATTGCAGCTGTCCCTCTCTAGGGGTTCTGGTGTGCAACGTGTCCCACATTCTGATCGCAGGGAACGCACCGTGTATTTTTAACTTGGATTCGGTGCACAACATTAATCGTATCTAATGACAAATTTGGGGGGGGGGGGTCCACACAGGGCCGCCCATTAGGGGGCATGCGGGGCTCGGTACAAATCACAGTTTGTGTCACCCCCCCCCCTCCACCGGACACCTTCAAACTAAACCGGAATTATTGCATCTGACACCGTCCCAGTTCGCCGTACCCTTGGGAGGGATCTGACGCCACGTCAAGCCAGGCCAACCATGGTGGAGAGTGTGGGGGGGGTATGGTATCAGTGGCCGTGGTGGTTTGCGCACTGCACCATGAACCGCATGGAGACCTGAATTTGATTCCTAGTTACGGCTAACATCAGTGGCGAGCGATATCTGAACCTGTCCTGGGACCCCCCCCCCCCGCCGCCCTCTTCACTGATCAGTATGAAGTATGGTCAACCTCATCACCGACACAGCGCTGAGAGGCCGTCATCCAGCAGTGGATCGATACAATCTGGACCTCATAATACATGTATATCACTACCTTCATATTAACCTCTTATAAAGAGAGCAACCCAGCACTTCCGTTTAACACGTAGACTTTCACGACCGATGTCATCCATTATCGAGGTTTTTTGGGGTTAAATCGCGTAAATATAACCCAGCACTTGCGATTAACACGGTTGGCTACGTACGGTGCGAAAGAAGTTGAACATACACATATACTGCATATCGATAAGTTTCCAACTTTAGTTTCGTTGACATTTTTATTTAGCCTGTTCACCCGCTTAAGTGCTTATATTTACAAGGTACTGAAGGGTTTTAAAAGCCATCACTCTATCTGAACATGTCGGCCAATTCTGTGGACATAAAACTGAGCCGGGCAATAAACGACTGACAGAGTTGGTGATTTGGGGGTACAACTATCCGTGACATGTTTGTCTACCAGGTACATATAGGAATGCAATTTAATTCTCTAGTAATTGAATTTTCAGGTCACTGGCTGGGAAATATCACTGGCGTCAGATAGAAAACAAACCTCGCTGAACTTAGAAATACAATGCAATCCAACTCTCTGCTTGTGTGTCTGTCTGTGTCTCCGTGTCTGTGTTTTGTCTCTCTCTCTCAAATTTATCCATTTTTGGAAGAACGTAATCAACCAGGTAAGGTGCTGACTGTTGTGTTAGCCGACTCTCTGTCTTGGATTGTATTGTATTTCTAAGTTTACTAGGTTTGTTTTCTACCTGATGACGATTGATTGTGTTGCAATCGAAACGTCGTATTCTATTATTTAATTTATTTTATTTCTACGTGACTTTACCGAAAGAACCAAAGAGTAATTCCTGCAGTCACGAAAGCTTCAAATCTAGTTTCAATTACTCCCGCTTACAAAATTTGTATTGTAACGAATTGCATCGAAAGGTATACAATAAAACGCACAAGTGAACTTAAATTTCGATTTAAAGCTTTCGTGACTGCAGGGATTCATCTTCTTGGTTCTTTCGGTAAAGTCACGTAGGAGGGAAATAACAACGCAAGCGTTGTGGCCGAAACGTCGTGAGAATTGTATTTTATTATGTTTTATTTTTATTATTTTATTATTTCCCTTCTACGTGATTTTACCGTAAGAACCAAGAAGAAGTGAACTTAGGTTTGGTGTTTTATGATTTTAGAGATTATTCTGATATGCGTTGGCTTCAACATTAGGGTTAGCGCTAGGGTGAGATTAAATACGAGCAAAGCGTTTATTGTCAAAGTGTTTTTAGTCTGATGTGCAACAACATTCTCTCTCTGTAGTGACGCACTCAGAGGCACGAAGAGTAGCAGGCACTCTACTTATTCTCAGCCTTCACAGCTCACAAGAGGCAACGACAACTCTCAGTCAGGACAGCTGGCAGACTGCCTGACTGACGACGCCGAGAAGGTGAAGACGGAGATGGCGACGAAACTCCAGCAGCACGACGAGGGGATCCCACTCCAAGCAACAGCCCCGAGCCTTCGTTCGGAGTCCCCTTTTATCCTCCCAGCGCGGCCTCGCTCCGCCCTGGGCCACGCCCCTCTTCTAGAACCTACTAGTAGGTTCCCGGGCTTCCCTCACGTGCCCCCTCTGTGACTTCTCCCCTACATCCCTCTCTCTGACTTATCACGTGACCTGCTGACAGACAGGGCTGCGGCAACTGCAGACCCCTTCTCTGCCAGCAACCCGCGCTATGCTACGTAGTGACCCATTCCATGTCACTACACCTCCATAAATAACAACAAAATATAGATTTTGATTTAAAGCTTTCGTGACTGCAGGAATTCACATTCTTGGTTCTTTCGGTAAAGTCACGTAGAAGGGAAATAATAAAATAATATAAATATAAAACAATAACAATTCTCACGACGTTTCGACTGCAACACAAGCACAGAAAGTGGATTTCACACCTGATGATGATTGCTTGTGTTGCAGTCGAAACGTCGTGAGAATTTTTATTGTCTTATATTTATATTATTTTATTATTTCCCTTCTACGTGACTTTACCGAAGGAACCAAGAATATGAATAACAAAATATAGTTTAGCTTTCGAGGACTGTATTATATACTGTAACTGTATCTGCACAGAAATTTGTGAAAACATAAATTTAAGGCAGTGCCATATTTTGTAAAGAAATATTTGAATGCAGGTCATATGTATGTATGTATGTTGAACTTCTTTCGCCCCGTACATAGCCAACCGTGCTAATCGGAGGCGGGCAGCAGCATCTGTAGATGTCTGATGCGTTTATTGGTTTTCTGCATGTCGTATGGCATGAATGTCTGAGAGCTTCATAAGTCCCTAAAGTTCCTGGAAAATTTCTCAGCACGAGGAGCTCGGAGCAGGCTGCGTGGATTGAAACGTCAGACATCATGCGGAACAACCAGAAAACACGACGGCAAAGCTGCGAGAACGTATGCAGAGTAGTGTTCTTCGTCCTTCTTTTAAGATTAAACAAAAATGGGCACGAGCACAGACTTAATCCCCTTCATTCGAACACAACCCCCTGCAACTCTACACTTGCTCATGTTCCTATAAATACAGTATAGTGTGTGCCAATACGGAGCTGGCACGAGTATCGGAATGAATTCACAAATTCACTCAAGTCCGTGAGGAGCTTCATTTTTAAATCCCCTATCAGCGCACATTCCCTAGCTCAGGAATGTGATCTTGTCTCGTCGACCACTGGGGCTTGTATGCAGTGTCATCTGCTCAGTGACACATGCTTAATAATCGTCTATTGTTACCAATGGGAGGTTTTTAAAAATAAATATAGCCCACTTTTATCTTTTGCCCGGTGTCATAAAATAAATGTTCCTCCCTAAATATTCGTTCTTACGAGGAACCAATTTTTTTGAATAATTGTTTCCCCTTACACATATCTGTACCCACTTATTTTCCATAAAAAAACGGTCCATCTTTGTACATGACGTTACAACCATTCCTTTGTAAAACAATACCTTTATTTTAAAACCACTTTCCATACTTATTTGTGAACAAGTTGCTCAGTATAGCTTTGCGTTTTCATACCATCTGTTTGGTCCTAACTTTGTCCAACCAATGTCGTGGCTAATCCATGACCTTTAACCTTAGGATACAAATAAATAGGGGAAACAACTCTTAGTGAGTGTGGACGAATGCTCATTCCCCTGGAGAAACAGTATTCTGATCAACCAAAACTCTTTTACAGCAACCAAAATCATCACTTGCGCAAAATCTTGGAGGTTATTTGTTATTTAACCAATTATTTGGCAACGCTGTGATGGCAGTGGTGCACAAGCACACGTAAAAAACTGAACACATTCCTCAATAACGCTGCCATAAAAAATATTATATGCAATCTTTTGGGCAAATTCGTGCTATGAAGAAAGGCCATTTGCATGAAACATCTCCTATTATATATTAAATGTATTGCGTTTTTAGATACATAGTAAATAGTGAAATTTCATGTTTTCATACTGCCGCTTTCAAATAGGAAATTCGTAATAGGTAGTGTCCTATTAAAAGCAATTATGATTACATGTTTCATTAAACTGTACCCTCTCCAAAACTGGTCTACTAATGAGTTTCAGCTAAATGTCAAGACAGCAAGCCAGAAAAACTACCCCTGCTAATCTTCCCTTTTCTCAGCGGCCCTGTCATATACCAGCAAAACATTATACGTGCATACTTGCCATGGGAAATGTCACCCATACCCTTTGCCAAAGCTGTAAACTTAGCCATGACTATAAATTATATCATAACTGTTTTGCTGATTGAATACAATGTAGAGCACTAACCTATACATGTAATTTAAGAGACGGGAGGTTTTCATTCAAAAGATGGGATAAACTGGAATGTTTTAATTCCCGGTGTAGTTTAAATACATGAGTCTAATGCAGCGTGTCTTAAATTTCGATTTAAAGCTTTCGTTACTGCAGGTTTTCATCTTCTTGGTTCTTTCGGTAAAGTCACGTAAAAGGGAAATAATAAAATAATAAAAATAAAACATAATAACAGGGCCGTTCTTCACCTGAGGACGGCTGCTTGCGTTGTGGCCGAAACGTCGTGAGAATTGTATTTTATTATATTTTATTTTTATTATTTTATTATTTCCCTTCTGCAGCGTGTCTTGTTTTATTATTGACTTAACACCAATGTAGAGATTAGGTAAATGCATTGAAGGAAGGAACTGTGGTGGCAATTTTTTATAACATAAATTTTAATTGTAAAAATAAAACAGGTTCACTCTCTCGAGCATGATTTGAAACAAAACCAAAGAAATTTTTGATTGATGTGATCCTAGGGGTCAAAAGAACCCTCCAAGTGTGTAAACAAATATATTTGCATTTTATGGCAGTCATATATATCCTAGGAGTCCACCACAGTGGAAATAATGCATGGGAAAGTTAAAACATATTTTTTACAACGTGTTTATGTTGCCATTGAGAGAGAAAATCTCATCAATTTGGCCTTCTTTTACACAATATAAAATATTTCAGTTTACAGAGAGCCGTAAATATCCTGGGTAGGTGAAGTTGGGTGGTCGTTAATATCAGTTAATATTTAACAGCAAACAAACACATTGAAAAATAACACAAGTAGAACTTCTTCAAAGTAATTATATGTTTTTGTCTATCAGCCTGTCGGTTCTTCAGACGAATATTATCAAGCAGCCATTGTTTTTTTGCAAGCAAGAGCTCAATCGGTTTTGACATTATGGCTCTCATAAGTAGAGTTAGGCTTGTTAAACAAATGTTACTGGATTTCCAATTAGTGTTCGCAAAATCACTCTCTTGTGTATGTTTTAAAATATATGTATATATATTCAGTCGCAAACTGCTAAACGTGACAACCACTGCTTTGTACATAACACAATAACCATTCAATGTCTCCATCACGTATCCGTCTCTCCAAATAACACGTATTTCGTACACAACCCATCATACCTATGACCTTCGGTGGGAACATTCATTGCAGCAGTATTGAATCACGACAAGCAAACTGTGGACCGCTGTTGACACACGATTTGGTGTCTCACAGTTAAGACTCAAACCGCCATCTAGCGGTGCGTCCTGCTGCCACCAGTTGATGACCTCTGTATTTTTGTATTTTACCAGGTAAGGCTCACCCTGAACTTTCCAGTACAGCTTTTTTTCCAGAAGCGACCTGACCATCACAAATGACAGCTCTACGAAGTGACTTACATTTCGATTTAAAGCTTTCGTGACTGCAGAGATTCATATTATTGGTTCTTTCGGTAAAGTCACGTAACTTTACCGAAAGAACCAAGAATAGGAAGTGACTTATGTGGAAATTTACAGCAGCCAAATACTCTAAACGCGTGTTTTTTAATGTGGAGGGAATAACCAGAGGACCCAGATACAAATCCACGGAAACCACGGGGAGTGAGACACGCAAACTCCAAATGTACACGGGTCAGGGTCGGGATCGAACCCACGACCTCCTTGTATACCGGGCGAGGTAGTTAACATCTCTCCCTGTGACCTCTTGCAGTGCACCGTTGCTTGCTCTTGATGCGAAAAAAATCCGTCAGTATTTCTTGAAGTGCATTGCGATAGATTTTGTCTTAGTACATAATCAAAATACATATCGTTTGACTGACTGGCAGGCATTGAGATAGACGAATAAGTTTCGTCCTTATTAAGACTCGTTAACACAATATCGTAGTCACCAATGCCTTATGCTACAAAGTCTGCCACAGGCAACCACATACGTTTTATGGGATCTCCACTTCAACACTATAGGGCCCGTTAACTTGGCTAACGCTAAATTGGTATTATCCAAGACCGTAACCATGGAGTCAACATTGGGGGGGACCAAATCTTCCAGGGGGTCTGGGTGTCCCCCCCCCCCAGAAAAAAAATCTAAATTTAAAAACTCATTTCCTGGCATTTCCTGCCTAAAATATAACAAAATTCACTAACACATAGGATGGACTTTTTATATATTTTTTACAATATTGTCGAGTAGTGTATTGTATTACTTTTCTGTTTGTTTTACCTTTTCTTGTTTCATTGTATGTAATGGCAGAGATTCGGGATTAATAAAGTACAACCATGACCACAATGATATAAACAGAAATCTATTTTATAGCAATATATTGGGGGGGACATTTTGAGCATATTTGAATATTGGGGGGGGGTGTATTTAAGCGAAGCATGTTTAAATTATTTACTATATTTTTTCGTTTACGTATTTCTCACTTACGTTGCTAATGACATCACACCTCGCTTCTCCCACACTTCAACCGATTGGCGAAGCCACCTAATGACATCACACCGTCACAACTCCTCGCTCAATGCGGGACAGTCGAGTGATGTCATCGCAACAAACATCAATGACGTCATCCCCGCACAGCGACAACCACCACGCACCAGTTAACACGCGCGTGACGTCACTCCCCACACGACAACGGCGAAAGGGGGCCGCGGTCTCCGCTTCATCCTATTGGCCAATCAACGGCCCCATGACGTCACGCCCCCGAACGGTGACAAGGGTGAGGGGGCGTGGCTGCCACCTATTGGCCGCCTCGGCGTGACGTCACAGACACACCCCCCCCGCCCCACCACCACCCGCCTGGTTCGGCTTCAGCTGACTCATCAGCTGTTAAGTGAGACGCGGGCAGCCACCGAGCGAGGAGGTGACCACGAGAAGGAGCCATGCTGTGCCGTGCCGCCTCTCCCTCGCTCAGGGCGCCCCGGGCCGCCTTGCTGGTGGTGAGAGACAGAGAATTACCATGCACACCCCCCACCCCCCCTCTCCCTGTGTTGTGTATTGGTGGTGCTGGCCACCCACCCACTCGTGTGCCACTGTGCCGGCCTTCATAGGTGCTCGCTAACAGCACTTGCCCCTACAGCCTGTTGAGGATATACGGGAGGGGGGGGTCCTTTGTATTGCCATGGTGTTGGAGTGGTCCTCCTTCTCAATGCCTGACACCAGTGTGGCTGACTTGATGACTTGGGATTCCGTTGCATGGTGGCCAATTCTAATATTGCTGCCAGCTTCCTTAACGCTTTGCACGTTGCTGCATCCACACTGCCCGCTTCACCGCTGTCTCTTTCCATGCTTCTCCCAATAGCCGTGTTTTTTTTGCTGTCTGCTCCATCCCAGGCTGATTCGCCACTGATTCATTTCTGGCGTTCCGAACTTGCTCTCACGTTCGCTGCCCTTGGCGAATTTCCTTGTCTTTGTTTGTCTTTAGTAATAGGTTTTTACCCTTTAACTGGTACAAAATCTGACACCTTTATACAAGGCATCATGTTTGCAATAATTGTATAAAGGTGTCAGATTTTGTACCAGTTAAAGGGTAAAAACCTATTACTATATTTTGCCACTGGTAAAGGAGATCTCATAGTGTTCGTCTTTGTTGAACGTCGCCACTGGGGAGACGAAGGCGGCCGGGAGTGGTTGCCGGCCTTAATAGGTATAGCTCGCTAACAGCACTCGCTACGAAACGTCTTGCCGAGGCTTTTATCCGGACTGATCTTGTTGACATTTTTTTGTAAACGAATTACGAGCGCGGTTGGTTATCCTGCGTGTGCACGGCAGCTGATGAGCCGTGCGGCTTTGGCGCGGCTCGTGGGTCGGCGGGGTCGCCTTGGTTTGCAAGTGATTAACGTTGAGCCCGATGGTGTCGGGGTGAGACACGAGTTCAGCCAAAAGCCCCGTGTCTGCCGAGCTGACGGCGAATCGTACGGCATCCACTGCTGCCAGCAGCGGTGTCGTGTCGGGGTGGAGCGCGTGGGTTGCAAATGAAAGCGCCGTGGTTGATTTTGGGCATCAATACCTGCAATTTGTGGGATTTCACATCCTAGTCGAAGTCGAGTCGTCCCCAACAACACCCACGTCGATCTTACCCCGGGATCTCTCTCCCACTTCAGCAAAAATGTTCGTGCTGTGGTTTTCCCAACTGATGATGATTGATCTTCTTTGTTATTTTGGTAAAGTCACGTAGAAGGGAAATAATAAAATAATAAAAATTTAACATAATAAAATACAATTCTCACGACGTTGCGGCCACAACGCAAGCAGCCGTCCTCAGGTGAAGAACAGCCCTGTTATTATGTTTTATTTGTATTATTTTAGTATTTCCCATCTACGTGACTTTACAGAAAGAACCAAGAAGATGAATCCCTGCAGTCACGAAAGTTTTAAATCGAAATTTGATGATGATTGCTTGTGTTGCGGTCGAAACGTCGTGATTTGATTTATTTTATTTTATACCTACGGGACTTTACCGAAAGAACCAAAGAGTAACACCCACGTCCACCATCGGCATCATCTTCACAGGTCGGTGAAGTGAGAATCACCTCGGTGGGCTGCAGGTTTCACTCAACCGGTCCCTGCTATATAATAAGAGCGTGGAATGTTCACCGCTAGTTGATGAACAAACCCCCCCATAATTGAATCTCGCCCAATGCTTGTTGAACATTTTGGTCTTCTTACTTAGTCCTGTCAGTATGGCTGTAGCCGGCTGGGCAACCGCAGTTTTGTCGACTTTGAATAACGCAGACATAAAGAGAAACACATGGATCAGGGAACACATACAAATTAGTAGATATCACTATCTTATCATTGTGCTTGTCCCCCACTACTAATGCAGCATCACCAAGTAATTGGTATAATGGTAACGGTACTTGCATTTGTATGGCAATTAATTGCTTTGGCATCTTGCATCGCATTTTTTTTTTTATTATTTGAATGGAACTGTTACAAAATGTTAGTGGGTTTGGACAGCACACGTTGGGAGGAGAAATCGTGACCGGTAGTGAAAACGAAGGAAGGAATGGCAGCCAAATGAGGAAACGCATACTCTTTGGTTATTTCGGTAAAGTCACGTAGGTATAAAATATAATAAATCACGACGTTTCGATCGCAAAAAAAGCAATCGTCATCGAGAGAAAAATGTACTGCTTTTTTTTTTCTCCTGATGACGATTGCTTGTGTTGCGATCGAAACGTCGTGATTTATTTCATTTTATACCAACGTGACTTTACCGAAAGAACCCGAGTATGGATTCCTGCAGTCACGAGAGCTTCAAATCAAGATTGAGGAAACGCATCTTAGAGGACACGTCCACTGCTGAGATGAAGCTATGACATCAGCTCACGTTCAAAAACTAAATGGAGTTGACGATGCATCGCTCGACCATGAGAGATCGGTCACAGCTTGAGGAGGCCTTCATCAAGCAGTGGATTGATCATGGCTGATGATGGTGACCGTAGACCAATTTATTATTCGTTGTGCACATTGTACACCTGTTTGCACACTCGAGGTACCAGCGCTGGTCATAACAGCCCAGTGACCTTCACACTTAACAAGGAGATAACTCCACGCCTTGCTGCCCTCACAACCAGGTCACTGGAACCCTGGGGCCACTACTGGATATCATAAACACGCTGTATTAATATAGGGGAATCAAGACGTGTTTGCTTTCATTGTATGTTAGTATTGATTTAAAGCTTCTACGTGACTTTACCGAAAGAACCAAGAATATGTAAGTACTTTAACGGGAACTGCACATTTAGCGATAGAACTGATAAAGAGCTGCAGGACTTTGTAAATTGTGACAATTTCATTATCATGTGTAATACTAGTAAACATGATATCAGGCTTGGCCTACAGCACACTCCTTGGGAGGTAAATTACTTGGTTCACTGATGAGAGGGATCATATGTTGCCAAGTGTTTTGCACAAGACTTGAGTGAAGCACTTGAGAATGTTAGGCTGTCCCCTGCCCTGTAAGTGAAACTTTTCAACTTTCAAGTCATACTTTTCAGGGGCCCAACATCAAGATCAGTGTGCTTAAAATTTTCATCATAACTACAAACTACAATGGTGAACTATTTATAGATTCCCCACTTAAAGAATATGGAGACATTGTATTTCTAAGCCTCTACATGTCTGTCACCAATCTCAACACACTTATTACATATTTAAATGTTATCCTCTGTAAGATACGGAGCCATAAAAATTACACAATAGGCAATCACCCGTTGAGAAGACTGTCAAGAGGGTGATTAGAAATCAGTAGAGTATCTAAAACTGGATCACCCTCTAAAGTTTGTCCCTATGATTCCCAATGCAGAGCAGTCACGCTGAGTGTATGAAGTTCCACGCGTGCTTCCTTGCAGGGTAATGGAAATACGGGGGCATTTGAGGTCGGAGTATTGGCCAGTGCTGTGGTCTAGCGAGATGGCTGCAGTGTCAGACAGTCCCATGCCTATCCCTGTACGTGAGAAGTTTCGTGTCACTTATGGCTGGAAGACGACCGCTAAACTCATGAATATGCATGCTGTAAAGCCACCTCACACTGCTTTCTTGTGAGAATATTAACTAGGTTTAGTAACACCGACCATATAACCATACAACCATACAGTAGTATGTTAATGAATCACAATTGAACTCGTATGAATTGTTTGAAAATGACCTAAATGTTCATCCACCTTAGTTGATCGAAAGGTCGTGAGTGGTGGGTTAAAGTGTGGTTATACTCTCGCTTCGTTCTATACACACTGGCAGCGTGGAAGAATAGGCCAAATACCCTCTCGAGAAGCTTCTCTAGATCTTCCTTTTAGTGGAGGCCTTTCTGACATCAGTGGGCTGAGCAGGCAATTGGAGGGCTGCACCTTTATGTTACCTTTACCGGATACAAACATCTTACATTATTTAGCTTTTAACGTGAAGTTTTTGACTTGCATTCTATTGCATATTTGGAATTAATGTTTGATGGACAAGAAACATGAAAACTGCTTTATGAACTCGTTAAAAAAAACGTGCCCATTTTTTATTGCTTTATGCAACCAAATACTCCCCAAAAAATGTAGGCCAGAGGACAAAGAATGTCACCTAAAATGCAAGCTCTGTACGAATGTTTAGCGTTAACGCAATCACCGTTTAAATTCCGTTGGTGGGTAAACACACAGTGCGTGACAAGGAAATCTCTCAACGCTGTTCAAAGGCACCTTCACTGGGGGAACAGTTTCTTTCCAACAGGCAAACCAGGGGGGGGGAGGGGAGATCTCGCGGTGGTGTTGTGACGTGATGTTGAACTCCCCCATCCTGCAGTGTGTGAATATATCAATGTGCCATAACGAAAATGTTCTGGATATTTTTGGCGCAGAATCAATGGCTGCAAAGAAGCTACACGTCTGGGTCTGCGCTGAACGTGAGTGGCCATTTCTTCTGGGTTACAAACAGGGGCAATACGTACACATAACGGTGGGGGAATTTCATTCTGGTGATGCCTTGCTGTAAGTCTGTCAAGACATTTCACCTGCAAAATATGAGGCTGTTGCACCCCAACTCATTGTCATGAACATGAGCATTTCCAGCCACCGCACATGTATTCGGAGTGAATTAATTGCATAGTGATTGGCACGCTGCGCTGTGAACCCTCGCCCCCTGAGTTCAATTTGGGCACTCCACCTTTACACACCCAACACTGACCAGCATGGTAAAGTATGGTCGAACGACCCCCATAACCAGTGTGGTATGGGGAGGCCTTGAGACTACTGTAGTCATGTATCGTGCATACATGTTTGGTGCCCCCAATGTTATGAGTTCCAGCCACTCTAGTGATATATTGAGTGGCTGCCCAGTAACTGGCGTCCATTTGTATATATATGTCCATATTTTATATTTGCGCAGGAGGTGGTCATCGTCAGTGCCGTACGTACACCGGTCGGCTCATTCCGGAGTTCCCTGTCCTCGATCACTGCCCCCAAACTGGGCTCCATCGCGATCCAAGCTGCCGTGCAGAAATCTGGTACGTTTTGTGTTTGTGTGTGTGTGGAGCTCTGTGCCTGGGAGGTGTGTGCAGGGTAGTCTTTGGCTGATGGCCGATAGTGTTCCAGGAACATTATGATGATTATGGGGAACTGGTGGCTGTGTGGGTTGTGTGTGTGATGGGGAGCGGTAAGTGTACTGCTTAGCACGCTACGCTACAAACCCGGTGATATGAGTTTGATTCCTGCTCACGGTCAACATCAGTGACGATTATCTGAACCGGTCCTGGGCCTCCACTAGGTCGACTTAGCCTCAAATGAGTACCTGTGGTGCGCAAAAATATTGCCACTGGGGAGACAAAGGCGGCCAGGCGTGGTGCTGACCAGCCACCCCCTCGTGTGCCGTGCCAGCCTTCATAGGTGTTGATCGGTAACAGCACTTGCCCCAACAGTCTGTTAAAGCTATATGGGGGATCTTTGTCTTTGTGGTGAGTGTGAGAAGGTAAAGTATCATGTCAGCATGTTATTTTAGGTGCGTTTATTTCCCTTTTGTACTGCAAAAACAAAAACCAGACTAAACAGGAGTCAAAGTATAAAATGTGCTTAGAGGGCGATTCATTTTCATAATATACATGTGCAGATCTGCTCACTGATAAGAGACTGGTGAACGTGTAATGAATGACATTTAATTGAGCACATAAACTATAGGAAAAACATGTACGTTAAATCTAGCAAAAACAACCTTCATAAATGCAAATATACTTATAAGTTTCCATATTGACAAGCCTTCACAAATTCTACATCGAGCAGCTGTTAGAGATGCTGTAATGCATTTGCAAGAGCCTTATTTTGGTTGTCAATCCAAGTTCCTTCGATATGTAATAATTTTCCATGGTTAAATTACAAGAAAAATATACTTTTTCCACCAAAATATATTTTTGTCAACACAAGGGTGTCTATTGTAAAATAATCTTCATGAGCAACTCAGCTGGTGAAATAAAGTAGTTTTTTTTTCTTGATTCACTTGAAATTTATGTTTTTTGTTGCTCGCAAAAATGTTGTGCCATGCTGCGATGCATTTGTTTATTTTACAGCACTCCTTGCCCGTTCCTATATTTAGTTTCTGATCAAGTGAGAGCCAAATGAAATGTAAAAAAAAAATCTCATTTGCAAGGCAGGCTCGGGGTACAAACTATAGTAGAGTGGGGAAGGATGAAAGGAAAAAAAGTAAACTACTGTGGCTTCGGCTGCATAGCTTTATGAAATTTTCTGGTCATACAATGTGTTGATTCGCTCCACATGCTGGGAGATTCTTCAAGAATTGAGGAACTGAAGAAGCTCCCAGCACATTGTGATGTCAGACATCATGCCAAACAACACCCAGTACAACCCGAGAACACATCATAGAGATGAAGGCAAATGTTTGTATCCTGTAGTATGGCGGTTGATTCAATGTGGGTGTGTGTGTGTGGGAAGCGGTGGTATGGCGGTTAGCGCCCTGTGCTTCGAACCCGGCCACCCGAGTTCGATTCCCGCTCACGGCCAACACCAGTGACGATTATTTGAACCAGTCCTGGGCCTCCCCTAGGTCGAGTCAGCCTTAAATGAGTACCTGGTGTAATGTGTAAACATTGCCACTGGGGAGACAAACGTGGTCAGGCGTGGTGCTGGACACTCACCCCATCGTGTGCCGTGCCGACCTTCAGAAGGTGCTCGCTAACAGCACTTGCTCCAACAGTCTGTTGAAGGCTTTATGGGGAATCTTTGTCTTTTGATGAACCATAGCTGAGATGGTTGATAAACGTGTTCATAGATTTGATCAAACATTTATATTTCCGATGCAATATCGTTTACCTTTGTGTGACTGCCCCACATGCAGGCATTCGCCCGGAGGATGTGCAGGAGGTGTACATGGGGAACGTGCTGCAGGGCGGAGAGGGGCAGGCGCCAGCCAGGCAGGCGCTCATCGCAGCAGGTGAGCCAATCGCTGCCTTGCAGGGTTGCCACCCACACATAATAAGCTTCCACAACTCCTCTGCTTTATCAGATGGGTCTCCTCAGCACTGTTTTGGCTGCGGCTTCGGCATTCTCCCAAACACATATTTGTCAGCATGCAGTAAGTCCCCCCAGGTTGCGGAAGACCCAACTTATGGAAATCCGACCTTACGGAAATGCTCCAATAAATCGTGTTAAGACAAATTCAATATGCAGACATTGTTGCCTTAGTTACGTAAGCGCAAACGGTGCAGCGCGGTGAGGTTGAGGATGCATACCGTGGAGCGAGGCGTAAGCCCCACCTCACGCCTTACTCCACCAAAACGCCACCTTCACCAAGCCCGAGCTTCACTAGGAATATGGTAAATTGATTTTTTTGTAGCCTTATGTATTTATTTTCCTTTTGTAGTGTTACATAATTGTTTTCTATGCTTAGAACTCTATTTTTCCCATGTTTATATTGCTCGTTTTCTTAACTTTAGGTGTATTTCATGAGTGATTTACTGTATGTGCTTTATTTAACACCATTACACTATTATTGCGTACGGTCTCAACCAACAACAATCGGAGAAGTCCAGGCCTAGCCTAATGCACTGTAAAAGAACATTCGGAAGTGACTGCTTTCTGTTAACAATTAATAATAAAATGTTTCGTGGTATTCATAAACAATTGGATACAGTCTATGTTCCATTAGTTTAATTATGGGTAGTGTTAGGGTAGATATTCGATTAAATGAAAGAATCATAGGAAGTGCAGAGCGTATGTACAGCAATACGATAAAGGTAGCGATTGAAAACGGTTGACATACGCGATACAGTACTGAGAAAAAACGAACCTAGTAATCGGGTAGGGGAGGCACAACTGTTTCCGGCTATGGGGTTTTATCTTGATTTTGGGGGAGAATTGTTCAGTTTCCGACAGAGGTGGGACAAAGTCATTGTTATGCAAGTCCAAGTCGAGTCTGAAGTCATCAAATTCATGACTCGAGTCTGACTCGAGTCCAAGTCACATGACTCGAGTCCACACCTCAGAGGTGGGACAAAGTCATTGTTATGCAAGTCCAAGTCGAGTCTGAAGTCATCAAATTCATGACTCGAGTCTGACTCGAGTCCAAGTCACATGACTCGAGTCCACACCTCTGGTTTCCGATATAAGGAAAATTTGGGTTAGGGATCGTTCTTGGGAGCCTAACCCTTCCGTAACCCAGGGACTGCCTGTATATGACTTTCAGGATTTGCAATTATAGGGCTTTTAAATTCCTCACCATCTCATCTCAACTGCCCTGTTGCGTTACGGCAGTCTATCCAAGGTGATTGTCCACTGGCAACCACCTCGTGGTGGCACAAGGTGCGTGCAGCACTAGTCTGCAAATGAGCATCAGTCTGCCAGTAGGGGGCGATGTTGCTATGTAAAGTAACAACCTATTCATATGTGACCGGTGTCCATATTTTTTCTTAAATTCAAAGGTGGCAACATCCACTTCCCTCTTTCCTGTGACCAAGCGACATTCAACTGTAGCTACAAAACTAAAGTTCTGCACATGCAACAACCAACAATTTTATTTCGCAGAGTTGGCTGTCAGATTCAGTGAAAACCAAATTAAATAATTTTTTCCCCCTGTCATTTATGACCGGGCTGAGCTCATCAACTCACTCTACACTTGGGAATCTGATTTAATCACAGGTAAATAAAACCTGAATTATAACGCAGCATCTCATCAGTAGTGGCTCATAATCCTGAGTCATCTGGGCCACCTGTTATTTTTTTATAAATAAAAAAAATTGTCAGCCAATGAGAAATTTGATGACGTTATCCACTGCTGGTAGCTTTTCTTAATTATGACAATTTATAGTTTTATACCAGTTTATACAATTGTATCTCACAGTTGCTGAGGAACAACAGACAAGTTGTAAGGCAGCCAGGTGATGAGCTGGTGCCAACAATTGCCCAATTTCTGCAGTCCTATATATATTAAGATGTTTTCATCCACTTAATGATTGTTTATACATTCTTAAAATAAGTTTTGTAGCGGTGATGTTTGATTAGAATGTTAATTTAGTGAGCTACTTGTAAACAAACCACGTGAGCTTTAATGACCCTATGCTGGATTTATAAAGATAAATTAAGTAATGCAAACCGTTTGCACATTTTCAGGTTTGCCAATCTCAACTCCTGCCACAACCATCAACAAAGTGTGCGCTTCAGGGATGAAGGCGATCATGATGGCGTCACAGAGCCTCATGTGTGGCCACCAGGTCAGAGGGAGGGGATTACGATGGTGTTTTCAGTATTCACAATTTGTGCGTTGTACGCAAGTGCTGTGGTGCGCTTTGTTGATCACATTGTGCGTGTGGATCTGTGTAGATGCACACGTGGGGAGCGGTTGGGTAGCAGCTAGCACACTGCGCTACGAACCCGGCAACCTAGGTTCAATTCCCGTTCACGGCCAACACAAGTGATGATTATCTGAACCGGTCCTGGGCCTCCTGGAAGTCGACTCAGCCTCAAATGAGTACCTAGTGCAGTGTGTAAACATCGTCACTAGGGAGACGAAGGCAGCCGGGCGTGGTGTTGCCCACCCACCCCCTTATGTGCAGTGCTGGCCTTCATAGGTGTTCACTAACAGCACTTGCCCCAACAGTCTGTTAAGACTATACGTGGGATCTTTGTCTTTGTACATGCACACCGAAGTTTGATTCCTGGTCACAGCCAACGTCGGGGACAAGTGGCATCAGGACTTGTCCTGGATCTCTCCTATGTTGACTGAGCCTTAAATGAGTGCTATGTGCAGTGTGTAAACATGGGGTGACACATTTGGCCATGCATGTTTCTGGCCATATCGCCCCTTGATGCGCCACTCCAGCCTCTAAATAGGTGATCAGAGCACACAGAGCTTCCTCCAACAGTCCGTATGGCTACAGAGGGGAGCTTTGTCTGTTCGCATGCGTGCAGGAAGTGATGGTTGCGGGCGGTATGGAGAGCATGTCCAACGTCCCCTTCATCATGCGGCGTGAAGATCCGCCGTACGGCCGCGTCTCCCTGGAAGATTTAATTGTCCACGATGGACTAACGGACGTCTACAACAAGATCCACATGGTGGGCACCAGCTTAAACCAATTGCATTCGCAACTTGGCTTTCATACACATTCCTGAAACACAGCTTGACTTTCTCGCTTAATAACTATTGTGCTTTGTCAGCCTCTGACCAAATCACCCAGAGTTGGCAAGAATAATGCTTACAATATAAACTTGTAACACGCGCGGTTTTCACTCGATCTCGAAGAGAGAGAGCGACTCAGATCGCGAGGAACCACAGACAAGCGGGAAAGGCAGCGACGCGGTGACCTGGCACAAAATTCCCCCCCAAGCTCGGTGATCCTCTATATATTAAGTTATTATCAGCCAATTAACGAGTGTTTAAATGTGTGAGGAAACCGGAGGACCTGGAGAATACATGTTGCATGTGAGAGGGAAACCCGCTATCCCATACAGATGGAACAGGTGAAGTCAACATTTCCTGTGATCTACCACCCCTCGCCTCCGCAGTTGCTAGATTATGATTTTCACATGCCGTTTTTAACGCGTATGTTTTCGCAGCCGCGTGTGATTCAAGGGCTGCATGTCGAGCATTTCTGCTTTCAAGCTTTCGCCACGTGCTACTTTGAGAGAAGAAATGCCTGACACGCAGCCCAACCTGGAAAACCGCGCTCGGTTTCTCACATGTCCTTTGAGAAGCGATAAATAAATCTTGATGGTTGACACTGGCCAACTTGGACCACGTGACAGGTTTTGGGACATGTGTATTATGGTCCCTGTGCCCATTCTCCATGTTCTTAGGTTTTTTCGGTAAAGTCACGTAGGTAAAACATTAAAATTAATAAAAGTAAAATAAAATAAAAAATCACGACGTTTCGGAGGCAACACAAGCTTCCGTCTTCAGGTGGAACCGTCACAGCCACTACAGCTGTATCAAGTAAATGAGAGATTGCAGGAGCAACCACTCCGTTTATATAATGGTTGGAGAGGGGGGGGGAAGGGCCAAGTAAAGCACACTTTTTTATTCATAAGAGGGTGAGCCTTTGTTAATGTTTTACCTACGTGACTTTACCGAAAAAACCTAAGAATATGAATCCTTGCAGTCACGAAAGCTTCATTCTCCATGTGTTCACCACCATCTCAAACTGCAGGGCAACTGTGCAGAGAACACCGCACGCAAGTTCGGGCTGTCACGTGAGGCTCAGGACCAGTACGCCATCTCCTCGTACCAGCGCAGCCAAAAGGCTTGGGAGTCTGGCAAGCTGGTCAAGGAGGTGGTGCCTGTCACCATCACCAAGAAAGGTCTGGGTCTTGGCATATTTTTCATCTTTTTGTTTTATTTATCCAAATTTTATCTCAACTGTGCTGTCTTTGTTAAGTCATGAGACAAACAATCCAGCCGTAATTCTCACAGAACACTGCTCTGCGAGAGTTAGGAATGGATTGTTTGTATTGGAGGACAAACTCCAGAACCTCTTCTGAGGACCATTTGAGGTGACCCCCAGTCCACACAGTAGGGGGCAATATTTACCCAACCGCCCTGCGAAAGAGAGTATTCTTTGTCACGTGACAGTAAAACTCATGATTTTACTTCTCGCCGCTGGAATGTTGCCAGTTGGCTGCAAATTGAACGTGATTTATTTTACGTGCAGCCATTGATGGCCAGGCCGAGACCATCAAGCCAGTTACCCTTGAGGATCTCGGTAGTGCCAGCTCAGCACTCCTATCTTTGAGCCGCCCGCCCATCTCAGCTCCTCATTGTTAAACTGACGTACTCTTCTTCACAAGTCCCAGGATGCCTGCCGAGGCTAGCATTTGTTACCGAGAGTCAAACGGTTGTGCTTTTGTGTGTGATCGTGGTCGTTGTTTGGCATAAACCTGTAATGAACATTGGATGTCTTTTAGCTATTGAGTTGCTTTGGATTCGATAGGAACAAAGTTTAATTGTTTAACTTTGTTTACCCCTGCCACAGGCAAACCGGACGTGGTGGTATCGGAGGATGAAGAGTTCCGGCGGGTGGATTTCAGCAAAGTTCCCAAGTTGAAGACTGTGTTCCAGAAGGAAAATGGTAAATGTTTAAACGCATTGTTTCAAGCCTGACTCTTTGAAAGATTTGCTGTAACAGTGTAATGGGAAATGTGACGTTTCCCCTAAACATGAGCACATTTATTGCAATGTAGTACCCCACAGAACTGAAATGCAGCTGTTGGGTAGAGAGCAGAAGTGCTGACATCGACTATAAATACAGTAACATGCATGAGAAATGCTATCCTGTGCATCAGCTGATGGCTCGGTTGGATTCAAAACAAGGAACTAAGATGTCTAAAAAACAATGTATATATTGCATACAGAAGGAAAAAATGTTTTTGCATTCTCCAGCATGGTTGTTGAACACAGTATGGATGACAGGAAATTGCCAATCATTGACATTGAGATTATCAAGCCGTGAAGTTCATGAGAGCAGTCTGTTAAATGTATCGGCCGATCTTAACAGTCAACAGAGGTCTCATTTAGAAATTCACCATCGAGATATTGGCTCCAGACAACAGGAGAGATCAGGCCAAAAGATTACGAGATTGACCAACTTGTTGTTTCTCTCCAGATTGTTGCTGCAAGGACTGAAACTTGGGCGTCAGGCCCAACTGTTAGAACCTTACCCCCTCAACAGCCTTGCCATAAAAATCCCTAACGTCCGGGGCATTGATTCCCTGCGCATCCACGTGTCCGCGCGGTTGATGAATCGCCGTGGGTCTTCGCTCTCTGCAGGCACAGTGACCGCGGCCAACGCGAGCACCCTCAACGACGGGGCAGCCGCTCTGGTTCTCATGACGGCGCAGGCGGCCAAACGGCTGGGCGTCACACCCCTCGCACGTGTGGCCGGTACCGCCTGCCCACTGCACGACGACTTGTTTACACTGCATCCATCCCCTTACGCGCTCCTTACTTGAAGCGGTACACGCACAGCAGAGGTCGCAAACGGGTTTTGATTCCTTACCCGTACCCGTACCTGGCCGCACTAGGGTCGCAAATGGGTACCCGTACCCGGCCGGGTACCAGTACCCGTACGCTACCCGTACCCTACCTGAAATGAGTGACAAACGGTTACTCACCGGTGACTCACGGCCTACCCGTACCCGGCCGCACCAGGGTCGCAAACGGGTACGGGTAGCCGGGTATCGGGTAGGGTACGGGTATCGGGTACCCGGTTGCGACCTCTGACGCACAGGCCTTTTGGCGGTCCACTGCCAAATGAGGGCGGTGTCCTGACATCATGTGGGTTGTGGAGGTTATTTGACCATACTCTCCCTGACGTAGTCTTTTGTTTTCTTTCATGTTGTATTTCCTTGAACTTTTGAAAACATTTACAGATAATTACGGTAAATTCTGTTTAGGCTTTGGAGATGCTGCGGTGGATCCCATTGACTTCCCAATTGCTCCTGCCTATGCTGTGCCCAAGGTGAGAACTCTCAAGCCATGGTAGTTATATATTTGCGACTACAATATACAACATGGACTGTGCATCACATGATGCCATGGAGATCATATTTCATCATGTTGGTCAGTACGGGTTGTTGAATGCGGAAAGCATAAAAGTGCTGTTCAATACATAACCCCAAAGGTTAAATCAACCTCTTAGGTATGGGATTTCTCATGGGAGCACTACCCAGGCTCAAACCTGCTTAGCTTCTGAGATGTGTCAAAATCAGGCACATCCCAGATGCCTGATTAAAAACTATGCAAATGAAGTATGTAGCGTGTGGTTTGGGCTGCGCTGGCATTTCACGTGTGACGTTTTCCCTCCCACAGGCGCTGGAACACAGCGGTATCAAGAAAGAAGACATCGCCATGTGGGAGATAAACGAGGCCTTCAGTGTGGTTGTCCTGGCAAACATCAAGATTCTGGAAATTGACCCAGCGCGTGTCAACATCAACGGAGGTGCTGTCGCTTTGGGTCACCCCATTGGGTAAGCCACTGTTGGAGCCGCTGCATAGCACGTGTCTTGGATGCGATGGACTGCCATCTAGGCATGTCGATTAAATAATAAGCCAGGTGAGAGAGCAGGTTGGATTGCTTTGCAAAAATGAACTTAATGATGAAAAATACTGAGTGTAGTACTTAAAGAAGTTTACTTAAAGAGGCTCATGTGGGTCTAATATATATTAAAGTTTTAGGGGCTCATGGTGACTGATCTGAAACCATCAACTCATTGTACTTGACAACCAAATATAATCACAGGTGGCTTTAACCAGGATTCGAACCCACAATCTCAGTGGTGTCAGCTCAGTGCAATGACATCCAAGTCACCCTGCCACTGCCAAGCAATTTTTCTTTTTTGCAGTTTTTTCCCCCAACGTTACCCCCATAATGTTATCGGCATCATGTCTTTTAAACACCGTTACAGGATGTCAGGGGCTCGGATCGTTGGCCACATGGTGCATGCTCTGAAGGCAGGGGAGTACGGCATGGCTACGATCTGCAATGGCGGCGGCGGTGCATCGGCCCTGCTCATTGAGAAGCTGTGAGCTACCTGGGCCCCTACAGCGGCACCTTCCCCACAGATGATGGTCACGTGGTTGATGACGGGCGTCCAAGTGAGCACGTACATTACTGTTGTAGGATAGAGATCAACCTCGAAGGTGTGTCATTTCAGCCAACGGTAAAACAAATTTGAGTCAACGTTTGTCTAAATTATACGATTTTTGCACACTCGTCCTAGTAATTGTGTCGCGAAGATGCTGTGTTTTTGGAGAGTCTTACACATTATTCATTTGGTGAAGCTTGCCCTCTTTAACGGAATCGGTACATGCACTCCAAATAACATTACTAAGGAAGAGTCGGAAGCCCATAAGGCAATCCCTCGCCAACCGCGGAGGTTAATTTTCCTGGAAAAGGCCGTGGTAGACAAATCTGCGGTTGGTAAAATACAAGGCCTATGGCAAATAGGGGGTTAGGGGAACCACGGCCATGGTCAGACTCGTCATAGCTTAACTAACTTGCCTGTTTGTGAACTAAACATGAATAAAATACAGTGCATTACACATCAACATAATAAAATATAAATAAACATTAAATTAACTTCATATAACTTTAATGTTGAGGGTAGAAGTCCATTATTATGATGAGATTATACAGATAATAAACCGTGTGTACATGAATTCCGCAGTTGGCAAGGGATTGCTATGCTCTATACAAGTTTCCCGGCTCGCACTCCTAATTTATCACAGCACACATGCATATGTCGCCTTTACATTTCTTAACATGTCAGGAGTTTCCCAAGCATATAGCACTTTTCATAAGGATGACCAACCCAGTTTCATTGTCCTGTAGCCCTCTGAGGTCGAGGATAATTCTAGATCAGCTTCTGTAATAATATAAGCCGACTTGGACATGGACACGCTTTAACAATCTAATTCATTGCGATGTTCAAGTCTTGTATAGCCCAGTCTCAGTCCCAAGGTCATGTGTAGTTTAACACGTAGGCTTTTATAACCAATATTATTCATAATAAACGTTTTTGGGTTAGATCGAGTTATTTATAAATGTCACAACCCTCCACCACCCGACACGGCCAATCAGTCAAGTGTAGCTTCGTTGTTAAACCTCTTGTTGAATGCATACCTGCGGTATTGATGAGCTTCTCAACAAGCTGACCAATGTGGTGTGGCCGTTATGCGCCAGGGGATTGGCGTGATGGAGGTCTGCTTGGGTACATCTACAGAATTCAGCCTCAGAAGGAACTAGACCCAACTATTGTTACTTATCCTCGAGACCTGCGTTGAAGAGATCCTTGGCAATTTATTGTCAAGTGGGACAGGCACAGTCATTTTTTTTGGCAAACATTTCTTCGTGTTACATTTCTTAGTCTAAGTGTTATTGTGGGTGTCCCTGCCTTCCCACTTTCCCTTGTTTCAAGCAATGCAAATAGAGATGAGAGAAAGTGTTTGGAAGCATTAAACGTGGGCTAGGGACGACACAGTGTGGAATAGACTCAAATGTTGTGCAAATTAAGCTAAATGGTTGTACAGAAATAAAAACAATTGAGTTCTAACGGTTTACTGTTGTGCCTTCTGTGGGTGTGGACAGTGTCACCCTTGATTGTCATGTGTTTAGTGTCATTGCATATTATGTTTAATAATTCATTAGTAAAAAAAATTATTATTTCTTTAATATTCATAACTACCAACTGTCAGAGAGGAGATTGTCACCAATTAAATATTTAGCTTTCAATGTCAACTAAACTATGTAGAGGTTACTACGTCTTAACCTCCACAACTATTAAATTTACGTTTTTGTTCATATGCATCAAGTATCGATTTTTAGGTTTGTCGTCATACCAACCCACACTGGCCAGCGTGGTGAAGTATGGTCAAAGAACCCCCGTGACCCACAGCGTGGGGAGGAGGCCCTCATCCGGAAGGGAATTACAGCACTTGTCCTTGCCCCGCACCTCCAATTAGCACGGTTGGCTACATATGGAGCGAAAGAAGTTCAACATAACTTCATAAAACGGTTCTAATGGTTTATTATGAAACGTGCTTCATAAATGAAAATGACCTTTTTTAAAAACATAATATTGTATCCAGACACATTGTCATGCAGTTACAATTGCATTGCAAAATATTGCAACCACCACAACATACAATGACCACAACAAAATTAAACCTCTACATTTCTAAAAATGTTTTACCTTTAATGTAAACCCACCGAATGTACATGTAGTGCGCAAGATAAAACAAACTATTTAAAATAGGCAGTGCGAAGTTACGTAACTACACCTGTATCCAGAAATGTTCACTCATGTCTATCATTTCGGTGTACACTAACATGCAGCGTCTAGTCCGGTACAATATTGTTTTTTTCCCCTTATATAAAAATATAAAACAGATGACCAAATGACGTAATCTTTAATGGGGCAGTGTCTATGGAAATCTGTCAGATCTACAATGACCACAACGTCCAGAATAACCTGGTTTTTTAATGACTTTGTAAAAGTCATAACATGGCGACTTTATAAACATTACTACCACCGTATGAAACGTATCCAACGCATAAAAATGAACACTTCACTTGCCAACAACACACGCCCCAATTTGAGTTTCAAAATTTCATTGCAGTAATGTACAAAAATAATTCGGCTGCCTGCATCCGAGAATCATAAAAAAAATGTTGTTACATTTTGACATCCGACATTTTTTTGGAACATTGTTGCCAACGCAGTACTCATTGCCACGACTCGTAAAACCCCATTTGTTTAAGTGCCACACAGTGATCGGGTTCTGTCCAACACAAGTCTACCACGGTGCGGCAAACATCGCAACCAGTTGATTAATACTAAATCGTTGGCCAAACGTCACATCGTCGTGTTAATTACTTCATACCGGATGCGGTGCTGGGTGGTTCTAATCACAGCACGGGTGGAGCCAGCACCTCTGATTCCTGAGTTCTAGTCCAGGTTCACAGTTACCTCTGATTCAACCGAGTTCTCACGTGTCGCGAGTTCTCAGCCTCTGTCAACTGCACACATACCAAAAAATATCGCACGTTTGTTTTCACTCAAGTTGGCATATTTCACCTCTAAAACGTAATGTATGTGTTACCAATTGGCATGCAACAGACGCTTGCAGGGCTTATGAAAAGGTTCCTTCCTTGAATGTGGTTAAGAGATTGAATTGACTTAATAATCCGCTCTGTGACTTAATAATCCGCTCTGTAACGTCATCGCTAACACAGGGTGATGCACTACCAGCGTGATGCCGACGGCACAAGTGCAATATTGTTGTAGAGGTGGGAAAAAAAACACATTAAAGCGACCGCGTGCATTCGAGTAAAAGTTGCAATAACTGTACAGAAGGGTTTAGAAGCGTTGTTTAAACTCAGACACACAGGTACTCTTTAACAAACTAAATCAGTAACAATGACCTCGAGTTTCACAACGACATCCTTCTATAACTCTACCCCCAAGGGTGGAGACATGTGCACCTGACCGCAAAACTCCTTGACCGGTCCCTGCGAGCCGAATCGATAACACCGTTAATGCAACAATACAAGTGGAATTGCATCAGTCGCCTGCTGCTTGATTTACCGACTTCCCCAATACAGCCTGGTCAAAAGTGTTAAGCTTTACAAGGGCTAAACATTTTCGGGTCTGTTTCTGGCAGGGTCTCCTTCTCACTCCAGGTTACATATCGACCTCACGATACGAAGCACACACCTTGGCTTCACGTGCCGACACTTGAGCATGACACGTAACATATTAGCTATACAGCGCTCATTGCTCTGACTCCGCAGTACTCTTATTTAAAAGTAAACTAAACGGCAGCGGCCTCTCACGAAACAGTCATACAGTGGCACTAATTTGCACATTCCTATGATGGGAGGATGTCTTTCCACAAGCAAACTACTGTCTTCTTGATTCTTTCAGTAAAGTCACGTAGAACGGAAATAATAAAACATGAAATAAAAATTCTCACGACGTTTCGGCCACAACACAAGCAGCCGTCCTCAGGTGAAGAAACAGCTGTCGGAAAGACAGCGTCCCAATGAACACCGCCAAGCTTGGCAGCGAATATTTAAGCTGGATCGGGGGGGAGGAGAGCGCCTTGACAAAGTAGTTTACTTATCAACACCGGGTATTACTTTAGAGTCGCAGCATCTCTTCAGAAAGGTGAGAGACTCGATTAGCTGAGCCTTCTTATCCCGGAGTTTGTTGAAGGATCTCAAAGTTATGTGAAATCCCTCCCCGTAGAGGCGGTTAAATTTCGATTTAAAGCTTTCGTGACTTTATCATTTCTCTTCTCCGTGACTTTACCGAAATAACCAAGAAGATGAATCCCTGCAGTCACGAATGCTTTAATTCGAAATCAAACTCCTGTTATTATTCCCACAAAGTGGTGCTCATTTTATCGGCAGCAGAGGAATGAAATGCTCAATCAATCCCGACTCGGATTTGAACTCGTAAACCTTCAAATTGAGGCAACACAATGAACCACTACGCTACCTGGTGCATTAATTTATAATTATCACAAAACGCTAACCTTTCGTATTATTACAAGGTGAAAACATGATTTTCTATTACAGTATTGTCGTTAAAAACGATATAGTTGAAGTATAATCATCCAAGTGCTATTCTATATCATCGTTGTCTGCCCGTGGAATAAAAGACAGAACATGTCCACAGATAAACAGTGCTCGAGTGGTAGGTAAACACCTTGTTCTCCGGTTTCTCTTCCTTCTTATGTCCTTCTCTCCCAGTGACCTTGCATGACCTTACTTCATAATTCTTCTTCAGCCAATGGCAGGGCTATACGGGGACACGAGAGGTAGGAGCCCTGCACCGACTGCAAGTGCCATGGGCGGAAGGATGGGCAAATAACGTTGCAGCACGGCGTGTTTTTTTTTACCAAATCAGGACAGCTGCATTGGCCCTTTCATCTCAAGCGAGTGTCGAAAGCTCGCCAATAAGCAGCCACAACCTTACAGCATCACAACGGCAAGGGCATAGCAAGTACAGTGTTGTGCATGGCAAATGCAAGAACATGTAAATCACTTGTCATTTAGCCGGTAAAAATAATAATATGTAAGTCAATGTTTTGGCCGATATCCACACAAGTTTCCGAGTTTGCGAACGCAAACCTTTTGAGCGTTGTATGTACGCATGTTGAACTTCTTTCGCACCGTACGGAGCCAACCGTGCTTATCGGAGGTGCGGGGGAAGGACAAAAAAATTAGTTACCCCTCAATCTAGATTTTAAGTTTTCGTGACTGCAGGAATCCATACTCTATGGTTCTTTCGGTAAAGTCACGTAGGTATAAAATAAAATAAATCACGACGTTTCGGGCCAAACGTCCCAATGCAGGACTCTCATGAAAAGTCTGTAGATATTTTGAGGCTTTCCCGCATAAATAAAATAACATTTTGGATACATATGTACACGTGGCAGTCATCCCAAATATGTTAACCCTTAACACCTGTCTGCCCCATGACCTATCAGCAAGCCTTCCCCATTCTACGTGGCTTCAAAGTGCACCTAGCCTGGCACAAGCACCACGGCGATATGTGTGTATGCATGTTGAACTTCTTTTGCACCGTACGTAGCCAACCATGCTAATCGTAAGTACGGGATTTGAACGACAGCTGCCGTTGTGTGTGTGCATACGTACATACGTAGTATACTTCTGCTGTTTAAATCTAGATTGAAAACTCATTTCTTTAGAACTGCTTTTTGTGTTTAGTTGGTTGTTCTTCCCCCACACATCTGATTAGCAAAGTTGGCTATGTATGGTGGGAAAGCAACAGACGTACATACATACAGACGTACATACATTAAATGCTGTGCCTATAAAAACACAACAAAGGCCCATTCCTAACAGCGTACTTTAGCCGCACCGAACCTCACAAAAATAATATTCAGGGCCTACCTTGGCTCCTCCCACCCTCAACCAGTATATATACAAATACTGTGTTCTTGGAATTTCTCTCACTTGATACAGCTATTGTGCTGTGACGGTTCCACCTGAAGACGGGGGCTTGTGTTGCCTCCGAAACGTCGTGATTTTTATTTTATTTTTATTTTACTTTAATTAATTTTTATGTTTTACCTACGTGACTTTACCGAAAAAAACTAAGACTATTAATCCTTGCAGTCACGAAAGCTTCAAATCTAGAAAAGAAAAGAAAAAAAACGAAACCGCGTGCCATCATAGCGTCTTGTGTCGGCGCTGCTCTGGCACACACAGCAGCGCCACGTAGGGAACTCCGATGAAGGCCCAGCGCTCGCTGGGCCAGAAGCGGACCGCCGGCCCTCGCTCCGGCGCCTCCGACAGGACGTGCAGGTACGCAAAGCACACGCAGCCCAGGTACGCCGCCAGGCAGATGAGCACGTGCCTGCACCGCAACGCATAGACACCCCCCACCCATCCATGATCAGACTCACAATTATCCGGCTTTGCTGTCGGTGGGCACCGATTTAGGTCGGCACACGGTGCTGGAATGGGGAGAGGGGGAGAGGGGGGGGGAGAGGGGGGTGGCGGGGGACAGCATCGTGCACCGGCACGCAACGGATACCCATGTCTCCCCACACCAGGTCATCGTTTTATGACGAGTCAACCCGGGTTTACATTTCAAATCTCTGTTGGTAATATGCACAGTCCCTTGTCGATACAGACGAGGGCCTCCCAAACGTCGTGCAGGTCGTGGGGGTTTCTTGACTCCGCTGCTCAGTAAGGATTGGTAATGGCAGGGAGCATAGCCACGGGAGCGTGGAAGTACAGTAAAACAATGGACCACGCTGCACTGTTGCCCACCACATAGCCATGCCGGGTTGTTTGACAACCTGGTATGCATAGTAGTTGCACATTAAAGTAATCTCCAGGCTCAGCCCTGCTTAATTTCCAAGATCCGACATCATCAAAGAAACTCTGGGTGATAAATTTAACCCATGTCACGGAGATAATAATGCAGTGTGTTAACCACTACTGAACAGTTCACCGCAAAAGCAGAGATTCCTTGTATAGCTGTACAAAGTGTTTGGGGAAGTTCTGTTGGCAGGTAAATGTTAAGGCCGTAACAGCACACAGCAGTGGTGTGACCAGAACCATTCCTGGCTGTCTGTCTGGTAGAGAGTTTTTCACACATTTAAGACCCAGTCAACCGTGGGGAATGTCCACAACAGGTTCACAGCAAGCATCACACCTGACCATCTTTGTCTTTCCAGTGCTGAAGTTGAAACATTACACCAGAGTCACTTAAGGCTGAGTCAACCTCGGGGTGGCCCCGTCATAACAGGTTCAAGATACCACTTGCCACCAATGGCATCAATGGCTGGGAATGGAACCCAAGACACCTGACGAGTATCGCAATGAGTAAAACACTGCACCGCAGCTCTACACCCACATCTGCGTATAGGCCCAGGTCCCCTGAAAAAAAATAGCAGAATTAAGTTTGTCGGCATCTAAAGGACAACTAGGAAAAAAACACTGTAAAAAAAAACTTCAGAGCTGGACTGTATAAATGTCACTGGGGAATGAAATGCAACAAGTCGAGCAGGAAATGTGCGGAGAAACAACACAAAGGCTTGTCCGCCCAGCCGATCTGTCCGCAACGTACACGGAAAGCGTGCGTCTAGCAGGCAGGTCGCTCACTCGGCGAGAGCCTCCACCGCCCTCACCAGAAGCAGTGCAGGTAGGGGAAGTTGACTGCCTCCCAGAGGTCGCAGAAGAGGCGATCGCTGATCCAGCAGAGGAAAGCGAGCGTCCACCAGGCCCCGGCCACCAGGCCCAGCTTGTACACGCGGTTGTTCTCACAGCTGTCGGGCCAAACGGCGTCGTTTAGGCGTGCGAGATGGAGACCGAAGACAGTGGCGTGCGATGATGCCCGCATGCCTAACTGCTGTGTATTGAACTTAAACTTTCTCACCTCGAGAGATATTACTGGCCATGATTTGGGGTCACAATGGAATGCAATTGTGGACTACTTTATTCATCTCATTGTTAACGTCTCGCTTGCATTGTTATTAACATTTTTTCGTCTTGTATAGTTTGGTCCATTCCATTATCATAGAGGTTACATTATCTTAGAGTTCACATATCATTCTAATTGCAAGCAATCAAATCTTACAGCACGAATTAAACACATGTATTGTGTGGAAAAACATATATTAATGAGTTAATCAGTATATAGGTCTATTGCACAAGTCATGATTCACAGGAGGTGCTAAGACAAAGCCTCATAGTATTTCTAAAGTTGAATATGCAGGCTTTCGCGACCAATATTATTCATATTAAAGGTTATTTTTGGGTTAGATGGCATCATGAAGTGTTTCTCAACTCCAGCCCTGTGATTAATCAACCAAGGCGTGTGCGGCATGCAGTGGCCTCACCTTCATACGCCTAGACAAGATTATTAATTTTGATTTAAAGCTTTCGTGACTGCAGGGATTCATATTCTTGGTTCTTTCGGCAAAGTCATGTAGAAGGGAAATAATAAAATAATACAAATTTACATAATAAAATTCTCACGTTTCGGCCACAACGCAAGCAGCCGTCCTCAGGTGAAGAACAGAGGAGGAGAGCGCCTTGACAATGCGCTCTGCTCCTCCCACCCAGCTTAATATACGCTGCCAAGCTTAGCAGTGTTCATTAGGACGCTGTCTTTCCGACAGCTCTGTTCTTCACCTGAGGACAGCTGCTTGCGTTGTGGCCAAAACGTCGTGAGAATTTTATTATGTAATGTTTTATTCTTTTTTATTTCCCTTCTACGTGACTTTACCGAAAGAACCAAGAATAAAATTATTAATAACAAACTAGCAGACTGTCAGGCAGGGTCACAAAACTGGATTTGCGATTCACTGCATCCATGTGGTCCTACTGGGTTAGTCGGCCCCATGCTGAGCATTCACCACCGCGCACGAATATTACCACGACTAGAGGCATCTTCAGGGGTTGTTCAACACGCAGCCCAACCTGGTAGGCTGCACGTCGATTGGGGGAATAAGAATAATTTATTGATCTTGTAGAAATGCGAAGAGCGATGAAGCTCTTTTTCACATATGTCCAGTCGAGGCGGGTCAGTAAGTTACAACAATGCAAAACATCGATAGGAGTGCCAAGTTTAGAAAAGGTAAGCAAATCAATAAAAGATCAATAAGAAAACTAAACAGTTTTTTGTTATTTACCAGGTAAAGCCTACGGAGCTATTAGTTCTATTTCAGAAGCAACCTGGCCACAAATGATAGCTCAACGAAGCGGCTCATCATGTGGACATTTATAGCAGCCAAATGATAGAAATGCAATGTTTAGGGGGTTGAAAACACAAAAAAAACCCAGTGCTGCAGCGAGGAATTCCGCTGCGAGCAACCGAACAACGTGAAGTGCGAACACCGAACGTGTGCCCGAAGCTCACCGCTTGAGCTCGGTGATGAGCAGCACGGTGCACGGGATCCCGAAGGCCATGAGCGTCACGCTGTTGAGAGCCGGATTCACGAACGCCAGCGCCGTCACCACCAGGGTCAGCGCGCACATGACCACCTTGAACCTACCCCTGCGTGCGCACACATCAAGTTCATTTCATTTATTAGGTATAGCCCTGTGAGCCATTCGGCTCTTAAATCGGGTGCAACCGCAACAAACAAAAAACAAAAACATGAACAAAAAACATCTTAAAGTGAATGTGACTAAGTGCAAACAGAAAATCCAAGAAAAGACAGCAAAATATTGCAGAAAAAAATCACCGTACACCAACGCTGTGTGCAAAAATCCCAGTGGGATGCAAGTCAAACAACCAACAACAACCACAAGACAACTTAGATTAAGGCCATCAGTCTAACTCTGTACTACAACAAACAAACATGGCTAAACCAATACACTTTTCGAAATCACCAACATAAAGCCATGAAAGCAATGAAACAGTGATCACATTCGACAATCAAACATGTAGTTTTTGATTCTTAGAAGCAGAGGTGGATCCAGAAAAATAAGTAAATATATATTCGCGCAGAAATGTCTGTCCGTCCCGCGCGTGACGTCACATCACATGAGGCCCACCCCCCCCTCATTAATATTCATGAGTGGGTGGATTTTTACACTAACACAGAGGAAGGCCGAGCTGAATTAAATTATTTATTATGCAAAGTGACTTCAATTGACGTTTCTTTACAGAAAGTGACGGGAAAAATAAATGTACGCAGCACAATGCTACATCCGTGCGTGACGTCACTGCAAAAGAGGCCCCCCCCCTTCATTAATATTCATGCCCACGTGGAAATTTACACTGACGCACAAGAAGGTCGAGCACTCCTCATGCCGCACCCCTCCCCTCATTAATAATCATGAGCAGGTGACGTCACTACACATGCCGCACCCCTCCCCTCATTAATAATCATGAGCAGGTGACATCACTCCACATACCGCACCCCTCCACAATAAACACGAGGGAGTGATGTCACTACACATGTCGCACCCCTACACAATAAACATGAGTGGGTGACGTCACTCCACATGCCGCACTCCCCCCACAATAAACATGAGATGATGACGTCACTACACATGCCGCACCCCTCCCCAATAACCATTAGCGGGTGACGTCACTCCACATAATCATGAGCTAAACAATTTTTCTATTGAATATTTCAGATTTACTGCAATATACAACCGTCCTTGGATGGGCAAAAATGCGAGTAAATAAATATTCAATATATTTTCTGTTATGTTAATAATATATCTTTTTTGGGGTCTCAGGGATGGGTGGCAGGTGGGGCAATGGTCCCCAGCCTCTATGTTTGATTTCCTTCCCCACACCTCTGATTTGCACGATGGGCTACTTATTGCATGGAAGAAGTTAAATATACACACATACATATGCTTAGAACTGGAATTTAGCAAAGGGAAATAAAAATTTTACTTTAATACGATGAGGTTTTTGAGCAATCATTGGTGACCAGGCCAAGAGCATCAACCCGGTTTAATCATGGTCGACTTAAACTCAAGATTCAAACCCAGAATCTCAGCGGTGCTGGCTGGCTCAGCGATATCTTATCCCTGAAGCCAGTTAGTTGGGCACCTCTCAAACGCCACATCCCCGAGGTGTCATGCACGGCTCCGTACCGGTTTTTGCGGAAGGCTTGAGGCAGTAGGCGGCGCGGGAACCACATGGCTAGCGCAGACATTATGACCCAAAGGATGGCCAGCTCGTCCAGCATCTGCCCCAGGAAGCTGAGCGTGGCGTGGAAGTAAGCGGAGCCGGCACCTACAGCACATGCCAAGTGGCAGCCTTTTCAGTACGCACAGTGCACAACCGTGCCCACTCGCCCCCTATGTTTCCAATGTCTCGCTTCCCTGGTCCAAGTTCAAATACAGATGTATAAATGAGAGTTATTGAGCCTCACAGAAACCATTCTCTTAATTTATGTCCAGGCATAATAATAGCATAAGAGCATGTTGCCTGGGCACCACGGAGGGGTTCAATCGCTACGCTGACGTCTGTATATTTGGTGTTTGCATGTTCTCCCCGTGGTCGCGTGGATTTTTCTCCAGGTCCTCCGGTTTTTCCCTACACATTTAGAAACATGCATTTAGATTATCTGGTTGCTATACATTTCCACATAAGCCACTTCATTGAGCTATCATTTGTGGCCAGGTCACTTCTGAAAAAGAGCTATATAGCTCAGTTGGCCATACCTAATCAAATTAAAACAGTTTAGTTTCACATAGCGAAATAACTTGATGTTATAAACCTACGTTCTTGCTCTTAACAATGTCATCGTACAATGCTTCCATGATGACAAAATGAGCTCATCAGCTGACTTTCTGATAGAACAAAATTTGATTAAAATTAGCTCATCTGGAATCCCAAAAATAGAAACATTAGCATCGCCAAAGTACTTAATTTGCAATGGGTGTGTCTCGACTCAACAAGCCAACACAATGTTCCCCACGTGGCTTTGAAGGCGCAGCACGAATGACAGCGAGGTTTCTCTCAAATGAGATGTGAATCATCCAGAGCAGGGCCCTACCAACAACCAGCAGAAGGGCCCAGATGAGGTTGATGCCACGATTGAAGTGTCGTGCGTACGGCCGCGATAAGTGGAAGCACAAAGGCGGGAGCACGAAGAACAGCGCATTGCTTAACTGTGAACACAAATACATGCAGATTAAGGACACGAATTCAAGAAAATTGCCCCATTAATTCAACTGCCATACCAAGAGCTCGAATCGCAACCGTGACCTCTGTGTGCTAACCAGCGTGCTCACCATTACACCACGGACGTTTAAAAAGAGAAATATACAATGTGTGCAGGAAACCATTCTCTTTTACATTTGGTTAAAGGAAACACACAAAAAACGACTTTAACAACCCCAGTCTCAAACCGACTTAGCTTCTGAGATATAACCAGATTGGGTGCATTCTGGCTGATTTGGTCATCGACAGTGAACACATACATAAACAATATAGAACTGTACATCTTCGGCAAACAATGAATATCAATACCAACTCAGGCTGCTTTAAAATACACACATGTGATTGCGTGCAGCTTAAGTACACACAGTAAAGCGATATGTACACACCAGCCAAACTGCAAACACTCAAAATAAACAAGCAGACAATATATCGTTCAAATATCTGTGCATCCACATAAATAAGCTTCAAGTATTTTTACACCTGCCATCAACTACAAGGCCCTCTGGGAGTGCATGATGTTAGCAGCATTGGTTCAATACAAGCAAACTCTGCACTGGTTTCAAAATAATGTGTCTCACCAGCTCAGTCAACATTTCTTGAACCAATGCTGGTGAACTTCTAAATGTTATAGGCAATGACCTTCTCTTTAAGATATGGGAGCTAGTTGAAAACACAAAAATGCTCGTCATTTTGATTCGCTGCTAGCACCGCAAGTATTTTCTCAGTTAGCATTTCACTTAATCAAACTTATCATCATCCGCCAGTCCTAATTCTAAAGGTTAACTCTAAACAAGTTCATTTGAAGACCATAACATAACTATCCCCATTTACTGCTTGCATCACTTATAGCCCTGACCTCCCAAGATCTGACCGAACAGTTTCCCACCATTTGGCCTTAGATCTTGGAAGGTCGCGTCATCTAGTCCAACACCATGTGAGACTAGGCTGTGGGATCTGGCAGAGAAGGCGACAAAGCTTTGGCGATGAGGTGTGGTTGCATCACGGTGACCTCGAGCATGATAGAGCTGTAGGTGTGGACGGGCGGGTACCGTATTGTAGAATTCCGCGATGGTGGGAACGATTGCGTAATTGTGCTCACACCAATCCACTTCCGATGTTCCAGCAGCTAGTTGTGGCCAGACCTCGCCACCCATAATGCCCTGCAATGAGAGGAAGGGCACCAATGGCTTTAATGCCCTGGGGCAGAGCTCTTAACGTGAGTGATGGGAACTGCACGGTGAAGGACAAGAAAAGAAAGACGAGTTGGAGACGATGGTTAGAGGCGGGTGGCTTGCAAACATCTGATTACTTATTCATGACTGTCAAAGTTGTGAACGATGAAAGCAGAGACTGACGATGGTAAGCGAGAAGAAAACTTGTACATAAAATAAAACACGGCTACCAGCTTGGTCATCGGAGTTCAGTAAATCATACAGAAGGAGTTGGACCAGAATTTCCACTTACAGTGCAATGTGTTTATTAATCAGGGTGTTAGTAGCCTAAGAGACCAAATATTACAAGATTAACTTAAATGGCTTAATCACTAAAGATTATTCTAAGACTAAAACCCGACTTGGATGGCCAACAAATGGAACAAGCTTAATATTTCACAAACACTCGGGCTTGGGCTGGCTTTTAAACTTGGGCGACGCAATCTCCGCTGAACTTTCACAACCTCGGCGATGTTCCCGCAGATCTTACAGATTACACATTAGCTCATGCGTGTTGATCAACATATTTCTTTAAAGCCACCATGGGCCATCATGAAGAGCTGAGACCCCACATGTTCACAAGGTACAGACAACTGTTTAGGCATTACAAACACATTGTTATAGCTTGTCAACAGGAAATCAAACAATACTGAAAACAACATATGACCAAATTGGTCACAAGTCCTTCCCACTCAAACTGTTGTTTTGATACTCAATAGCTTCCTTACATAACTCGTTTAAGTTTGGCAATGTTTGACGTTTGGCTCAACCGTTCACATTTTGTTTTATCCGGGTTGGGATATCCGACCACAGTCGATCTGATTTCGCCCACCCATCGCTGTACACAACAGAGAGGACGACAGGCGATGGACATACAATTCAAACAACACTGAGACAACAACAACAGAGGACACAACAGACGACACGAAACATACAGTACCACACTCAACACACACACAATACAGTACACTGAACACACGACCCACTCACTCACAGCACACACACACACACAACAGAGAATGCACAACCACACACACACAACTGCTACACAAAAGATACACTCACACACATCAGATACGCTATAAACTACGGTGCCGTTAGCGAGCACCTCTTAACAAACCTATCAACCCCTTATCAGTGCCCAACCTCATTTACAGACCAATTCAGACCTTGCAGATCACTTATAAATCTCAACGTTCATCTTACAAAGTCCCGTCACAAGGGAGAACCACAACACAAATAGACAACAACAACAGCAGCAGCAATGAATGATTGGCTCTAGTCCCCTGTACAAGACGACGTGGGGTGAATCGCATCCATGCCGGTGGTGGTGGTGATCTGACCACGTTGGACAACACATCGGATGTGAATGTGTACCGTGCACACTCAAACCCACAGGAGGCGTTCACAGCGGACCGGCTCGGATGCCACGAGAACGCCGTCGAATCGAAATCTCGAGCGCGCTAACCACTGCGCCACCGCTCCCCCCCCCCCCCCCATATATAAAGGCAAAGATTCCCCGGATAACCTCCGCAGACTGTTGGGAGCAAGTGCCGTCGTCGAGCAGCTACGAAGGCGAAGACACGGCGGTGTAGAGCGGCCTTTGTCTTATACCCCCCCCCACACACACACAGAGCGCTTGACTCTGTGACTCGCGGCGTGGAAGACGTTTCGAGGCCGAGAGCGTCGGATACGGAGAGAGAGAGAGAAGAGTCGAGAGAGGCGAGAAGGAAGGGAGGGAAGGGAGGAGGAAGAGGAGACACGGGGGAAGGACTTGGAGCAGGAGCATCATCATCAGCAGCATCACTCACCCAACGCCGTGCGCGTCTCTCGCCCTCCACCACAGAGCGGCTCTGCCGAGACAGAGTCCCGGGTGACGTCTCCGTGACGTGACGCCGACCCCCCCCGGCACTTTAATTTTATTATTACCGCCGCTAAATACCGATAGACGCAGGCGTACGGCAGCTGTGGATCGATCGTGGCTCGTGATGATGCAGTCAGCGAAACGTCGTACTCAATTGGGCGCTTTACCACCCGGGTGTGCTGCAGTGCAGGGTGGTCCAGATCTCTTGTGACCCCCCCCCCCCCCCCCCCCAATGAATTGACCCCAAACATGTGTTTTTTTTACTTTGCATATTCATTGCTGTTTTAATAAACATAACATTTAGGGAAATTAATGTGGGTCACAAGACATCTGGACCGACGTGTAGTAGTAACACATTGCCACGTTTTGTTCACGTGACAAGCCTTACCCATTGGTCTGTATCGGGTGGTGATGGGTGAACGACACATTGATATCTACGCGACCTAAGCCACAATAAAACTTTATGGTGACTAATATTGGTCGCGAAAGCCGACCTGTTAAAATGATGGTCTATACATTCAACTTTCCATCACAGTGGACTGACTTACATTATACATTATATTTTATTATTTTACATTAACCATTATAAATGATCAACAATCATTGATAATATTGTTACATTATCCATTAAAATACGTTCTTCGTCATATTTTCTATTACATTAACCATGATCATAACACGTTATCAATCACCCTTGATTACGTTGTTACATTACCCATTAAAATACGCTCTCCATCGCATTATCTCGTATTGTTACATGAACTATTATCTTCATACACCATCATCAAATTACACGAGCCAATATCGCTCGATACGATTCTGCATTCCATCATCACCGCACTCACCTGCAGAGATCGACTCACAGCGCTACATGATCCACGTCGCCTTTCTCTGCCCGCACCTGCCCATCCCACACCAATCACCAATGATCTCATCTCTTAATCTCACAATTATCTAATTAACGCCACCACGGTGGGGTGGGGTGGGGTTGGCGATGATATGGGCGTGGAGAGTGGATCGTATAAAACGGTGTTGGTCACTAATTTGCCGGGTGGGCACTTTCGCCCAATAAACGTTAATTGGTGAGGATCGCCACGTGTTTGAAACCATGTGGGTTTGACAGCAGCACGACGCATCTTGTGCATTGACGGGGGGGGGGGGGATCACGTCAGGGGCCGCACGAAAGGTCACCAGTGACCTCCGGTGACCCGCGGGCTTTGCAGTGAAGAACACCGGAATAAAATGAACAGGAGGAAATGTTAATTCGCCTGTTTTCTCCGCACTTGACTCATCAATGCCTCCCTTCTGCACACTGCAGGGGGATCTGTCGTCACCACACCGCATCCCCAGGCTGATTTAGAGCCTCAACATTGACGCCGTCCATCTAAAATCGAAATCCTCCTCGTCCTCTTGTTTCTGTTTCTTCCTCCGAGAAGCTGGCCACGAGTCGGCAACATGCCACGTGTAGGAGGCGCGTGTCCCTCTCCCTCCGTCTCATCGCCTTAATCCCCCTACCGCAGTGGCTCTCAGCTGGGGGTACACGGACCCCCTGCGGGTAACGTGGCATGTGTCCCAGGGAGTAACGTGAAGTGATGTATAAATGACACCTGTCCACCCATACGATTTACCCCTAATCTTGTATAGGGAAATTGAGTTTTCAGGCCCATACGGCTTCCAGCCGTTTAAATACGGGCAAAAAAAATGTTTCGTCTTATTTGTTTGTGTTTCTCCCTTGTGATGGGATTTTGTAGGATGAACTTTGAGATTTATACGGGCACGAGGTGACCAATCAGGTGTGAATTGGTCTAATAAGGTAGGGCACTGATAAGGGGTTGACAGGTATGCAAACTGTATTGTTAAATATCAACTCAAGGGGAGGGGGGGGACTAAATAGACGGAGGTTATCCCTTCACATTGTATTTATTTAGTCAGAATGTGTTTGTCATCTGCTGTTTGTCTAAAAGTCGCTCTGCGTGTGATGCGGAACTCTTTTGGTCAAAACAAACCAACAATAAGTAATATTAAAAAAAAACTTTTTTAGAAACACGCTTTTATGAAATGTGCTAGTAACGGCATAACTCCACGACTCCAGGAAGTGGCCCCGAAGCTTGTCATAACGTAAGGGGCCGTGGTGATTTACAGCCAACGTCAGTTGGCCGTGGACAATTAGACCCAAGCCGAAACATAACATATAAAAATAATGTTTACAAATATAGATTTTTTTTATGTTAGAATATAGTATTGTCATCAGTATGACATAAGTATACCAAGTTTGCAGTCGATACCACATTGGGAAGTGGGTTAAAATCGAGTTACAAGATTTGAGGATACGACAACAACAGAGTGAGTTCATAGAAAGCGTGTAAAAAGATAGTTTACATTTATTTTGTTAAATTTTTATGATAGAATATGGTATTGTCATCAGTATGACATAAGTATAGCAAGTTTGCAGTCGATACCACATTGGGAAGTGGGTTAAAATCGAGTTACAAGATTTGAGGATACGACAACAACAACAACAGACAGTGAGTTAATAGAAAGCGTGTAAAAAAAGATTGCGAGGGAAGGATGCGTGAGCGAGGGGGTAGATGGGAGTGGGGGGCACTGAGATTGAAGCAGCGACATTGTGTGTGTGTGCGTGTACGTGCCTGGTGAACCGGTCCTGGGCCTCCCCCAGGTCGACTCGGCCGCAATTGAGTACCAAAAGTGGGATGTCTAAAAACATTGCCACTGGGGAGACAAATGCGGCCGGGCGTGGTGCTGGCCACCCACCCCCTCGTGTGCCGTGCCGGCCTTCATAGGTTGCTACTTGCCAAAAGCACTTGCCCCAACAGTATGTGATGTCACCGCCACTTCGTGGCGAATGGCGAGTGTTGTTGTTGTTGTTGACCGGGTGTTGTTGTTGGTGACCGGGTGTTGTATATTGTATCATCTGGCTTCACTGGCCTTACAAACTTAAAGTTGCAGTGTGCTGTTCATTTCACAATTGTTTATCACAGATTACACACTTCCCCATTTTTTACTTTGTTATTTATTATTTTTTTCCTGAAAGTAAATCACAAAGTTCTTTGTACGTACAGCGTATAATGCAATCAAAACAACTCAATTTAACACGTAGGCTTTCGCGACCAATACCATCCATAATATAAGTTTTTGGGTTAGATCGCATAAATATATAAATGTGTCGTTAAAACCCGCCACTACCCGACACAGCCAACTAGTAAGGGTTGTCACGTAAACAGAACGTGGCCAATTCGTCACTAGGACAGCACACCGGTGTGTGAGAGCCAAGCCACAATATTTACAGTCTGAGTACGACGTTTCGGCAGTAATTACAACTAGCTTCATCAGGCGACAGCCAGATTTGTGGAGAAGTCTGTTTCGTTCCTTAAATAGAGCCATAGATGTGGTGACCACACTTCTGCACTCTTGCACACATCAACAGGGCATTGAATGCCAAAACCAAATCAAATAACACGAGCATTGAAACTGCCCAAGTAATTAAAACGATCAAAATACCGTACATTGCGGGAGTAACTGATAAACTAGCCAGATGTTTTGAAAAACAAAACATCAGAGTCAGATTTGGCACCGTACATAAAATACGGAATTTAATATCTGGTACAAAAGATGTATTACCGAAGCTATCAACAGAAGGTGTGTACCGGATTAACTGCACTTGTGTCAAATGTTATGTTGGGCAAACAGGACGAATGATCAGCACAAGACTAAAATAACATCAGAGAAATATTAAATACTCCCAAATACAACTGTCAGCAGTAGCAGAACACGCGTGCTAACAAGGACACTCAATTGATTTTGATAATGTTGAAGTTCTGTGCAAAACTAGCTACTACTGGCCAAGACTAATTAGAGAATCTATCGAAATTGAAAGAAATAAAAATTAATGTAAATGTTCGGATACCTGCCGCCTTAGTGCTGCGTGGAAGCGAATCATCAAATAATACATTGCTTAAATGCATGCCTATAACAGGCACCATACTTCAATAGTAGGCTATTTTAATATACACAATAAACAGGAATGACAAGATCAAAGGGCTCGCATAATGTGCATGTATGATGTACGTTGACTCATTAATACCCCCCCCCCACACACACTTTACGCAAGAGCGCAGAAGCGTGGTCACTACATTTACGTCCTATATAAGGAACGAAACAGGTGGACTTCTCCACAAATATGGCTGTCGCCTGATGAAGCTAGTTGTAATTACTGGTGTTGTGGCTTGGCTCTCCAACACAACCGGTGTGCTGTAATAGTGACGAATTGGCCACGTTCTGCTTACGTAACAACCCCTTACTAGTTGGCTGTGTCAGGTGGTGGCGGGTTTAACGACACATTTATATATTTACGCGAACTAACCCAAAAAAAACTCTTATGGAAAACAGCTTAAACAAGAGTGAAACACATGACATGTTCCATGCATTTTTCACAAACTGAGGTAATGAAACTAATGATTAAGTACGGCTAATTAATTTATATACCCATCATGGCATTTCTGTTTTTTTTATGTGACTCCATCGCCTTCCAACTTCAATGCAACTGGTTTCAACTCTGTTGCGCTTTGTCCTTGGTCAAACCACCGACAGTCTTTAGACTGGACGAAACGGCCTGTGGAAGTGGATATCACAGAGCCCCCTCTGAGCCCTTCAAGTCACTTCTGCTCCACGCACTTTCCCACACGCACTACATACGAGTTCAAATAAACAGGACCCATATCTTTCGATTTAAAGCTTTCGTGACTGCAGGGATTCATCTTCTTGGTTCTTTCGGTAAAGTCACGTAGAAGGGAAGTAATAAAATAATAAATATAAAACATAATAAATATTATTTTATAAAACATAATAAAATATTATTTTATTTTATAAAACATTAAAATATTATTTTATTATGTTTTATTTGTATTATTTTATTACTTCCTTTCTACGTGACTTTACCGAAAGAACCAAGAAGAGGACCCATATCCATAGGAGGTTTTTATGAGTTAGATCGCGTAAATATAAATGTCGTTAAACCCGCCACCACTCGACAAGCCAATCAGTAAGGTTTGTCGCGTAAACAAAACGTGCAAATTAGTTACTAGTTCAGCACAACGGTGTGTTAGAGTATACCCACAAGATTTAAAATTCGAGTACGACGTTTCGCCGGTAATTACAACCAGCCTCGTCAGGCGACAGCCGAAATTGTGGACGCATTTCGTTGAGAGTACTTGCCCGTAATATCGGCAGTTAGCCAGCAATGTTTCAAGTAATCCTGACTGACTGCTGATGAGAGGGTCGAAACTGGTCTAGAGTTTGCTCGTCTTGAATCAACTCAGCCGAAAGTGTACACTCCCAGAAGCAAGGCCGTAGCCATGGAGTCAACATTGTGGGGGACCAAATCTTACAGGGGGTCTGCCCCCCCCCCACAGAAAAATATCTAAATTTGAAAACTAATTTCCTGCCATTTCCTGCCTAAAATATTTGTAAAAATTCACTAACACATAGGATGGACTTTTATTTATTTTTTACAATAATGTGTAATAGTGTATTGTATTACATTGCTCTGTTTTTTCTTTTTTTCCTTTTCTTGTTTCATTGTATGTAATGGCAGAGATTAGGGATTTATAAAGTACAACCATAGCCACAATCATATAAACAGAAATCTATTTTGGGGGGGGTGTGTACCCCCCCCCCCCAAATATATTATAATTACGGCCTTGCCCAGAAGGCTTGTACGTCTGATGGGTTGCGTAAAAAAATGTATTTGTCGCAAGACTGATAAATGAGAACATTTCGTCTGCATATTTTATCTGATCCACTAGAGGGCACCATCTGCCCACGTGCGATAGATTTGTTTCACGACGGTCAATTCGATGCAGTATTTTCTTTTTCGGAGCTGCAATTGAGTCAAATTAAGAAATAGCTCAACCAATTTAAGTGTGCTGGGGTTTTTTTTTGTGTGTGCAATCATTAGTGACCGTGCTACGACCCATCAACTCGTTACGCTGAATGGGCGGTTGACACTTGGAGTCGAACACAGGAATCTCTGCGGTCTCAGGCTCAGCGGCTCTGAGCCACACGGGGCCCCCTCGGGATGGGTTTTTTCAAGCTGATAGTTGTGTGCGTGCGTGAGAGAGACCAAATTTGTATCACTTTATTGACATGGGGTCACAATATTCTGGCGAATCTTTCCGGAGCGTCTTATAATCTGGAGAATACGGTGCATTTTTTACAGTACGTGTGTGTGTGTCTTGCCACGTGCTAATAGACGCGTGACATGTTGCAAAATAGTGTCCTTCGGTCGCTGTGTTCTCGTTTAACGGCTTAAGAAATGTAGTAAAGAGAAGGGAATTGGGCTATGTTTTTCAATATATTTATTTGATCTGATTTCCAAATCACACGGCATATATGTCTGTTCTAGCGTGAGTGATGAACAAGAACACAGTCCAGAAAGATCCACCGTTGTACTGTACTATGCTCTCACATCTATGTTCCACGCCCTGACCAAACCCGCTCCGACCAGGGCGATTGACGGTAAAAAATAACCTGCACGGCGTGGGGAGGCTATCATCCAGCAGTAGGTTGACCACAACGGCTGTGTGTGTGCATTCTATTCTGATTGACACCTGGTCGGCTCCTGCCACATACTGGGCACTTGGACGCGGACACAATCACGGATTCACGCCCATAGAATGTTCCACCACGCACAGCGGGCGGAGACCGCATCTTGAATATGCACCTCGGACAATGTGGATTTTATACAGCGGTGACTTCAACAATGCAGCAGGCAGCGCACCCGACCGGACAGGTTACGAAGCGGTCATCTGAAATGTCGGCTCTGGATGCCCGAACGACAACTCCGCACGTCTCATTGTGGATGATTTGCTCACTGCTCCCACCTGTCCATCGTAGGCTCTTTCTGAAAGAGGAATTACGTACATCATCGCTTCACCTGCATATGCAGCGTGTTACAAAACTCTCTGGCACGTGTCGTGACGGGTCCTGCAAGATCCGACCGTGTCCGTCCAGTGCTCGCCAAGCTGCGTTGGCTTCCGATTGCCGAACAGACACATCGTCAGGTCGCACTCGGTACACACAGAGCGCGTGCCACAAATGAACAACAACAGCTTGCTGACCTCGTCATGGAGCGTAAACCATCACGCGAACTGCGGTCATCCTCGCAGCGGCGGCGTTTGGCTGCAAGCCATCCAAACAGAGACGGCCACCGCATCGCGCGGCGCTTTCAGGCGCGCTCCGACGGCCGTCTGGAACGCTCTTGCGATATTAGGAAGCCACTGAAGCTGTGCACTTTTCAATCTTGATTTTTTTTTAAATCTTTATATCCGCTTTTGTGTTGAGTTTGTTGTCCTTCCCCGCACCTCCGATTCACACAGTTGGCTACGTATCGTGTGAAAGAACTTCACGATACATGCGATGGGCATTCCAAAGAAGGAAATCAATCACATGCTCACTATGGACGCCCTGGCTGTTAACATCATTCCGGGTGCGCAGAGGCGCTGAACCACTGGCGATCGAATAATGGTGGGCACTATCAAACTACATGCCTACCGCCACCTTAGAACTAAACCCACTAAGGAGCTTGACGTCAAATTGTTCTCTTCCGACGACTGCATCGCTCGCAATCAAAGCATCACGATCAAAAACAGCTTCTAGTCACCAGGACCCCTTTTTAGGATGACCTGGAAACTGCAATGGTTTCTCTGTCTGCGATGTCATTCTCTGTGGAGCTACGGACACGAAAGCCACGAAAACAGCCCTGGCACTCCGTGGAGAAAATGACCACGCTGGGACCAGAAGCATGCTGCCCGCCTCGGAGAGGACAAGGTAGACGGGAGGAGGTTGAAGGGAGTCCATAAAGCGGTGGTCTTCATTGCAAGACCCACGGACCAATGGCGGTCCCTGGTGGCCTTTAGTGCGGCCCCTGAAAATACATACATGTCAAAACGCCCCATCATGCTGTCAAACCCAATGGTTTCAAATGTGTGGCAGCCCTCACACTGATGTCTTATCGGCGAAAGTGGTCCCCTCTGAAATGTAGTGAAGAACACTGCCCTAAAGCAAATGTGAAAGAGGACCTGGAGGGATCCTATGGGAAACTGGCCAATGAGGCGGAGGAAGAACTGAGATTTAACAATCTATGCCCAACGTATTGCGAAATAAAGCACATGTGTGGCGGCCCACAATTGGGGAACTCTGAAACATCTGTCTCGAAAAGGGACAGTTTTGCGTGCCACCACACAGAGGAGAACACTGGACCGCAGACGACAGCACGACGAGCGAACGCTTAATCCAACGATGGACTTGGACACGCAGACATCTGCCACCACGACTTGGAGGTACCCAGAGCTGCCGTGATGTAATTGTCTGCATGCATACTGAACTTGCAAATTTCCCAATGTTTTTGTTTCAAATAAGCTAACTCTGGACTGGTTAAAACCTCCCATCAGCAGTGTGACCTTGTGAAAGGCCCAACACAGAAGATCCCTGGTTTTGATCTTCCGCTAAGCTCACGGGTCCACGCTAAACCGCATCCGCACAAACCATGGCAGATGCGGATACCTGATACACAAATGGAAAATAAAAAAACTCCAGTGGTGCAACTGTGGTCATCCAAAACAGACCATAAAACATCACGATGCAATGCCCGATCTATAAATATGGAGGAGACATCACAGCGATACTGCGCTACTCCTGACTTAAGTTGTCTGGCTTGACCGCCTGAATATGAAATTGTCGTTGATGCTCTGCATCTAGGTCAGCCATAGAAATGAGGTAGTGTGGCATGTGGATCAAACATTCAGACTAAATTGTGACCTGTCTGATCCAGGTCAAAATCCCACCTTTTAGAAAGGATTTACATTTATAGGGGGCATTCACGTCTCGGCAACTCAAAGCACCCAGCGACATTCCAATGCCTTGCTGCAGTCTAACCTAGGGGACCCTCAAGTGGCAGTCGTCCCAGTGCGGCAAAAGGTGTGTGCAGTTCAAAGCCTGCGAATGAGGATTACATCTGCCAGTAAGGGGGGCGATGTTGCTGTAGGCGTTCCGAATGAAGTCAATCAAAGTATTGGTGCGTGAGCATGCTGAATGAAAAGAGACACGATGTTTGAATATCAGAATTTTAATGAAAGCAATAGTGACCCAATGAATTAAATAAATACTGCAATAAAAACCTTATTTTAAAGTACACAAGCAAGCTCATGAAATTTCAGTGTGCTCATAATTTGAAAAGGGCACATTGTTATGTATTGTTGATCAGGAATGCACTGGCAATGCTTGCGCACGCAAACATGGCAGCAGGATTTTGTGTTTCTGTGTTGCTCATTTACATAAACGCAACTACGTAATGATCATCGATGAGCAAACCGCTTGTACAAAAAAACCTACATTCTTAAACAGAATGCCCACTAACAGCAAAGCAGAAAGTTGCATCAATAACGTTGTCCTGCATAGACTGCGAACCCATCCCTTACTTGACTTTGCACGCTGACAGTGGCTCGAACCAATGAAAAAAAATATTTAAAAAAAAACTACATAACATCACATTTCTGCACTATTACACAGTAATTGGACTTTTAAAATGAAAAACGACTTCGGCAATCAATTTGCACTTAAGTATACATTTCAGTGTTGTCTTAAAATTATTACAGTACTGTACAACAAAGAACCATGTTGCACCACGTTGGCAGTGGCAGATTTAAATCGCTCACCGTTTCATCTGAAGCTAGACTCCACCAGACAAGTGCGACGAAATACCCTTTTTCCACCGACTTGTCGCCGAGCCAGAAACAAACCATGAAGCAATCTGAATCTTGCTTGGGGCCAAGCAGGGCCAGGGTTAATGATTTTCATCACACGTTGCGCACATTGCATCAATCGGTACATGGACTGACACGACGTACGTTCATAGTGTGTGATGTGGGCAGCATGGCTTGGGTTCTGCAGTGGAAAAACAAACTCAGTACCTCCTGACTCACGTCGCAGCCCGCTATTGCAGTGGAAAAATAAAAGAGGTAAAATGGCCAAACAACACGCTCATGCTACGAGAAGAGCTGCATTTTAATAAAAATTAAAATCCCTGCAAAATTATAATTTCTGATTTGTGTTTCGTAGTACCTACAAGAAGTATACATTCAATTCCTGACAATACAATAAGTACTATGGGTTTTATTTTTGGTCTTTTTTAAGTGCTGAAACATTACTTGGGGTGACATACTTTTTGTTTCTGCACTTGAATCACAATTTACAGTAAAAAGCATATTAAACACTGTTTTGAGAATATTTTGTTGGATACAGAGGCTCATGTCTTAAATAGTGAAATCCCTGACGTCAGTACATTTTACGACATGAGTCGTATTACTTAACGCTACGTGTAGACTTGTAACCGCCACAGTAATGTGTCTCACACTGGCTCGTGCCCATCAACAGAGAGATGCTTCCCTCATTGCTGTGAATGATTTAGGGGTGCAGACTTTATCTGTAGATTAAAACTCAAAATTAAAATTAACGGTATAATAATTTCCAATTCTCAAAACCTTCACACCATCCCTCACATATATATACGTGTATGAGAGAGCATACGTTTGCAACTCGCATTGCCATTGTAATATTAAACCGTACAACAACATAAAGGCCAGGAATAAAACACGGTGTCAACCAAGACGTGACACTAGAATTCATACATTCAGATAAATGCATAAAAAGGTCCCTTTCAGTTGTTGCACACTTTACAAAAAACCCTCTAACTCTGACAACAGTGTACATTTCTATCAGACAGTGGCATGTGAAGACGTGGTCCCTGCAGCTGCCCCAACATCACCAAACAGTGGCTTCCAGGCTCATTCCAGGTTCACCGCTCATTCCGCTACTTCGGGTGTATTCTCCCGACGCCGGCTTCGGCAGAGATGAACTTCTTCGTCTCCCCCGTGGGACCTTCGTCCTCGCTCTCCGCCTCGTCCTGACGCGGCGAGTAGGACGTCTCCTCCTCGTCCTCCTCGGCGCGGGGGCTCACGGCGTCGTACGCGGGCCGCTTGCCACGCAGGGCGGCGGCGAGTTGGAGCCCGCCGAAGACCACGCAGAAGAGCACGGCCATGACCCCGCACACCACGAGCCCTGTGAGCAGCGCCGAGAACGCCTTCGTGCCGTCGCCCGTGCCCACCCCCTTGAGCTTCTTCTCTTCGGCCACGCCGATGACATCGCTCCCTCCGCCTCGCGTGGTGCCACCCGCGACGCTCGCAGCGGGCACGATCCTCGAGTTGTTGTTGTTGGGACCCGGCGGCGGCGGCGGCGCGGCGGTGAGAGCGGGAGTGCCGTTCGGCGCCGTCATCGGTGAAAGAGTCGCGGCGCTCGGGGTCCGCTTTTCGGTGGCGGCGTCCGGCAGGGTAGCGCAGCGCTGCTCTCCGGAGACGAGCTCGGAGCCGGGCGGGCAGCTCAGGCAGTCGCTGTCGGAGTGGCCGCCGCACTGGGCACACGAGGCGTGGCACGGGAGGCAGGCGGCGCTTGCGAAAAACCCGGCGGGGCACTCCCAGACGCAGGCGCCCTGGTGCAGCAGTAGCGCAGGGTCGCACGCTGCCAACACACACGGGCACAACGGTCACTGCCGGCGTCGTAGCGTCTGCAGCGCGCATCGACACGGGAGGATGGCGTACCTGTACTGGCCTCTTGCAAATCCACTGCTGGATGAAGGCCTCCTCGTGACGTTGGGCTATAGGACAGTAGGACAATGGATTTTGCTGCACTGTGCCCTCTACTTCTCACATCACATTTGCCTTCTGTCAATCATTGATAACACCGTGGCCTTAAAAGAAACAATACGATAGGTGAAGTATCAGGCAATGGTCCTTATGCATGAGCGAGAAAGAAGAGCAAATGCACGAAACGTAACCTGTTCTATATATTTTTTTCTTTTTCTTTTTTATCGACGACTTCTTTTTTACTTGTCAATTGTGCTTGTGCACCGCTACCAAAACACAGCCAAGGTGGCTCAGTGGAAGATTTCGAGTTCAAATCCTGCATGGGGGTTGAGCACCGCTTCGAGCGAGGTCAACAGCGGTGTCCCCCCATGGCTAAACTCACCGCTGCCAAAGGAAGGTAAAATTTCCACCACTGGCTCTCAAGGCTGTGAACAGCAGATGAGCAGCGCCTCAACGCTCACTTGATCAGCAAATCTCTTTAGACTTTTTCGCTTTGGTGATCGTCACACTCGGGTGATTGTTTTAGGGAAAAATAACAAACCGAAAAAATGCTGCAACGCTCAGCCTGCGCTGCTTCAGCCAACTATTTACCGTGGGCGGGCCTCATCTAATAAAATTAATAGCTGTAGAAACGTTTTAACGTTGACTTACATAAACCACAAAAATACCAACGTGTGCCAAAACAAATAAAACATTAGTATTTTTAAAAAAATCACACCCACGTGTGAAATGTATCATCCCTTTTATTTGCTTACGTTGCCAAGAAACTGGTTTTGTGAAACGTGTCAAGGAATGCAGCGCTGACTGATGTTGGTCACGCGCATTGGGCTGCTGTCACCAGTCGCTTCGGAGGCCCCCACCAACTGCGCCGCAGGTGCACATTTGGACACCGTTGCCTCACCCCGACACCTTTTACGACCACATTCAACTAACTCTCTCGACGCCCATCTTACGCACACCGGTGAAATAACGAGAGGCGTGGATTCCTCACGGGCAAACCCCCCCCCCTAACGCCCGGGGCTTGTCCTCCACTCGCTGCTGAAGGCTCAGTCCCCCTTAATTATTATAGTCAAGACAAACCTTGTTGTTAGTTCACGGGCTTTTCTACAAAGTTCACCAATTGGGTGAACACCCATTACCACGAATGCATGTGCACATCTGCTTGTTCATGTTTTTGTTTTTTGTTTGTTGCGGTTGTACCCGATTCAAGAGCCGAATGGCTCACAGGGCTATACTTAATAAATGAACTTGAACTTGAACTTGCTTCAGTTCAGCGAATCGGCATTCACTTGCGTAGGCTCGCCGAGATTTGTTCAAAGTTTGTTCAACGTTGACTGTGCCACGCTCGATGGGAATTACACCAATCGACACCGCCCCCTTACCGCAAAACTACTACAGACTAGGTCTGAAACAAGCGCCTTCGCGATAGCCTTGCACTATAATAAGAATGGCACGAACAACAAACTTACTTGCGATGTAATCTTTTTTTATATTTATTTTTTACGCGCCCACTTCCTCCCCCCCCCCACCGTTTAAACAAGGTCACGGTGCAGGGTCATTGTGATACTTGCCGACGCAATTCTCTTTGTCATCCCATTGCCGGCAGGCGGCTCTCGGTGTAGGCGAAGGGGTGGCCGAGGACGAGGGGGTGGTCGTTGACGGCGATGCCCCCGTGGGTCGGGCTGTGGTCTCGCTCGTAGGCTGGGCTGCAGGCCCAGGCGTCCGTGCCGGGGTAGTCGCTGCTATGTCGTCACCGCCGCTTGCCGTTCCGTACAGCACCAGGGTGAAGTTTATGAGTGTCCCTGATGTGCAAAATAGGGCGGCAGCAGAAGAACTTTTCACAAACACGAATCGCAGCTCCGAGAATTTACTACATTTTGAGTTTCAATGTTACAGCAAAAAATAAATGTTTCTTTCCGTGACAAGGCACGGTAACTTGAAAAGATTTTCACCAGTTCGATTCGATCTCCTGGCACGGCAGTTGAAACAATTCGAACGTTTTTTAAATCCGTCCTGTCCACATAGCGGTATAAATCGGTGCACCACAGTTAGTCATGGGCAGGCCGCGTGTTGTGGGTTAAAGTGCATACTCCCACCTCCTCCTAAACATCATCGAGAACAGAGTAGGCCAAATACCATACATATAGGCTCTCAAGAGCTCCCTCTAGTAGAGACTTCCACCAACAGTAGCACGAGCAAGCGATTTCAGGGCTGTGTCTCCAACCACTGTGAAATCCGCTCTTGTGGGCTTCTCTCAACAACACGGGAGTTATGTACTTGCTCTGTAAGCGTTCCAGATAAAGGTTCATCTTAGCTGGGCACTACGCCGATAGAACAATAGCAATAGCATTTTAAAATAAGATGAGAAAAAACTCATGTCACCAGAGCTTCATTTTTCACAGCATATTTCCCAGTGCCCCCCAGACACTACCCCCACCCCCTCCCTTCCCCAGTGCCTCCCCCAGGCAGCTCGAGCTAAAATGAAGCGCCGATTGTGGGAGACGCACCGTAGTTGTGGGACGAGCCCTTGTCGATCTCCAGGGTCCACTCCCCGGCGGGGTCCTCGTCCCACGAGTGGGTGGTCATGAAGGCCCAGCCATCAAAGCCCTCGGAGGAGAAGTCGTGGGGCCTGGCCACGCGCCCAGCAAGCACGGCGTCACCCCCCACCCACCACCGACCCCGGCAACTTATCCCCAAAGCTCTCTCGCCTACGCACTGAAGACGCTTTGATGCTCCGTAACATACAAAAAATTCCACGAGAATGTGGTTTGGTCCCCAAATTAGTCAAATGTGTTTTTTGTTTGTCCCTTCAGTATGTCTCTTTCATAAAAATAGCTTCACTTATGAACAGTCTCCTGTACGGTCAACTCACAGGTTTATGCATGTACCCATGTACAGTATAAAGTGGAGATACTGAACAGATTTTGTTTGCTGTTCCTATCGCTCAGCATTGCAGCTAACACGTACAAACTCACACCAACATCGGCTTAACAGTGAGCGAGCCCGCAATATTGTACAGCGAGTCCTTCGTGAAGACACATTAATACATTGAGATTTCCCATTCTCAAAAACCTATCAATGTTACGATTAATATTTCAGCCGCAGTCTCTAACGCACATTCTTTTCTCATTAGAACCATTACACACATACACACATACGCATGTGTGCATAGAAAATAAGCACGACGTTGATTTGAGCAGTTCATCCTCATTATTGTGACAGGGGAATCTGAAAAAGTTGGTCAAATAGCTCGCCCCTGGGCGAGGGATGCTCCAAGGAGCGATAATCGCATGAGGAATGTGAGGGAATACTTCTGGAATGCAGCTGCCATGCATCAAGACGCCCAAGGCGACGGGAATAACTTTATTCGCACGGCAGCCAAACCAAGCGTAATTATTCGGTGTGAAATTGACGATTAATTTATTCTTCATCCGCTGCTGGATATAGGGCCCCCCACTCTTGTAATATAGGTCTCTACTCACTGTGGAAAAGCGAGGCAGATGCATTTGTCCCCGATTCAATATAGCGGAGGAACTGGAACTCCCAGCACCAGCAGCGAAGGGTTTGGGCAGCATCAAGCCGAGCAACATGTGGCACGAGCCAAAAATAAATCGGAGCGTCGTAAAACTATCCAGCACATGCCTGACACTCTCATCATCGTCATTGTCATGAACTCTCCACTGCTCGATAGAGACCTCCCCATACTGCTGCCATCTCCCATGAATCTTGTCAAAAGTAAATATAACAGTCTTTATAACTAGGATGATAACAACAAAAATAAGGAAATGTATCAATGACTCGAAGCGCCTTACATCAACTGTCATTTTAACCGTCCAATAGCCTGCTGCAGTCTAGCCAAGGCGACCCCAGTGACCACCATCCCTACGTGGCACAAGGGGCATGCAGCAACCGCCTGCAAGCGAGCATTAGTCTACCAGTAGGAGGCAAGAATGCTTTGCGGCTTTTCCCAATTAAGTAATTTCCGAGTAATTTATCAAATTTGACAATTTCAGATCATGACCTCAGCACGCATCAATGTCACAGGATCTTTAAAGTCCACCGTGAATCAGACTAACGACTGCAACACAGCCTTACCGGGGGGCGAGCAGGGTGGAGCGAGTGCCTGCGGGGCTGGTGAGGTAGATGGTGAGGTCTCCCCTCCGGTTGAACGTCAGGGAGATCTTGGCCTGCACGTGCTCCAGCGAGGTGACGTGGTCCTTCGTGCCCCTGCATGCGTCCACCACCTGCTTCACCACCAGCCGGTCCGAGATGCTCCTGGGAACAAAGACAGCATGGGGGGGGGGGGGGGTGCGTTTTCAGCAGATGCGTGGAATGAGGTGACTCTTCCACTTAGCACCGCACGCCTCGCACGCCAAGCCCACCACGCACATGATCTCTGCAGCTGACCGAGCTCAAGATGGAATCCATTGCATTCTCGGGTCCTTGAGATCGATCTTCGAGACCAGCTCTCGGCTTCAAGGCAGGCTTGAGGATATTTCACACTTCTTGGCCTTGGCTTTGGGGATGTGGCCTTGGTGTGAGGACTTGGCTTAGGGGTGCGAGCAATGACGCTGGCCCCAGTGTCGAGGATCCGGCCTTGACTAGCTTGACACTGGCCTCCGCCTAAAAGGCACCTGGCCTTGGCCTCCGCCTTGTGGCTTTCAGCCTCGACCTGAGCCTTGATCTCATGGGTCAGGGCCATGAATCCCACACAGAATATATGTCGCAACTGTGGGCGACAGCAGTTGGGTAGTTCCACAGATGAGAACCTCACGGTGAGGAATACAAAATCAACGTAATGCTACATACGAGGGTGGTAATTTTTAGGGTAATTACGGTTTTAGAAAATATAGTTCGTTATGCATTACGTGGAATACGTTGATGGCCTGACACACACGAAAATAAGGCAGCATCCATCCCAGTGTGGAAACAAAAGTTAGTATTTCTGAGCACGTTCGACACCGTGGTATTTGAGTACTTCCCCCTTTTATCTAGGAAGGTGGACAAATCCATTCTGACATCCAGTCCTAATTGGTTGACACAATATGCCAAAAGTGAAACGTCAACTCGTGACTATTCTAATAACTACCCATATCTTTAAAGTGTCTGAAACGTATGTGCGATAGTGTGGAACTTCCCAGTAATTGGCCTTTGCACACGATGCAACTACATGTTTCGTGTAAATAAAACCACAATTACTCATATGTATGTGCAGAGTCGTGCTTCGTGATGCCCTGTGGGATTGTAGACTCAGCCGGAGACCAGGGTTGAATATTCAGGGCTGCTTGAATATTCACGCCAACATCCGCACTCTCTCCCGACTCCCTCGACCTTCGTCCAGGCTACCTCGTACTCTTCCACCCGTAGCCTCCTGTGTCTCTCCGGCCCAGGAGCCTTTCTACCTGCTACCTGGCTCATCTCTCTCTCTGAATCTCCTTTGTCTCTGACCCCTCCCCTTCCGTCCAGGTTCCCCTTTTATCCCCTTAGCCCGGGCTCCTCCCTTTTACCTGGCTCTCCTCCTTCTACCCGACTCCCTCACTAGTAGACGTCTCACTCTGTCTACTAACCCCCCTTCTACCTGCCCCCCCCCCCCCTCCCACTAGTAGACGTCTCACTCTCTCTTCTACTTACCCTCCTCTCTCTCTCGCCCTTCTGGCACTCTCCTTTCTGCTTGGGCCCCTTCCCGCGGTCGCCCCTCGTTGGGTCCCCGCAGTACTCCTCTAAACATGTAAAGGTTGAGATAGATATATAGCAGCTCCGAAGGTTGTGAATTGTGATGTTATGGAACCAATTCCTGGTTAATATTGACTTGATCAACTTCTTGGTACACTTGAACCACTTAATGGAATGTCTGTATTGGTTGTTTTCTCACAAGACTCATCCCAGTATTAATAATTTGGAATTTCAACCACTGGTTCAGCTGTCACATCAGATGAACATCACCCAATGATCACTGCTGGGTGGGGAAAAGTTGACTCTTTTCGGAAGGATGGCGACATTGCTGTAGAAAAAACTAAAAAAAAATCGTGTTGGTTTAAGATAACCCATGTTTGTTTAGTGGCGAGTTTAAAGGTTATTGTTGAACATACATTCGAATGCAGCAGGAACAGCAAAGGCAAATAAAATCTGTGAGTGTGGCGGGATGAGCAGGACATTACAGAGCGATCCGTACTTGTGATCGCTGCTGAGGTCGATGGAACAGATCCTCTGAGGTCCCACCGTCGTCCAATTTGTGGCCAACGAAACCATGGTCCCTGCATCGAGCAGCCCATATCCGTACGAGTGGCTCACTGCATTGGGCGTCAGGAACAACAAAACACACCAGAGACGGCTCATGATCTACCGTTATACATGACGGTATGTATGTTGAACTTCTTTTGCACCGTACGTCGCCAACGGTGCTAATCGGAGGTGCGGGGGAAAGACAACAAACTACCTACATAGAACAAAATCTTAACAATCGTTCTGAAAGATTAATTCTAAACAGACACTTAAATCCACATATTCCCAACTAGAAACGTTTCAGTTTGGCCACGAGAGGTCTGAATGGAAATTTTCTTCGTCAAGTAACGCCAATAGCACAATGTGAATGCAGGCTCAAAACCTGCTTAGCTTCTGAGATGTGACGAGATCTGGCACATTTTGGGAAGTTTGGTCACAGAGGCCGCAATCACGCACGGGTATTTCGTGAACACGTACGTGCATTCAAACAAAGGGATGATAATGTTCTCGGAAAATGACCGCGATCATATGATATGGTTTGGTTATATGTAGCCGTTTTAAAGGGACTATGTCCTGAATAGAAAATACGCATTTATTTATGACACCGTGTATTGTTCGGCATGACGTCCGACGTTCTTCGGGACGTGAAGTTCTCGAAGAAGCTCGTGCTGGGATGCGAGGCGAAATGCCCGACATCGCACCCGAATAAGTATAACCCGTAAAAACTAAGTTTTTCACTATAAATCCTTTATATGCGTGGCGGCTAGAGTCCTCTCGTCCTCTGGCTTGAGATGGCTGCCACCTATGGGTCAGATGATTGCCTGCCATCATTAAGCAATTGGTAATTAAATATAAAAAAAAATTTCCTAAAAAGTGTAAAGTTATGGAAAAAAAATTTCACAAAAATAAATTGTCACGAAAATAAATTGTCACGCACAACGAGTCTGTGTGCAAAATGTCAGCTCGATTGGATCACGGGAAGTGGGTTAAAAAACGACCGAAAGATTTGCACGGTCGTAAGCGCGCAAGCAAGCAAGCAAGCGAGTGAACTTAATATAAAGGATTTAAAAAAGACCCGCCATTAAATACAAACGCCGAGAGTCACCACTCCGATGGGATTAACGAAGCTGGACCTGAGACGTACGCCACCCGCTCGGTCACCTTTGCGGCCAACGCCATTGGTGACCCAGTCCCTCGCGGAGAGGAACGCTGGGTTGGAGGTCCTCACGACCAGGTGCTGCATATCTCTCCACGTCAGCTTGGGGCTGCGCAGCACACGGGCAGCGCAGGGCAGGGCAGCGCAGGGCACATGGAGAATCAGCCCAACCGCAAGACACTGGCTCAAACCCCCATCGGGTGACGTTCAAACAGCAGTGTCTGCCGTGAAAACTGTTGCAGGCCAAGTCACGGTGATCATCAGAAATGCTAAATGTAAAGACGTTGCCCACAAACAGCTTGCTTACGCCACTGTTGGCAGAAAGCCCCCCCCCCTCTCTCAACCAGAGGGAGGGGGGGGGGGCCCTCCACTCGCCACTAGAAGTTCTCAACAACCACTCTGGAGTCTATTTAGTCTAATTATGATGATTGCTTGTGTTGCAATCGAAACGTCGTATGCTATTATTTAATTTAATTTATTATTTTATCTTTAGACGTGACTTAACCGAAAGAACCAAATAATAATTCCTGCAGTCACGAAAGTTCTAAAATTAAGATTGTATTTGGTCTACTCGCTCAGACTGGAAGTACCCACACTGTACCCCACCACACAAGACTGTGGTGTACCCATTTATCATTCGTGCTGCTAGGTGGACAAAGTCGGGGGGCGCGGGGAGAGTTAAAAAAAACCTGCCCCATTGTTTCAACTGCTGCGCCGTCGTGAGGAGTTCCATCCAAACTCGGGATTGCAAGTCAAGTGTGCTATCCATCACACCACGGCCACATCCCCTTGGTCGTCCTCATACCAGCGGCGTATTAAGCGTTGTGCACATGAAGGGTCAACTCCATAAAACACTTCAGTTACATTACTCATGTGAGGAAACCTGAGAAACGACAGAGTTAAAAAAAAAAACCCACCGCAATGTTCGATCTTATGCCAGGCCAGCTCAGGGCAGCAAGTTCCCACACTAAATTTAACAATTCCCCAGCAACCCCTCCCCCTCCACGCCGTCCCTCCTCGCAAACCTTTCCGCAATCCGCCCAGGCTTCAAAACATTTGTTGCCCGTTGTGTTTTTGTTTAACATTATTTTCATCCCTCGACAGCCTCGTCAAAAAAAAAAAACAACTCCCACCGGCTGCACCGTAGCCTCACGCCAGAACACCCTCCCCCCCCGCCCCCCCCCCCCGCCCACGCCCCACCATCCCACCGTACCAACACCACAACCACCCCACACCCCTAACCACACGCCACTACTGCAGCCACACCACATCTGGACCGCGCGCGCGCGCCACAAATCTGCCGAGCGTGCGGTGGCGGAGGGCGCGGGCTGTGCGTACTTGGCCTCCAGGACAAGAGCGATGATGCCGGCGGCGAGGGGTGCCGAGGCCGACGTGCCTGTGTGGCTCGATGTGCAGCGCATGCGGAGGTCCGTGGTCACCTGTCACAGAGAGAGAGAGAGAGAGAAAGATCAACCACCGTGGAGACTTTGCCACACCGCTGGGGGCAGACGCTGGCTAGCGAACACCTACGAAGGATGGCATGGCACACGTGGGTGGTGGTGATGGGTGGTCAGTTGATCGCTTTTCATCAGAAAACGTCGACTCCCGACACTTGAGAAACCCAGTTTCACCAGGTTGTGGCTGAACGGATTCGAACCCAGGATCTCCAGGATGCAGGCTCGGTGCATCGATCTGCTACTATCATTCGGAGCGACCGGGCGAGGGGTGTTTTTCGAAAATATGCACCTAGAGCCGAATTGTATTCGTATGTGGGCCAGAGGTCAGGTTCAATTGAAAACACAGCAATCAATAGTACACAGTGGTGCCAGAATGAAATTCACTACATGTGATATTCAGTTTAATACACATTCAAAAACATAGCTATCAAGAAGGGATACTGCTCAAACGTCACATTATATATCATATATCATTTTATGGCAGCCTTGTCAACAGATGTATTGAGTTTTAGTTATTGGCGCTTGTGCACCCACCACTGCCAACGCAGTATCACACAAGAATGCAATAATACGTGTTTAAGTCAGGTTTTGGCTCTCTGCAGGCCTGACCAGGGAAACAATACAAACCGTCATCAGCAATTTTTAACAGATGTAAATTCACAAGCTTAAATACATCGGTTAACAAAGTGAAATACCGAACTTTGCATTTTTTTTCTTTCAAACATTTTATTATTCATCTTTGGAGACACACCCTTTGTAAAAAAATATTGGAGGAATTTAAAGTAGCATTCACGAGTGGGGGGGGAATTTGCAACATCGAACCAAACAGGAGGCCAGACAGACCCTGGGTTCCGCCGACATCGGAATGAGGAGAGGGCGTGAAGCTGCGAGCGGAGGTTTTCTCTTCAGCGGACGCAATCGACTCCACAACAAAAACAGAACCAGTTAATTTTGCGGGAGTTCACTTACTACGGGGCTGTAATCTGATGAAGACAAGCGAGTCGCATCACATGCCATGGATTTGTTCCCTGTCTCCACCTCCCCCCGCTCCACAACAAAGTATATTAGCTGCATAATAAACCAACCAAAACAAATACAAAAAATCTTGGCAGCTTGGCAACCGGGCACCAACAAAACATCGGATACACCCAGCAGCTGCACAGCGGCAACTGCATAGCTTGGAGAAATCTCTAAAGCTGCGATCTGTGCTGCATATATAAATATGAGCAGACCTCGGTTCTGTTGTGTCTTCACATACAAATATACAGAGCACATTTATACATGTACTTTGGACTATCGGCCAATCGATTGTCCAATCCGATTAATTATGCAGCGGAATTTGTTTAAGCGAGGAAACCCTGGACAGGTTTAGACATTCTGAATCTTAAAGCAGAGTTGGGCTCGTTAGACAAATGCTGTTGTTGGGTTGCCAGATCAGAATCAGAATATTAATTTATACTGGAGGAATCCGATGAGCTATACAGCTTTTTTAAACAGATATCTAGTAGATGTTTTTGGCAAAAGAATTCCTCCAACAATAAAAGTGAGTTGACTTGGCCAAGCAGGTTTGCAAGCTAGCTGGTGGACAGGCTGGCAAGGCTGGTGGGCTAGCCGATTGGGCTATTGGGCTAACTAGCAGGCCGGCTAGCTGTTGACGGACGGACATACGAGCGAGCGGGCAACGTACGATCTGCTTCTGGCCGAGGCTGCCGCTGCTGTAGGTGGTGGCGAGCGTGGACGAGCAGGCCTCGCTGTACCAGGGCACGTTGCCCGACTGCGTGGCGCTGCTGATCGACAGCGTGTACACGCTGTTGGTGTAGCCGTCGCAATTGCAGCTGTCCTCATCGCGCCCCCCGTTCCCAGAGGCCCACACGAAGATGGAGCCGAGCCCGCCTCGGCCCTGTGCCCACGGGTACCGTGAGGGATGGGGGTGGATGGCACCGCAGGGAAGGGGGGTGGTGGCGAGAGGAAACAGGGAACGAGTGGGGGAGAAGAGGAACACAATCACGACCGAGCGACGGTGAGCACCGCCGACGTACATGAGAAGAAGCGCATAGGCCGCCGTCCAAATTGAGGCACGTAAATTGAATCGTTCTCACAAAGGGGCTGTTTTGTGCACAATGTTTATGTGCCCCAGCTGCCTCTGTGGCTGCACGCCACCACCATGGGGCGAGGCGGACAGGGAGAGAAAGAGAGAGGATGCATTTTTCCTTTGCCATTTTGTGTATCACCGATAAATTAAATGAAAACCACCCTCACGCTAGCCGTGGAACCGTGCCATCGCATTGTGGCACGGCGATCGCCAATTCTGCCAAGAGAGAAGCTGCGTCGCCCGGCATCACGAGGATGCTGCCCAAGCGACACGGCAGGCACGCTTGGCTCCCGTTGATGCAAGTGGCGCCGTTTGCTGCTAATCCGGCAACTCGGAGGCGAGGTGGTTGTTGGCTCACGCTGTGTTAAGGACGGCTGCTGGGAGCGGACCGCGCTACTGCTCGGCCACGCGCCATCGAACGACCAATCGTTTCCCCCCCCCCCCCCCCCCGCCTTACCTCGGCGACTCCCTTCTGGAAGGCTGCACGGGCGAGGCTGGCGGGCCCGTCCACTGTCTTGCCATCATCCTCGGGGCCCCAGCTGGCGCTGTAGATGTGGATGTGCTGGGGCCGCAGGCTCAGCGAGCTGGCCTCCACCGCGTCCGTCACGTCTCCGTCCAGCATGCGCACGCCTGTGCGCACGTGGGCACACAAAGAGGCACGTAGCCTGCCTTTTACACCGGCATATCCGAGCCGCGCCAGGTGTTTTTTTCCACTGGCCGTTAACAGAGCCAAACCGATATCCAAACTGTGATACAGTGGCCTCACGAGACATCCGAGTCTAGCTCAGGGATGAGCAGGGAATCGAGCAAGGCTGACGCATGCATTACATGTGACAACTTAGATAACTTATATACGGCGTTAATGTGTCATCTACACGAGCCTTGCTTGATCGTTGCGAGTAACGTCGGGATGCAAGGTTTTGCTTCTGCAGTGGAAAAACCTGAGCCGTGCCAGGCTGGCTCGGCACGGCCTCTGTGTGGCTCGGTTGCATATTGGAAAAGAGCTTAAAGGTCCCCATTTAGCCTACATAGACTGTTGGGGCAAACTCTTCCGCGCCCATCTGCAGCGCTCTTCCTTCCGATACTAGGATGCCACTAGACCGATGCACTTTTAAATTTAGATTGAAAACTAATTTCCTTACAATTGCTTTTTGTGCTCAGTTTGTTGTCCTTCCCCCACATGGTTGGCTACGTACGGTGTGGAAGAAGTTCAACATACATACAGGTTGATGTGGCTAGCCCCATGCTCAGCCCTCTCTGCGGATGCTTACACACTGGAAACTCATTCAACGCCGAGTTGATCCTGGTTGAGGCCCAGCGCTGGTTCAGATATCACTCGTTCCTGATGTTAGCCGACGCCCGAAATTCAACGGGTTAGTAGTGCAGTCACGTAGATAAAAAATGTAAATTAATAAAAGTAAAATTTAAATAAAATAAAAATCACGACGTTTTGGAGGCAACACAAGCTTCCGTCTTCAGGTGGAACCGTCACAGCACGATAGCTGTATCAAGTAAGACGGTTCCACCTGAAGCCGGAAGCTTGTGTTGACTCCGAAACGTCGTGATTTTTATTTTATTTTTATTTTACTTTTATAAATTTTAATTTTTTATCTATGTGACTTTACCGAAAAAACCTAAGAATATGAATCCTTGCAGTCACGAAAGCTTCAAATCTAGAATTAGTAGTGCAGTTTGCTAAGCACACACACACACATGCACGGCAGGGTCATTGGGCCACATGACTGGGTTCCTTTGCACGCTCTCTCACATTATCCGGACGGATATTACATGTACTTTGCCAACCACCACATGCAAAAACCTCACTCTCACGCTACCAAAAGATAATATCTGACCTCCCCCCATGCCCCTCATTTCACTGCCACCACAAATTTTGGGTCGCCACCATGCACAAAAGGTGTCATAGGCTCGGAGGCTACAATGTCAAGGTACTGCACTGCTCAAACTACTTTCCCGATCAGAACAGTGTGGAGAGGCCGACACTCACAGGTGGATTGATTGACCAAGACGCCGTGTATAGAATAAACATGAACCCATCGGTGTCCCGAGTAGCACTAGTCGGCACATGTCCCATACTGGCAATCCCAAAGCCTGATAACTCTGCACAGCGGCACACGCACGTACAGACACGGGCACGTGTGGGGTACATACGGACTCACGTGAACATGCATATGCACGCACAGGCACACATGAGAACACTTGAGCACGTAACCATATATATATATATAGCTGTGCCAATGTTAGACTTTACAGGATCACTTCAATAAATCTAAGTCCCGCAACTTTAAAACTTTTTTACACTGTGCATGCTGCACTGCTGAAAACGCACTGCCATGTCGCCGGGTGCAGGCAGCGAGCAAACAAAAGACGGCTCTGGCCAGTTGCACAACGCACCTTCAGCGGAACGGTCCCGTTCGTTTCTCAGGTTAAAATTGTAAAAGGTGCAGCCCTGCAATATGCCGGCTCATGCCACTGTCGGAGCAAGGGCCTCCACTCGCGGGAACTCTAAGAAAGTGCCTCTAACAAGGTATTTGGCCTACTTTCCCACGCTGGCCAGACGTATTGCAAGAAAAATTGGAGTACCCACAATTGACCCCACGACACGCGAAAATGCCTTGTCGACTGTGGTGCACCCATTTATACCGCTGGACAGATAGAGGTTGGGGGAAGGAGGTGGGAGGATGAGGGGGAGGGGGTTTAAGAAACTTACACCGTTGTTTCAACTGCTTTGCCGGGAGATTGAACTGGTGACCTCTGTAGTGAGGGTTATGCGAGCGAGCCATTAGCCCATGGCAGTGATTCAGGCAAAGAAGTATACATTACGGGGAAGAGACCACTTACCGTTCTGTATGCAACCGCCCAGATTTATAAGACAGTTTTTGCAGGAAATAGATGATGGTTTAAGAAACAACTACAAAATATTTCGATTTAAAGCTTTCGTGACTGCAGGGATTCATCTTCTTGGTTCTTTCGGTAAAGTCACGTAGAAGGGAAAAAATAAAATAAAATAAACATAATAAAATAATAAAAATACCATAATAAAATAATAAACTATTATTTTGTTATGTTTTATTTTTATTATTTTATTATTTCCCTTCTACGTGACTTTACCGAAAGAACCAAGAAGATGAACTACAAAATACAACATACGGTATCTCCTACACACACAGACTGAAAGCGTACACGCAGAAAAAAGCGAGATTTTCCCTGAATAAATTAAGAGTGTTATTATTATTATTAACATACAGGTGTGTGGTTTTGTCTTCGACCACATCGACGATAAAATGCGGCCCCATCTCTCAGATCTAGGAGTCGCAGCAGGTTTGCACCTGTTTCGTGCTTGGAAGGGCGACCACCGTGCGCGCACCGGGGTGCTACAGGCTACTGCGGGGCAATGGTGTGGGTGGCAGAGAATAACGCGGCAAAAATCCACCGTTGTACTGTACTTATAGGGCGCCGCCGCCGCCTACACCAAACCGCACCAATTAGCGTGGTTAAGTACATGACGGTCAACAAACCTCCACAGCCAGCGCGATGCCAAGAGGCCCCCTCTCATGCAGCAGTGGATTGATAAAAAGGGCTATAAATGTACGTGATGTTTTACCTCCAATTTTGGCATTGTAGGCGATTCCCACTCCGCAGACGTTATTGTTAGCGGCTGCTGCCACCTCGCCGGCACACCGCGTCCCGTGCCTTCGAGGAAACACGATCGTGGAAGATAAAATATACATCGGGCACGGGACGACGAAGAATCAGCCACCGGCACTCCGCGGCACGACACTGGCGAGCGGAATGTTCGTGAAAAAACAACAACAAATGCTTTGGTGTAAAAACAGTTGGGCGAGCGTGCACGACACCGCGGCAGTCCGAATTCACCGGTTGTCGTTGTACGGAGTGTAGCGAGGCTGAGGATCGGGATCATTGTCGTTGATGTCAAAGCTGGCGTTTGGATCCTGTGGTGGGATTGTAAACACAACATTGTGTTATCATCAGCGATGCAGACACAAGCTTAAAGCGCTTATGTCTTTATTCGAGAAGCATTACTTAAACCGCCATGTCGGCATTTGCAGTTGGGTTGTGATGTGTGTCGTTCGGTATGATGTTCGACGTTTGGCACCAGGTGCCTGCAGCTTCTGAAGAACTTTTAACTATATTTATTTCACCAGGTAAGGCCCACTGAGCGATAAAGCTCTCATTCAGCAGCGACTTGGCCACAAACAATAGCTCAATAAAGTGACTTATCACGTGGCAATTTATAGCAGCCAAATAATCGCATGTTTCTAAATGTGTAGGGAAAAATCAGAGGACCCGGAAAACAAAAATCCACGCAACCACAGGGAGAACATGGGATCGAACTTACGACCTCCTGTATACCAGGCGAGGTAGTTAACATCTTGCCACTGTGGCACCCAACGTCGGACATCATGCCGAACGACACGTGGTACGACTTATACACACATCGGAGCGCCGTACATCACAACCGCGACAACTCACGCAGCACAAAGACTGCGATGATCTCTACTGCTCACAACGGATCCTCTCACAACGGGGAAACTGGAGGTAGGGGTGGGGGGGGGGATGTGAGCCTAGGATCGTGGTGGCACTCACATAGTTGGCCGCGAGGTCTGGGTGGTCTTTCTCGATGCCGTCATCCAGGATGGAGACGATGGAGCCACGGCCTGTGTAGCCGAGCGACCAGGCCGACACCACGTTCAGGTCGTGGTGCTCCTGGTTTTCCTGCCGGACACCACAGTAGCGACAGCGTGGAGGATGCAACGCCGATTTAAACCGTCGTTTATACCAAACAATCCAAAGAAAAAACGTATCTTGTGTTCGTGTAGATATCTACCCCGGCTTTGCGTCTCCTGGGATGTCCCTAATGAGCTTCACTAAAAAGGTAAGACAGGTGCAAGCCTACAATTGTACAAGTGCATGTCAATGCCACTTCTGGCAGAAAGGCCTTGGCCAGAGAAAATTCTAGAGTTTGAGTATCCGTTGAACATGTGCATCTAGATGCCTCTGCTTGCGCCATTTTGCAGCAATGCCACTGTTTTCTGCAGCATCTTGAGGTGCAGTTACCATTTAGAGGCTTAGACGCTCTATAAATCAAGGTTTGTTGAATTCAAGCTTCATTAGTGCGGGGAAAAAACCCCCCACTTTAAATTGACTTTCATGAGCCCCATTGTCACTGCTGTGTGACGCCACGCAGCGGTGACACTGGATTGAGATGCATGGCGATACAGCCACGGTAACATCACCAAAAAAAAACTACGCGCGCTCTTGAAAGCGAGTTTAAAGTCTTAGCTCTCATTTAACAAAGCCAAAAAACTTTCAGCCTGGAACATGAAGCCTTGGTGTGAGCTCTACGAGGTGTAGAGACGATCGTGTTCGGAATTTATTTCTCCTTTTTAATCCGCACGAGGCAGCGACCGCTGTGGTATTCTGGCGCGCGATGTCATCTCTGGGACTTAAAATACGAGACGACCAACGGTAGCCACCGGCCCTTCAAAACGTCGTCGCTCTGTAGTAGCACACCGCTGGTGAACCGAAATACGTCAAATTTATAATAAACGCCCCCACCCCCCCCCCCCCTCGACATTTCAGAGCTCTCCCGCATCTTTGCTGGAGCTGCACGAAAGCAGCTCAGCGTTGGCGCAAAGTTGGACAGCAGCCCGCTTGAAAAATATTGATTCACTTATTTAATCTTAGCAGCGATAAAGAACTACGAGTCAAAGAGATTAGAACGCGTGGACCCTTGCCAAGAGCTGTCCACGTGGAGCGTGCAGGCGTGACGGAATGTTTAGCCAGCGGCTTACGGTAGGGCACATCGTGTGACTTGTAGACTTTCGCCGTGCCTGCTAAGCCACATTCTCGTGAATCTGAGCGTCGCATTAAAGTGTCGCATTAAAACTGGTGCAACGTGCTGAACGTTGATGTCTCCACAGAGAAGGTGCGCAATGAGGCACGGTCATTTAATCTCATAGGTCTACGGCAGAGGTCGCAAACGGGTTTTGATTCCTTACCCGTACCCGGCCGCACCAGGGTCGCAAACGGGTACCCGTACCGTACCTGATACCCGGCTACCCGTACCCGGCTGGGCATCGGGTACGGTACGGGTACGAGTACCCATTTGCGACCTCTGGGATGAAGCCATGTTGCAGGCGCCGGTGGGTTGATTCTAGGAACTTGAATTGTGAGAAGAGACAAGACGTTGGGAAATGAGTGACAAACGGTTACTCACCAGTGACTCACGGCCTACCCGTACCCGGCCGCACCAGGGTCGCAAACGGGTACCCGTACCCGTACCTGGCCGGGTACGGGTAGCCGGGTATCGGGTAGGGTACGGGTATCGGGTACCCGGTTGCGACCTCTGGTCTACGGGGGCGGGAGCGGTGGCTTGGTGGTTGGCGAGACACGCTACGGCCCTGGCGGACCCAGTTCGATTCCCCACAGCCGCGACTAAAGGTGCATCCCCGCTCACAATGAGCGATGGGTGGTGCATGTTGGGTTGCTGCGCAAGCGAATCACTCGTGGTTTTGGACGTCTCTGCGACCACGGATGCCCACATTTGTAAGCGGGAAAATGAGCCGTGAGGCGTCGTGAGCGATTGGATTGTGTGAGTGACCCTTGAGGTTCGACGAGTAAAATCTGAACGGGTCCTGGGCCTCCTCCCCCTCCATACCCCAACTAGGTCACTTAACGAACGAGAATACATTTTAATTTGAATAAGCCGAGTTATTTCACCCTGCCTTCTAATGGCCATTACTCTCCCAGAGATTTAGCAATGTGTGTCTGTGTGTGGTGTTAAAGCAGACACTGTTGCCATCCATCCTTATTGACTCTTTATGTTGCACCAGAAAACATCATAGTTAAGTTAAAACCCACCACACTGGAATTGACTGCATTGACAATGATTATAATGTACGTTAAGTGATCATGAAATGACGTGTCGCTTAACAAGACTGACATTTCATTTCTGCTTACATAAACTTGACTTCAAATCTATAAATCATTTTCAGATTTATTGTTTTATGGCATGCTAGCCTTAAAGGAAATACTTTTGTGAAACTAAGACTGTCTTTAAATCGCTGTCAAGTAACCACATATCATCATAACTGTAAGAATGTATCATGAAGAATTATGCGGACTTTTTCACGAAATAAATAAAATCTACGAAACCCCTACGTATTTTGTTTAGACACGGTTGTGTTATTTTCCAGATAATGATCACATTTTTTGAATGTTACCAATGAGGCAGTGTTGACAAATTCAACAATGAGAGAACCGTCTCCTGCAGGTCGTGTGTGCTCATCGGAATGAATTTAATCTCATGAATGCAAAGCACCTCTGAGTACAAACGTGCGAATGTGTAATAGATGACGCAGCACCATGCAGGTGGCTCTGCTCGCGAAACCAAAACCGGGCTTCTAATTAGCATGATGCAAGATAACATGGCGCCATCTCTTCTGGCAACACACATGCCATGCATGGCCGTTAAAACACACACACATGCTAGGCATGGCCATTGAAACACACACACATGCTAGGCATGGCCATTGAAACAAACACACATGCTAGGCATGGCCATTGAAACATACACACATGCTAGGCATGGCCGTTAAAACACACACACACATGCTAGGCATGGCCATTGAAACACACACACATGCTAGGCATGGCCATTGAAACACACACACATGCTAGGCATGGCCATTGAAACATACACACATGCTAGGCATGGCCATTGAAACAAACACACATGCTAGGCATGGCCATTGAAACATACACACATGCTAGGCATGGCCATTGAAACATACACACATGCTAGGCATGGCCATTGAAACACACACACATGCTAGGCATGGCCATTGAAACACACACACATGCTAAGGCATGGCCATTGAAACAAACACACATGCTAGGCATGGCCATTGAAACATACACACAAAACAAACTCCCAAGTGACATATTATTTCACGGATAACAAATTGTATGAGGTACACCTGCTAAATATACAATTCCAAACCTGGCATTATTTGTATAATTATGAACTACTACACATATATTACCATGACATTAGAATTCTGCCAGGTGTTGAAAGGGCAGCCCATAGATGGAGTGAAGTTATCAACCAGAAACCCTGTGCTAATCATATTAATATTATTTATCATTATTATTTTTTTCAGAAATTTTTAAAAAACTTTTTTGTTCCACTGGCACACCAGAATTGTGCCAGCGGGGGGGGGGGGGGCCCTCAGTACAGGTGGTAGTATTTGACTGGCTATTTGTCTTGATGAGCCAGAACCAAACCATTGTACGCTGTACGTATGTACCATATAACTTCTTTCGCACCGTGCGTAGCCAACCGTGCTAATCGGAGGTGCGGGAGAAGGACAACAAACTAACCACAAAAAATCAGTTCTAAAGAAATGAATATTCAATCTATATATATAAAATCGTTCATGTCTGTGTGTCTGTGTGTGGACTGCACTTTCATTGGACGGCGGTTGCCCCTGGCAACGGCTAGCCACGCCTTCGCCGCTTTCATTGCACGGCGGTTGCCCCTGGCAACGAGTAGCAACTTTTCTCCGCGGGGTGGACGCCATTTTTAATAGCGCGGGGGGGGGGGGGGGGGACCGGCACCCGTACCCAGCGTTCGCCGGGTGGGAAAATCAGGCAAGGCGGGAGGCTCTGCACGGTGCTAGGCCTCGACACCCAACACGCCACTCTGAGGTAAATTCATACAAATTTCACGTCCTCTACAGAGTGGCGAGGGAGGCAGAGTGGCGAGGGAGGGACTCAGCCTCAAAACGAGTAACTGGTGTGGCGTATTAAGATCGCCACTGGGGAGACAAAGGCGGCCGGGCGTGGTGGATACAAGTCCCGGGCAAAGCCGGGTCATGACTATGTGTGTATGTGTTTATGTGTATGTCTGTGTGTCTGTATGTATGTGTGTATGTATGTGTTTGTATGTGTTTGTGTGTATGTATGTGTGTGTCTGTATGTATGTGTGTGTGTATTGTGTATGTGTTTGTGTGTATGTATGTGTGTGTTTGTGTGTATGTATGTGTGTGTTTGTATGTATGTGTATGTCTGTGTGTATGCATGTGTGTGTATGTGTGTGTCTGCAGCAAGCGCGTGTATGTGTACCTATGGACGCGCGCGCGTGTGTTGTGTAGGGGGAACGGTAGTGTAGTGCTTAGCGTGCTGCCTGTGTCTATGTGTGTGTCTATGTGTGTGTCTGTGTGTGTGTGTCTGTGTGTGTGCGTGTGTGGTGTGTAGGAGGAACGGTAGTGCAGTGCTTAGCGTGCTGCCTGTGTGTGTCTGTGTGTGTGTGTCTGTGTGTGTGTGTGTGTCTGTGTGTGTGTCTGTGTGTGTGTCTGTGTGTGTGCGTGTGTGGTGTGTGGAGAGCGGTAGTGTAGTGGTTAGCGTGCTGTCTGTGTGTCTGTGTGTGTGTGTCTGTCTGTGTGTCTGTGTGTGTGTTCTGTGTGTGTGTCTGTGTGTGTGCGTGTGTGGTGTGTGGGGAGCGGTAGTGTAGTGGTTAGCGTGCTGTCTGTGTGTCTGTCTGTGTCTGTCTGTGTGTTTCTGCGTGTGTCTGTGTGTGTGTCTGTGTGTGTGTCTGTGCGTCTGTGTGTGTGAGGAGCGGTGGGTGTAGTGGTTAACGCTACGCTGCGCTACCAACCCGGCGAACCGAGTTAGATTCCCGCTCATGGCCACCACCGATCAAGATTATTTCAACCTCCCATAGGTCGACTCAGCCTCAAACGAGTAACTGGTGTGGCGTATTAACATCGCCACTGGGGAGACAAAGGCGGCCGGCCGTGGTGGATACAAGTCCCGGGCGAAGCCGGGTAGTACAGCTAGTCTCGATATAAAAGTGCATAGCTCCAGCGGCTTCCTAATATTGGCCGAACTGAGAAAATATGAATCTGGCTCAGCCAGGCAGGGCCCAGTGACGTGACATCAACGGCACGCTTCTGCTTGTGCAGTGGAAAACGAACTTGGCGCCTTCTGCGCTGCCCACCGCCCCCCGCGCGGATTGTTTGTACAGTGGAACAGAGGTGCACGTGACCACGTGACAACTTCCCCTGAACTCACGCTAGACTCCAAAGCTGAGCTGTTCAATGCACACTCAAAAATCTGGCATGATTTTCCATGCACGCCACAGGGCGCACACAGCCATATTTCTGATATCCGGCTGGGGCAACGCCATTCCCTTGGGCGCCCTAATAAGCTAGGAGGGGGTACGCAAGTAACAAAGAAGCCACCCCCCCCCCCAAAAATAATGACATTTAATGCCTGCAATCTGCCCTCCCCCTCCCACCATCATAAATTCAAAGTCTTGCTACCACCAAAACATTTAAGTTGCCTTCAAAAAAGTTATCATTTAAAAACAGCGTGTTCTTCTTTGTTACCATATCAGGTGTTCAGTGTTACATAAAGCAGTTGACGGGGGGGGGGGGGGGGGGCGGCGTTGATACGGTGCTTAGTGCACGCACTCTGAACCTCGGTGACCCGAGTTCTATTACTGACCAAGGCTAAATAAAGTGACCGGTGATATCTGCTACCAGTCTTGGGCCACACTTCATCAACCCGCACCATGACTGACAAACGTGTGGAGGCCTTCATGCAGCAATTAATTGCCAAAGGCCTGTCTTGATTTGAAGCTTTCATGACTGCAGGAATCTATACTCTCTGGTTCTTTCGGTAAAGTCACGTGGGTAGAAAAAATAAGAAAAGAAAAACACGACGTTTCGGTCGCAACACAAGCGTCCGTCTTCAGGTGAGAAAAATGATCTGATGTTGTGGCTTTATACACAACAGCAGATCATTTCATTTTTCACACCTGAAGACGGACGCTTGTGTTGCGACCGAAACGTCGTGTTTTTCTTTTACAATTTTTTCTATCCACGTGACTTTACCGAAAGAACCAGAGAGTATGCCAAAGGCCTGTCAAATATTTTTATGACATAAGGTGCAATATTTCAAGTGACAAATGACAGTAAAATAAAAACAACCCACTCCTTTGGTACCTCATTTGCCAGTAAACAATATAATTGTTTTTTTTACCCTTTTATCTGGCAACAAAACTGACGCCTTTTTTACAAGGAGTCATGTTTGCATAGACCACAATACCTGCAGTCATAATGCAAACAAAAAACATAACTCTGATAATGTGCACTGTCCTTGAAGTTGATTGGTCCACACCCGAGACAGCTTTCCTTAGAGCCTAGTCTCACATGGGTTGGACCAGATGACGCCAAAAGGCACACAACATCTGGTCCAACACCATGTGAAAGCTGTCTCGGGTGTGGACCAATCAACTTCAAGGACAATGCATACATTATCAGAGTTATGTTTTTTGTTTGCATTATGACTGCAGGTATTGTGGTCTATGCAAACATGACTCCTTGTAAAAAAGGTGTCAGTTTTGTTGCCAGATAAAAGGGTAAAAAAAAATGATCAACCCACTCCTGTTTGATATCAAGCTACTTTTGTCGTCGTTGGTGGCGGTGGAGGGCGTTATAACAGAAAACGTGCACAGTTCTTTACGTTCAGCACGAAGAAGCGAGGGGCTACGCAGAGGCCTGCATATTCATGGGGGGGGGGGGGGGGGTTGCGGTGAAATGGCCCAGCCGACAAAAAATAGAACCAGACGAAAGGCGGGTATGAAATACTCCCTCCTCTTCCAGCAAACAAAAAAACCCAATTGGCCACGTAGGCTGTGCCCACGCGTGCAGACAAAACGTGTGGCACAAACCGAGAAGCCACAGCAACGCGTGCACCTTCCCTTATCTCAACCGCACACGGGCGCACGTGCGACCACCACACGATCATGTACGTACTCGCAAAACAAACTGTAAACGTTCGTTCCGCCTGACCGGTCGCAGGTACAAGGGAAATCAGCAAGAACAGCTTTTTTGGGAAGTGGGGGGGGCATTGTGGCCGAGACCACGGCCAGCCACCTTCATCTCTCTTCTTGGTTCTTTCGATAAAGTCACGTAGAATGGAAATAATAAAATAATACAAATAAAACATAATAAATAAATTCTCATGACGTTTCGGCCACAACGCAAGCAGCCGTCCTCAGGTGGAGAACAGGTCTGTCGAGACTGCTTGCGTTGTGGCCGAAACGTCGTGAGAATTTATTCAATTATGTTTTATTTTATTATTTTATTATTTCCATTCTACGTGACATTACCGAAAAAACCAAGAAGATGAATCCCTGCAGTCACGAAAGCTTTAAATCGAAACCTTCATCTCTGTTGTTGTCCTTCCCACCCCCCACACCTCCGATTAGACAAGTTGGCTACGCACGGTACGAAAGAAGTTCAACATACGTGTACGTACATCTCGCCGCCAGCGTTAACGTCCACACACAGGTGGCCTTTATTCATGCTGGGATGCCGCTCGCCGCTGATGTTCTTATTCGTGGCCAGGATTCAAACACAAGTTGCTGGGATTGTAGCGCACGGTTTAACCAATGGGTCACTGCTCCGCACTAATCAGTACTTCAATCTCACGCACATGCCAAGTCAATTAAAAAAATCCCAAGTGTATCAGTGCTGAAACGATTAATAAAAAAATATTTCTACCGTATTTCCAACTATATATCTCATGCTCCCGAGTCAGCACGGGCCACAGGGTTGCTCAGTCGTCACCATTGGCCACAGGCTGCCAGAGTTGTTTCCAATTGCACAATTATTCACGTTTTAAAACGTTATCATGTAAAAAATAAAATAGGTCTATGACCTAATCACCAGGAATGCACGCGATCTTGTCAGAAGTTTAGCAGAGTTGAGCCCAGATTGTGCTTGGATGGGTGACCACCGTGCACAAAACAGGTGCTATAGGCTTCCGCGGGGGTTCGTTGTCAGGAGAGGGCATTCGTACTTTGCTCCAATGTCTTATGCGCCTTGTCTTCACCAAACCACACTGACCAGCATGGTGAAGCATGGTCAACTTACTCCCACGACCCGCACGGTGTGGGGAGGATCTAATGCAGCAGTTGAATGACAATTGTCTTGTGTGTGTGTGTACGCAGGTGCATATGTGGAGAGCGGTAGTGTGGCGGTTAGTGTGCTGTGCTACAAACCTGGCGAACCCGGGTTCGATTCCTGCTCACGGCCAACATCAGTGACGCTTATCTGAACCGGTCCTGGGCCTCCCCTAGGTCGACTCAGTCTCAAATGAGTACCTGGTGCAATGATTAAACATCGCTGCTAGGGAGACAAAGGCGGCCGGGCGTGGTGTTGGCCGGGCGTGGTGTTGGCCGGGCGTGGTGTTGGCCACCCACCCCCTCGTGTGCCGTGCCGGCCTTTATAGGTGCTCGCTAACAGCACTTGCCCCTACAGTTTGTTAAGGCTATACGGGGGATCTTTGTCTTTTGTACGCACGTGCACACACACACACAAAACACAACTGAAACACATACGAAGCCAATGCAGTATAAACTTGCGTGCATGCAGACGCAGGCTCATTGTCATGAATATTAATCCATTGCCAACACCTGACCGCGAGTGGAGGAGCACTTCTATTGTGCGGTTGAAAAGGCAAGTTAATGCCAACCCGTGATGGCCAGGACAGCTGTTAGCGACAGCCGTTTCCTTTTGTTCCTCCTTGAAACACTAATCCACACTCGGCGACTTCCTGCGCAAGCACAGCGCACCTGTGACTCTGATAACTGAGCACCTTGCGTGATGCGTCAGGGATGGGAGGATGGAGCAGAGCCAATGCCCAGTTGTCTAACATGGTTTTGTTTTTCTTGGTTACAGCGCGACGTTCCTTCGGCATGCCCGACGATTCGCTCCACATCCTCGGAGCTTTTTCAGGAACCGAGTTCAGGACTGTTGGACATTTCGCTTAGTTTCTGAACAAGCTCCCATGACAAACAAAGCGCCACACAACCCAAGCACGCATCCGAGAGCGACACAGCACAATCGCGAAAAGCTCTGCAGCAATATGGTCAATGCCTATTGCCGGATGGAGGCATGCACTGATGGTGCTGGTGGGGCGAGTGGGGTGAGTGGGGCGAGTGGGGCGAGTGGGGCGAGTGGGGCAAGTGGGGGGTGAGCTGAAATGCATGAGGGGGGGGGGGTGTGGGGGGGTGTGGGGGGGTGTGGGGGGGGTGGCGAGCCTCTCACCAGGTACCACTGCTCTGCATATTCAGGGTCCGTGGGCTCCGTCACAACCTCCTTCCTCCGCCGCACCTTCACCACCTGCTGCTCCACCCAGCTCACCTGCTCGCAGGAAAAGAAGAAATCGGTGAGCAAAAATACAAAGTCAACGTCCAGAAGGCTGCGGGAGGTCGCTCCTTCTCCTCTGCTTGCTGCCAGTGCTGTTCGCGAAGCTGTCCCCATGGTTGGCAGCACTGCCGATGCCGTCTCCAGACCTTCCTTCTCTCCTTTGCAGTTAAATAATTACGGCCGATAATAACATTCTTCTTCAAATGTCAAAATCTTTTCGTGCCCTTCTACCCACATCCGAATCATCACAGCTCTCATTCCACTTCTCGTCGTATAAACCAGATACGATGAAACCTCGGTAACCACGTATCAACATTAAACAAATTATCCGGTGGTGGTGATACTGCTGATGCGTCGGCAGCAGCACTGCACAAACACAAATAAAAACTCAACAAATTCGTCAATAACACTGGTGCCTTATAAGGAAAAAGTACATAATAGGTGGCGTTTTTGGCAATTGTCCCTTGTTCATAGCACATGTGTTTCTTTTGAGGCCAGTGTTCTTGGTGGATCTGTTGAGTCTGGGCACCGTGGTGGTGAGATGTTAACTACCTCGCCTGGTATACAGGAAGTCATGGGGTCAATCCGAGCCCTGATGATGCCTTTATATTTGGAGTTTGCATGTTCTCCCTGTGGTCGCGTGGATTTTTCTCCAAGGCCTCCGGTTTTTCCTTCCACATTTAGAAAAATTCGTTTAGAGTTACTTGGGTGCTATAAATTTCGACGTGACAAGCCACTTTGTTGAGCTATCATTTGTGGCCAGGTCGCTTCTGACAAAGAGCTACATAGCTCAGCGGGCCTTACCTGGTAAAATAAAAAGTAGTTTTTAGTTTATAGAGTTTGTTTTGATAATTATGCACTATCGACCGTCTGGGTAGGAGGGTAACAGTGGTTGAAAAGGCCTGAAGGTCGTGCCACGCCCTTGCTCAACCTGCCAATCCCTCGTCTTGATTTAGCTTTAACGCTGTTGCCTCTCTCCGTAAGCAATGTTCCCTCTCGTATGGTTGCCGTGCACAGCATCTTGATATGCGTGCAATAATACAGCAGAAGCCTGATATAAGCACACCTTTTGGGAGTAAGGCCAGCTGTGCTTATATCAGGAATATTGTGTTCGTATCAGGGAGTTGCCATCCGCCTTCCCCACTCCAGTGTAGTGTAAGTGTGTACTATCAGAACTGTGCTCATTATAAACAAGATCTGCTTATATCCAGTTTCTTCTTAATTCAGATGCTATACAAATTAAAAGTATTCATAAAATCTCTATGAACAACAATAAAAAAAATTGAGTCTCAACACAACTGTACTTCAAGACACTTTAGAGAAATTAATAGAACTGCTGTACAGGGTGGTCCAGAGGTATTGTGACCCCCCCCCCCCCCCCAATTAATTGACCCCTATAATATTTCTAAAATCTGCTTTAAATAAACCCGACTTAAAACAACGATGAAGTTATAGATAATTAAATGGGGGTCACAAGACTTCTTGATTGATCACCCTGTACATTGGGGGGCAAAAGCGGGGGGGGGGGGGGGTAAGAGGGGGGGGGGTCACGAGAGGGAAACATGACACAGAGGAGAGGGAAAGATGAGAGAGAGAGGAGAGAAGGAAACGCGGCGGGATGTCCTGGGGCCAAGTGAACTGGAGCCCAGTACCAACAACAACAACGCCGACAAGCCCCAGGGGCATCACTGGGTGGGAAAGGGGAGGGTGGTGGTGGTGGGGGCGGGGGGCGGGGCTAGATCCTTCACTTTATTGTGACGTCACGTCTTGCGCACACTTTTGCTTCTTCACTGCTCGACTCCGGGATTCCCTCCCATCGTCGACGTTCCCGCGCTCACGCGTACCACACACACGTGTCGGTGACGTGCACGTCTTCTTCGAACGCTGGGGAGCCGGAAAAGCCCTCTGTACCAGCGTGGACAGCACCCTCGTGTTCACCTTCTGAAGCGCTCGCTCGTCACCGTGGCGTGCGCGATGACCACCACCACCGCCACCACGTGACTTTTCTTTCGTGTTGTGCACGGTGCATTTAGCGCCACAGTGCGTGGATTTATAGCGTTTGTTTTATTTGTTTGCTGGTGACTGTGAATTTCATATCGGAATCGCCTCCAGTGATGTTGCTGCTGGCGGCAATAAAAGTTGTTTAAGAGTCAAAAGTCTTACGAGACTGCTCAAGTCGAGAAACGCGTGAACTCTTCCATCTATTACGACCTTGATTGTGCTGTTTGTTGGCGGCTGTTTGAAGGTTTGGGCATCGTGCTTTAGCAACTAAGGGCAGCGACACCACAGCCTCACGGCAGCGTCTTAAGCCGCTTGCTGCAGAGGTTCGTGGTTCGAAATCCAGCAGCCGCCCCGATCAATGCTATGGGGTGAATCGATTGAAAAACTACGCTCCGTCTGCTTCACAGAGGACGCTGAAGATCCCGTGACGTCATTCACAAGAGGAGGCCATCGTGTGCCAGCGTCATGGTCCAAAATTTGCCAAGTTTGAAAATCACCCACAAATTACTCATTTGGAATCGACATAGCGATCATCGCCGACTACTAAGAAAAAAATCGACAGGATCCTCCTGAAAAAGAGCCATGAGACTCAGTGAGGCTTTTCTGGGTAAATCGAGTGGAACAAATAACTGTGTTTAACAAAAATAAAAACATTTGCGGAGACCGCACTTGTCTCAGTGGTAATGCTCGGCCCCTGACACAGAGGCCGATCAGCGGCCTCTCCTCGGATGCAGCCGCTAATCCAGTCCGATGCATGATCTCAGAGTCGTAAACAAAAATACCTGGGGACTGTGCTCACAAGAGCAGCCTGCCATGTGTGCTGTGACGTGACAGCGACTGAGTGGTGTAATCGCCGCTCGCGTGTTACAGAATTCTGATTCTGTTGGAAAACTTTGGCAGCTAAAATGCAAATTCCACACTTGGGTGGGGTGGGTGGGGGGGGATGAGAAGTAACTTCCTCCACAGGACCTGCGCTGCGTGCAGTTCGGGCCACGGACCAATAAATAAGTTAACAACCCCCTCAAAAACGGGACATACGCTCCAGTGCTTTATAAACTCACAGCTATCGTTAATGATTAAGTGTGTAAACGCCATTTGCTCGTTACAGTTACCTATTGAGAATGATTTTTGCCCCGTCAACCATGAAAGGCGTACACTGTGCGTGTCGGCTTGACAAGTGGCTGTGAATGTAGCTCCTGGGAGGCCGGGGCAAACGTGAAAGCTCCGTGAAAGCTCCATCTGGAACGGTTCCAAAAGTGGCTTTGTGAGACCAGGGGGGTGGTGGCAAGGGCAGGCAAAGTTCACGCCGTGCTCATTCCACCAAACGCCTCCACGCTGTCACCGACTCGTTTTCTTTCACCAAAATGCAAGAGCGCAAAAGATATCAGAAGATATTTTCCCATGGTGCCAAGGGGATGTGTGTGTGTTGTGGTTTTGTCGTTGTTGTTGTTGTTGGTGGTCACATTGGAGTGCAGCGTCCCTTAAAAAAGCGTTTGAGGGCAACGATACAAATTCAAGTCGAATGAAATGAGAACAGGCGACCGCTGTGAACTGTTCAGTCGTGTGTCGAACTCATAACAACGGCACAACAGCGATCCTCGCACGCGTGCACCGTTTGTCACAACCAGCCACAACTGGATCTTTCGACCACCGCCAAACAGATCGCACTCCCGATCAGTGTTGCCGTGTGCCACGGCGCCAGCCTCAACGTGGCCGGCTGCGGCTTATCAGTCTGCGCTGCGGTTTCTCGCTCAGGTGCACTGCTGGTGAAAAGGTAAAGGTGCAGCCCTGCAATGTCTTACTCGTGCCACTGCTGGTGAGAAGGCCTTCACTAGAGGGAGCTCACGAGGGCACCTCTGTAGAGGCCTATTTTGCCCGACCCTTTCACACTGGTCAGGCATCTTGGAGGAGGTGGGAGTAAATAGACTTTACCCCGTCACACACGACCTGCGTTGCCGATCGACGAACTTGTGGTCTACCATTTACACTGCTGGATGGACAGATGCCTGGGGATTTAAGAAACGTGCACAATTGCTTCAACTCCCGTGCCAGGTGAACTGGCAACCTCTGGATTGCAAGTCGAGAGCGATAACCATTATACCACGGCAGCATCCCACTTACTGGAACGCCGATTCTGATATCGTCGAACTAGGATCCCGATCTTAAAGGATGGTTCCTTGCCTATAACATCTGGCAGTTCGTCAGCATTGACTCCAGAAAGCCGGACTCTGATAATCAGACACTGCATCGAAACCGGTCCAGATTTTGCTGGACCGTTTTTATTTTCTAAGTGGGGAGACAGATTTTTGAAGGAGACTGTTTATGATTGGCTCTAGTTTCAGCAGAACATCGGTCTGCATCAGGCAGACTCCAGAGCAGTGATAGACAACCCAGACGAGTTACTGGGCCACATGAGCGTCCCTCCTCCATCTCAGCTGGCCACAAGCTTGACACCGCATGCTTGGGCACGAATCGTGACACCCACGCATCACCGTAAATACACTTAGACCAGGCCACCAGCAAGGCCTCCATAGGCTGCATGCGGCCCATGGGTTGTCCACCACTGCTCTGGAGAATGTAGTCACCGATGTAGGTCATTTGCTACTGCCAAGAATGGAGTTTTAAAATAAATAGCAAAGACACGAGTAAAAGCAATTCCCACAAACATCAACATAACCTCACGAGCCTGTCCCATCACTCAATTGGGATTGTCGACCACAATCATCACTCCCAACTAGCAGACCAATGCCCCGTGTACTGGTCTGACTTATCACCTGGTTAAACTAAATCAACTTGAAACTTTCACCCGTCTCATCCACCTCCAAAGGCTCTTCCTTCACTAAATATGAAACGTATATATATTTTTTTAAGCAATACAAGTGTAACCAGTGAAGATGGTTTTTATTTTCACAGGAAAGAAACTAAAATATACTGCAGGTGCTTTCCTGGACCAACGCTATTTGACACATACTGCACAGTACTTTATATATAAGATTGCGATAGAGGCTGCCTTACACGGTGTATATACTCGGAGTCCATTGACAATTTGCGATGGCCGAATCGTCAGAACTCAGAAGCTGAAGGGGGTCGAGCCTGGCTCCCACTCCGATTGGCAACTACCGTTCATTAAACAGGTGCTATAGGCTGCGGCGGGGGGCGGGGGGCCTACATTGTTAGCACTTGCAGAAAAATCCATTGTTGTACCGTACAATGACCCCGCGTCTATGATCCACACTTTCACCAACCCACACGGACCAGCGTGGTTAACCACGGTAGAATAATCTCCACCACCAGCATGGCGCGGGGAGACCACTACCCAGCAGCGCATTGACTCAAAGGACCGTACAGAAACATACTATTGCACGTGCATAGATATACATACATCCTGAGCCGGTGTGTACTTCAAGGATGAAAACGCACACAAACACCACATATCATAAACATGATCACTTATAACAACGTGTTGCCTGTGCCATGGCGCAAAGTTTCCTGTACAGTGGAAAACAAATTGTTTAATCGACCTTTGAAAATGTTTTCTGCCTTTATGGTGGGGGGTTGGTGGTGGTGGTGGTGGTGGAAAACCAGTTGGGCAGGATTTCGAGTGGGTGGGCCCAATGCATCACAGAGGAAATCTGGCCCAAAGGCAGTCAACTCAGGTGGCACTTAAACGCGAACAAGCACGGGCTTTTACCAATGACTCTCGCTGGAAAGACCAGAACCGGGACATTCGAATCTCAGGCGGTGTGCCTTTAGCTCGCCTCTCGTACGAAATGAGACCCTGGCAAATTATTCGTTGTTTGTGTACGCTACCTCTGCTTCTGGAGGAGAGAAAAGTTCGAGCTGATCTTTCTCTAAACAGTTGGCAGAAAATGGATCTATTGCTCGAACTTTTCATGTTTGTTTATATTCATCATGAGCGTGGCTGTGCTGGCCAAGTGCGCGCACGTGTGGTATATTTACGCAAGTAGCGGCGAGTCTATTACTTTAATTGCATTTATTTGTGCGCGCTTTGGGGGAAAGCCGTCCACTGGACGTGTTAATATTTCACATTTTCTTTTCTCGATTCTGCACAGTCGTGTTTGTGGTAAGAGTCTGCAACAGTGAGGTGGGGGGGGGGGCGCTGTTAATAAGTGTTCACGAAGTTAGCCATTTCATTAACGTTGGGTTCCCGTCTGGGTACAAATGCGTGGGCTTGTGAAGGCCACAAATTTCCTCCGTCACACGCCACCACCCGCTTGCTACCTCTGTGTCTTGCCGCAGCCTCGTGTGCAGACTCTCGTGCCGGCTCAGCGAGCGTTTCTGCACGGCGTGGTGTCGAAAGTGATGGTAGTCTTCGAAAATCTGTCACGAGGGGGTGGAGAAACAAAGACAAAACACAGCGTCATGCAACTGCGTTTGGTTTTTTTCCGCAGTTGTGCTGTGCGGCTCTCCGATGGCTTGTCTGCTGTACCGCGGTTGTTGCTCGGCACGGTGTCCGACGTTTTGCTCCACGCGCTGGGGAGCTTCTTCAGCACGTGGGTCAAATCGTCAAGACACCGTGCTGAACAGCACGGGGGGGGGGGGGGGGGGACCCGGCAACACGTCGGAGAGCTACAAAAGGCGAGGGTGGAAATGATTGCAATGCTGCGCAGTCTCAGACCGGTGATTCATCTTGTGGGTTCAAACAAAAACCAAACGCTCTCAGCACATTCAACCGAGGTGGGCTGACCGAAGCGAATTGTTCGCGGGAGTGTGTCACGCAGTGTCACGCATCGCGCGACGGTGGAGTCACCGATGACACGAAGAAGATGCCCCCCAAACGACCGAGTCACACGGCTCGGCCAGAGAGGGGCTGTCTCTGCTCGAGAGGAGATGTCACTATCTGGCACGTCGGCCGTGACATGATGCACCTGTGACACTGGAATGATGAGACAATGTTATGATTATAAGGCGAGGACAAAGGGGAGCACTGTGCCGCGCCTTGCGAGCGTCCCGCGAGGACGGTGCGCGCTTTCATCAGGGCCCGACTTCGTGTCGCTAGGTGTACAACACCGACATCAGCGCCGCGGCTGCAGCCACGGTCAACGGGCCCGTAGATAAGCAAGGAGCGGGAGGGGGGGGGGGTCCTGACAGTGCAGAGCACTGGTTCGTCGACACATGTTTTATTTTATTTTGCTCAATTATTTGGTGGTGATGCTGTTGCTGCGTTGGCAGTGGTGTCACAAACACAATTCGCAAAAACAAAAAATATATTTGTAAACAATGCCGCAAAATAAAAATAAAATGGTAATATTTCGGACAATGCATGACACATCAAATTTTAATATTAATTATTTAACTCTAGATGCATGCATTGAACCGGGATCAAAACGAAATCAAGACGTTGCTGAGCCTGTGGTCGGAAATTCCATATTCGTATAACAGGTACCCGTTTACCCACAGGACACATTTCTGTTGACCTGTATAACAACATTTTACAAGCATTATGGAGCCTGGACAGACGACAAATGGCGTCAACGGTCGAGGTGCTGCCACTGCTGTCCCAAGGGCCTCCCCTTGAGAGGGGCATTTGTGCATCCTCCACCACGCTGCTCGCACGCTTTACCCCACCACGCACAATCTGCTCGTAGGGACTGTGGTGCACCCATTCACGCCGCTGGGTGGGTAGGGGCAGAGGGGTCACCAGCTCGGACACATCGAGCTGGTGACCCCCTGGATTTCGAGTCCAGCGGTGATGTTGCCGTCTATCATACGACGGCGTCACCTGACCAGTACGTGTGCAATGCCTTTTTACAGTGGCAACTTTCATTCCCACTTTGTTTTAGGTGACACCCACGCCGATGTCCACGTGAAGAACACTTTGAGACGAGCTCTAACACCCTAGAGAGGGCGCCACCTTTTCCAGAACTCCCTCCAGAGAAAGGGGCCCTTCTGCCAGCAGTGCGGTGAACCCCAGCCGTTGCGGGGGTTTCACCTTTACCGGACACCACTTATTTATATCTTCCCCTGTGTTACAATGAGTCACACGTAACTGGCGCGGAGTGTGCCATCATAAACGACGATACAGTACAGTGAACTCTTAAAAACAATGCTACAATACCAGCACTTGTCAGGGCAGGTCGGCGGGTGACTGCCTGCCCGTACGACACACTGTACCCTGGGGGGGCTGGGTTGCAGTCCACGAGTCCTCCAAACACGTGGGTGAGTGCGTGGGGAGGGGCGGTCGTGTAGTGGTTAAGCGCATCCCGAGCTATGAATTTGGCGACCCGAATTCGATTCCAGCTCAGGAAGAACAGCCAGTGGCAAATATCCAAAAACCAGTCCTGAGCACCCCCCCCCACCACCCTTAAGTCGGCGCAGCCTTTAAATGAATACCTGGCGCGCCCCGTGTACAAGAAAAAACATCAACAGCGGGGAGACAAAAACAGCCAAGCGTCGTGCCGGACACACCCACACGTCCTCGTGGGATGCCGTGAATTCGGTGGTGACCCTTCAAAGCATTAGCCCCAGTCTCTGTTTAAGGATATACGGGGATATTAATTCTAGATTTGAAGCTTTCGTGACTGCAAGGATTTATATTCTTAGGTTTTTTTTTCGGTAAAGTCACGTAGGTAAAAATTAATAAAAGTAAAATGAAAATAAAATAAAAATCACGACGTTTCGGAGGCAGCACAAGCTTCCGTCTTCAGGTGGAACCGTCACAGCACGATAGCTGTATCAAGTGAGAGAAATTCCAAGAAACAGTGAAACAGGGAAAAAAAAACCTAAGGATATACGGGGATGTGGGAGGAGGGGGTTTGGTATCTTTGCCTTCGTCGTCGTCGTTGTTTCATTCTAAACAATGGGGGGAGGAGAGAGATCGAGCATTTGCACGGACCAGCGCGCGTGCGCGTGCTTAGGTTGTGTACACGCGCGCGCGCCCCCCCCCCTCTCCGCCAGGCAGTGGCATGGACAGAGGGTTCAGTAGTTCGCGCGCGCTCGCGCCGGGGGTCATGGCGCAGTTACAACATGTTTGGAAGAGTCCCAGGGGACATTTGTGCCCAAACATACGAAGTGGGGTTTTTTTCTTTCTTTCTGAGCCTGGTTTTTGACTGGTGATAAGCAGGCTTTGACCGTTTCCTCTTGCCTGCCCCTGCTTGACCACATGTATCAAAAGCCATAGGGCGGATGGAAAATGTGATGTAAGATTACGAGACCTCGCATGAGACCTCGCAATCTATTCGAAAAAGTGTGCCAGGCTCAAATTACCTGCTTTTTTCTTCTGCTTCTTCTAAATAATTGAAACCTTGGTTCAATCGGCCAGCTGGGTTTTCTTTTCTCTCCCTCTTGGCAGCACCATCACTCGATTCAGCACATTTCACATCTCGTCGCTGCCAATCCTAATGTCGTTTAGAGAGGAATTTGCTTGCCTCTACAGTACCTTTGCAAGCCGCAGCTACCTGCGAACAATACATTGCTCACCATGCAATGTAATATTGACTATAACTGGCGGTGTTATTTCTAGGAGCCCATGACTGGACCAGGCAGCAGGATGACATTTATTTACAGATATCAATAAATCACTATCAAACCATTTTTCCCCTTTCAAGGGCAGTGTTATCTACGAATGTGTTGAATTTCAAATGACACCAGTTTGCTTCCATTTTCCCCTAGATTACGATCCCGTGCCTCCGATTAGCACCATTGGCTACGTACGGCGCGCGAAAGAAGTTCAAAATAAACAAGTGGATGTTAAGACATCGGTGGTCTGTGCGGAACTCGAAGATGAAAATTAATGCAGCCCGACAGTTGCATTAGCAGATTTAAGAAACCGAAAGCTATATTCTTCGTATTCTTTGGTTCTTTTGATAAAGTCACGTAGATATAAGAAAAATTATAATATAAAATTAAGTGACTAAAAATAATAATAAATAAAATAAAGCTATAGATGTACAAGCACCCTTTCCCGCGGCGGCTGCAAATTTTGCCACCAAATTTGCTTTGCGGTATATTGCGTAGGTTGGGACCACTTTCTGTGCACCAGTGTTCATCCTGCTTGTGGCTTTCTTTTTGCTTCCTCATAAAACAAAGGGGCCACTGAGACCCCAGACGGTTGTAGCTCTACAAAGCATTGGCTACTGTACACACTTGAGAAAAACACGCGCACACACGAGGTGAAACGCTGCTGCTCAAGAGGAATGGATAGGAACCCACCCCCCCCACCCCCAAAACAGACTAACAGTTTTCTACTCAACACCTCCCATCATACGACCAAATTATTATACACATGAGATTAACAATCTGCTGAAGAGAACGGGGTATCGGTTTGCAAGCCCACCGCTCGATGAAGGCCTTCCCACGCCACATGGGTCATTGGGCTGTCTGATCATACTTCACCCCGTTGGTCCAGTTGCGGGCTGGTGAAGCGCGGCTCTCGGGACCGGTTCAGATCATTACCGCTCACGTTTTCCGTGGCTGGGAATAAAACTCAGGCCGCCAGTTTCATAGCGCGGTGCACTCACCTCTGGCATCACCGCTCCACCCACTTCAACTGCAATGTCGTCTAACATACATGTCAATGGATACAAGAAGAAGAACTGCTTTTTGTGTTGAGTTTGTTGTCCTTCACCAGCGCCTCCGATTAGCATGGTTGGCTAAACATAAAAACATACATGGAGAGAGCTGGCGTGGGTTAGGACTGGTCATTTTGACATCTGATGCGGCAGTAATATGTGTTCAAGAGAATCATTTGCAACTGCAGGATGATTTTAGGGATAAGCCGACCAGAACAATACGCTTACTCAAGACGCGGTGGGGGATTTTCACGCCTCGTGATGAACTCCGGACTCGTTTGATTGCGTTGCCACAACGCGCCATTTAAATGTCCAAAATGCGGCCTCCTACAGGCAAGAGTAAAGCTTGCTTGGAGCCTCGGAGGTTGCAAAGTGTATTTCTTTGGCCTGTCCTCGTCAGTCAAGTTGTCAGCCAAGAGGGGTCTCTTCATCTGGCCAAAACTTGATCTCATATTTTACTACTTAAGAAGCTGCCAGCATGTGAAATGAAACGTTGGACATCATGCCAAACAAAACGTGGTAAAACCCGAAAGCGCAACCCGAAAGCACATCAGAGAGTGGACAATCTGTCCCAAACACTGAGTAAAATAATACACACACGAAGCCGATTTGACACACCACGTATTTGCCATGTGTTATTACTTTCACAGTATTTGTTTTTTAGTCCGCACACACACACTTTTCTCATTTTTCATGAAGTGTTTGAATTGGTCTTTTGTCCCAATAACTGCTGGGCAGCATTACGAGCGTTACCGGTTGATTCCAGGAAGGGCCAGATTGGTCAACATGAACTTAGTAAAATCATAGAGC